GTGCGGTCCAACTTGAGCCCCGGGGACTGGACAGATCGCCGATACTTTCCCTCGCGCGACGGTACCCGTCGGCGAGGTATAAACGAGCGATCGATAGCGGAAGATAATCACGAACGCGAACGAGGCCCTCGACACTTGGATTCGCGTTACGTAAGGAAACGGCGGTCACGGCGACTCCGACGAGAGAGAGAGAGAGAAGAATCGACGGAATCGCGCCGAAGGTGCACCCATCTTGTCAGGGGGAGAGGGCAGAAATCAAGCGAAGGCCGCGAAGTCATATCGCGGGCGACGTTTGTCATTTGAGTCACGCTCGAAAACCGCGCCGATACTCGTTGCCGGCTCGTTGTTGCTCCGCGTTGGGAAATGTGCCAAGGTCAATAATCACGGGTGTCGATTCTTCTTTTTCGAAGCGCGACAGCCGATGGGTGGCCGGGGAAACGTCTTCGTGAATGCACGCACTCCTCTCGCGACTGCTTTCGCGCCGACACGCCGGCCGATTCCCCATCGCCGGCGAAACCGATACGAAACCGACTTACGTAAGAGCGGAACGCGGACCGTACGTAACGTACCGTAAACATATCGTAACGAGGGAATACCGTCGAAAAATCGTTATCTCGAACGAAACTCCGCGGTTACGTGGCACGTCCTCGCCCCGATGATACCGTTCGAGCGACACTCAAATCCCGAGTCCTTCGCGGATTAAACGCCGCGAAGGGGAAGAGATTTCTCGGTCTTCTCACTGCAACCGAATGGGAACCGTATGGTAATTCGGTGAACGAAAATTGAAGGCTTGACGACAAGAAACGATATCTCCGTTTCCGCGACTGAGAACATTCATGTGAACATTTAGTTTAACCCTCTTTGAGCATACATTTTTTCCTCGTGTAAAAATTTCTCGAAACTTGATATAGAAGGAGTTTTGAGGTTTATGACGTCGAAATTTCAGTCATATTGAGTCAGTTGTTGTTAATTTTAAGTTTTATTTCAGGTTCGGAATTAGCGATTCAAGATATTATTAGATATGAAGCTGCAGAGAAATCGGAATGAAAGAAATATTTCTTTTTTTAATTTTCAAAAAGTTCTTCCCGTTCCGAAAACCGAGTTGTCGTCGTGTTCTTCGTTGATCCCCAACGATAAATTCTCTGCCGACAAGCCAATATACTGAAAAATGAGTTTGGTTGGACTTACCTGACAGTAAACAACCAACTGCATCTTAATTGAAGGAAAAACAATTTCTAGTTTTTCTCACGAACCAAATTTGGTTTTTACGACCAGACAGAAAATCTGTTTCCTTCAATCAAAATACATTCAGTTGTCCATCGCCCAGGTAGATCCAATTAAACTTACTTTTCAGTGTATTTTCACGAGCCGCGGTAGAGAACGGGAGACGCGTGACGGGGAACGCTTCGTCAGCGGACGCGAAAAAGTGGGGCGGTTTCGTTGGAAAATATCAGCCGAAAGTTGCGAGAGTCGCGCACGCAGTCTCGCCGCGCCGATTTACCTGCCGCGTAACGCCGCGATCGATTACGAACGCGACGCCGACGCGAAGTATCGCGGATTTACGTCATTCTCGTAAAGTCAGCCGTATAGTTTCACCCGAATTTAGATTGCCGCGGTACACATTTCCTCATAACATATCCCCCGTATCCCGGTAAAGGAGCGTTTGCGGGAGGGAGCGATTACACACGGACGTGTCGAGAGTAAGCAGCTCTCTCGCTCTGAAAAATGAAGGCGCCTCGTTACGTTCTAATTATATAAGCATCGGCGCGCGCGTAGAGCTTATTCGTGTGGTTATAAAATCGGTGGGGTAAAAAGTAACCTAGCCGCGTTATCAAAAGATAAACGTCTTCTTCTTTCGCGTAGAAATCGCAACGAAGGTCGGAAGGGACCGGCGATTTATGCCGGTGATAATATTGCGTTTCTCTTTCGAACCTTTTCGAAGCCTTTTGAATATTAACACGCCCTCGTCTGTGCATCGTCCTCGTGCGGACCGGAGCGGTTTATTAGACAGATGCAAGCGTAGACACGAGTGACGCGTCAAGCACGTCGAGGTAGACGTCACCCGAACGATGTTAAAACGCAACACTGAGAATACAGATGAAACGATGTGACGTAACGCACAGAATATTATCGCGCTCGCACGTTTGGACGACGGATTTCCACCCTGATTTGGAATCGAATCCGTTCTCTCGATGAATGCTTGGACTAACGAAGAAACACGCGATCTCTCAACCTGCGATCGATCGCCAGCAAGACGAAACACAGCAAGAACGTCGATTGCCAACCGTTCGTTCGTCGTGTCCCGATCGGAAAGTTTTTCGGATTCCGGTCGCAGTGCGAGTCGAACGGCTGCCGAAAAAAGGTCCAAGGTAACCTCTCGCGTGAGGTTAAACGCGCAATCAAAATCACAGCACGTCGTTCCTAATCAAACGTCGAACGTAACGGAATGGCTTACGCACGTGCGCACCCAAACGCATCGGGGGATAATGGGTAAGCTCGTAGTAGTTCGGGTCTGCGGACAAATACGCGCGGAATAATTAATCGCGAATTATAGCCTTTTTAATTTCACAAATCACCCGAGAGGAACGGGAGGGCCGCAATAACGAAGACTGAACGAAGAAGCGGCGTTAGTGAGCGTTCCCGGACGTGTCGTCACGCGACGAAGCAAATAATTTTTTACCGGCACGAAAGGTCACGAGCGCGCGGGATGCGCGTCTCTAAATCGAGCGGAATTAATTGAAACGCCTCTCCTCATCTCCGTAATGCATCTTGGACATCGTAAATTGGAACACGACAAACAGGCGCGCCGCCGCCGCGGATCTGTCGTGTATACTCGGACGCGCACGTTATCCCGGGCAATTTCGCTCTAATGAAAGTAATCGCCGTGGCGGTCGGCACACTTTAATTACGCTCATTTTCACGAAGTGGTACGCCGAAAGATAAAAATAGAGCGTCGCGTTAACGTATCACAGCTCGATCGATGATGGCGCGACGGTTACGGAACGATTTTTCGCGCGCGGCGTATCGACGGCGAAAAGACGTCACGAAGAGAAGTAGGCATCGGCATTCTTCGGAAATCGTGAGAAATCACGTCGCTCGATTTCACGTTAATCGTGCTGCAACAAGTGAACTCTCTGCGTGCGCACTTAATTACACGCGAACGGACGGAATTACAGCGGGAATTTTTCCGCTCGACCGCGGTCTCGGAGTCTGCGGACGGCGAGTTTCGGACGGCGCATCTCACGGTTGAGAACGCACGGCAATTGATTCGCCATGTTCGGAAAACGGAGGAACAAAAATGACGCCGGAGGAAAAGCGGGGTTGATCGTTCGCGAGTTCGAGAAAGAGAGAGAGAGAGAGAGAGACCATGGCCCAGAAAACAAAGAGTCACGAGGCTGGGTCTTTCCACACGCGTCCTCGCGCCACGTCTTCGCGCGGAATGTCCGCTTGTGCAATGGGCGCGATTTCTGTCCGTACTGCACATCGATTTTTGAATACCAACAAGCAAGCTTCGGAGACTCTTTGCCAAATCTCTGAAAAATCTGGAACGCAGAAATATACATCGAACATGTTGCAGTCGATGTCATTTTATATTCCGTAACATCGCAGAGAGAACTTCAAAGGCGTACTTAAAAATGATTTTTCCCCGAATTTCCCATCACAATGTTATAAGATATAAAGTGTTGGTAAATTTTGTATCTAACATTTTTTCAATATTTCTCGTGGCTTCAGAGATATATGAGCAAAAATATGAAAAATTATATTTTCTTCGAGGTGTATTTTTCCTTTTCACTTCTAAAAACTTTATGCATTTTATTCCTGCGAAGTTTCAGATTTTTTCACAGAATCTGACCGTGGGCGAAACTTCCTAGCAGAAACAGGATTACATGGGAAATTTCGTTGATATGAGCGTGCACAGGATCGCAGAAATCGGAAAAGAATCACGCGATAATGCATCGGACTCATCCGACGTGCTTTAATTGCTCTTTCCCAATAAGTTCGTCGAATTAATTATATTCAAACACAGGTCCATTAAATCAGCAGAGGTCAGGGTAAATCGAAATGTACGTTTTATCGGCACGTGCGCACGTGGCGCTATGCAAAGATAAGATTAATTTATTTCGACATATATTGCGAGAGAAGAAACGTCGATAAAAATGTACAATTTCTCACGGCTGACGACGTTGTAATCGAATGTGGTCACAATGAGAGGAACGATAAAAACGCGATATAAATTTCTTAACTTCGCAATGGCCGCCTATTTGAATTTAACTGTGATAACACGCGCAGTATTTCACGTACCACGGGGAAGAAGACTCACGAGTTGGAAAACCAAAGGTGGAGCAGAGAGAGAAAGAGAGAGAAAAGGAGAAAGCAAACGCACAGATACACTGAGAGAAAAATACGATCACTTTCGAGGACATCTCTTTTCCATTTTAATCACAAAAATGCTCAAGAAAAATTTCTATTTTTCTAATAAGCGTTACTATAGTGTCAGTGATAATAACCTTACGTGCACGTTACTTATTTTTACGGTTAAAAAAAAAAGAAAAAAAAAGAATCGTCCCAGAAAATAACCACATCTTTCCCTCAGTGTACTATCGGGGAATGCGTCGCGACCTCGGCAGGGTATATAACCCCTGAATGAATGAAGGCTGACTTCGAGCGCATAATACCGTGTATTTTCACAATCGATAGTACGGAGCATCGGAAGGGTACGCATAAGCCTCAGTTCGATCTTGGACGACGGACGGATTGCGCGTTCGGCGCGTCACTCACGCGACAACGCGCCCGATGTGCGCATCAGAGACGCGCTTCACGCCTCCGACCTGCGTTTAATTGCGACGATCGCAAACTCACGACGATTAGTCACGACGGCAAATTATAATGGCACTTGCCGCCGCGTCGTAGCAAAGGGCGATCGCTCGAGCCAGCTGACTCGCGATTAGTCGACGGAATTCGCGCCGGAGTCCAGACGGAGAACACGCTCGTCCTCGCGACATGCAATAGTCATCGCGGGGCGGGCGATTCCGGCCGCGGGCGCGATAATAATTATGCCGGCGCGATGATAAGTTCCTCGCAGAATGCGCGCGCGTCTCCGGCACGACTCGAATTCGCGACACACCGGCGGTGACGCGCACACAGGATCGAGCCCCGGGAGCTTCGCGGGGCGACTTTTTGCACGCTCATTCTGCGAAATATGCAATTAGCTGATCCGAGCTGCTCGCCGTGATGCGAAGAATGCGAAGGAGCTTTTCTAGTGATCACGCGTCGCGTTGCGCGGATTGAACCGAGCCGGAATCGACGTGGCCCGTTTCGTGTGTCCACGTGATATGCAGACTGCCAATTGTGGAAAGAGGTTTCTGATTCTTCAGAAAGACCGTTAATAAAAACTTCGATATCGCTCGTAAGAGCGATATTGTCCGGATGACGGATTTTGCTCGTTGTGTTTCGAAATGTTATCAAAGGACTGCCTTCGCTCGGCTGATGAAAGTGCCACGAGAATCGGCTAATCAACGAGGAATCAAGAATTGAGAAGGCGAAGAAAAATTAATTTCATTAATGTGCCAAGTTGCGACGACGATCGCAAAGCGAATCGCAATGCTTGCGAGGGTAAACCGAGACGTTCTGAACGTGCCGGCCCGTGCGAATTCTCATCGAATCAACAAACATCGAATATACGTGACGATAGAAAATTAATCATTCAACTGTTGCACATCGTCTTGTCCGGTAATTAATTCCAAGCAGCGTGGTCATAACGTGCTAAGGTCATTTAAATTTAATATTTATCAAGCAATATATTACGTTCTTATACACCCTTGCGAATATTTCAGCTTTCGAATGGTCAATCTACTTATAATTACACCAATAATTAGATCATATTTAAATCTATGTGTGTAGTGCGAGTTTCGAGGAATTTTCAAGAAACTCATTTGGTGCTGCAGCTATCTTAAAACAGAGCGACGGAATTCGACTCGCGCCGAGCAGGAATAACCTTCCGCGAGTCCGTCATCGCGCACTGGAGGATTATCGGATGAATAGGGTGGGTGGTCTTTACGCGACCGTGACCATATCGTCTCGCGGGCTGATGCAATATTAAATGATACCAGCGGCGGCAGCGACGGGTGAACCCCGGCATCGCGGTGCTACCACGCAAGAATACGCAACGGACGTGTCTCGTCGTCGTTGTCGTCGACCTTAGCCGTCACATCGGTATGGTGATTTCACACGACCGATCAAGTTTACGCTCCGATCGGGATTAGAATAAAGTTCGATCGTTGCGACGCCGGCCACGAGACGTTGTAGTAAGGCCACGTTTTCCCCGGATGCGTGTTCCTTTCTTTTCTGTTTTTCAAACATATCGCCGCATATCGCCGAGGTATTAATCGATCCTTTCCGCGCGCGCGCCTGCCGCGATCTCGATCAACGTTATCCGTCGTCGGCCGTTCGGTTCTCTCTCTTGTGTGTTCGGTATGGTAAAAAAAAAAATATGAAAATTCAGAGCGCGGTAATGTACGTTCCCAATGGCGACGTTCGAAACGTCCCAATCGCGGATCATCTTCGGAGGCGACTTCCTTCAGGTCACAACTCGCGGGTTGTACTACTCCGTGGATCAATTTCGACATTTTATCCGATCGACCGGCGCACAAGCTCAGGTCTAATAAGAAAGAACAAACGCGACTTTGCTGAATTGATTTTGCCATGCGGTTTGCTCTACTCTCGGAGCAAACATATCGCCGTCCTGGCTATTTCATTGCGACGATAGAGGCACAGCTGAAACGGCGCCCGACGTGTAATATGCTGTACGTGTGCGGTCAATATGAGACTAATCCGCTTAAATTCTCGATCGAACCCGCTATTTGTCTATCGTTGTCTTATCCACGGAAACGCGTTTTTCCTCTCGCAGGCCGGACACAATCATGGGACGAAAACGGGACATCAAGTCGTGCTCGCCCACGAACAAACTCGTTGGACGCAGGTTCGCGTTGCGGAAACACAATAACCGGTAACGACGGCTTGTCGTCGATGCATGAGTGGTACATTGCATGTCACCGTAACAACTTTCGTGTTCCACGGTCGCCTGAAATTCCCGTGACGAAAACGAAACTTTGCGACAGGAAACACGTTCCTCGTCGCGTCGATCTTGCAAAATGCTTCTCTCTCTCTCTCTCTCTCTCTCTCTCGCAGCTGCTAATTTCTGGAACTCGCTTCCATAGTTTACAGACTCAGAAACGCAGGCATCTTTCAGAATAAAACTTTACAAATATTACCGGCAAAAGTCCCAGTAATCAATATTGCGCTCGAACTTGTGTCTATTCTAACATTGTATTACATTAGATTTCAAGTTCACTTTGAAGTTATTTGCATTCTTATTTTTATTGTTTATATATATATTTTTTTCTTTTTCTTGTCTGTTATATAAAAGTTTAGATTGTACACGGAAAAAATATTGCAGTAAAAATTACCATAAAATTGTATAAATTGGGCAATACGGGAATGATGACTGAAATTATTACATGTGTTGTAATCTGTAATGATGTACGCAATGAAATACATCATTAAAGATTACAACACGCATCATAGTTTCAGTTAAATTCCGGTATGGTCTAACATTACAAAATCTTGTGGTAATTTTTACTACGATACTTTCTCCGTGTATTTTACGTACTTACTTTTTTCCGAAACGCTCTTAGGGCACTTTTCGCCCCAGAGCGTCAATAAACTATCTATTTATTTATGCAGCTATCAATCTAGACCGAACATCGAGAATCGAGAAGCTCGTCGCAATGCAAACGACAACGGGAACACGAAGGTTAACTCCCTTTTGCTGCGCACAACGAATGCGTCGTTGAAAAGTAACTTCTCAATACGCATGTGCCATGTGCAATCACTTACGGACGCTGTATATATACTGCACCTTGTTTGAAAATTTCGGTTAAAATTATTCTGATTATATTACTCCACCTCAGTGTCGCACAATTGAATACTGTGCCACACACACACACACACAGCGAGCACTTTTTCAACTGTAGTCGCACCGCAGCAGGTTAATCGAGACGACTGTTCGCAGAGAGACGAATTGCTTTTTCTTCCGCAGATCCGCAGAAAAAATTATGCGACACAAACGACGCGACCAACTGTCCGCGACGACGTTGCGATCGCCCGCCATCGAGCTCAAGCAACGGGCGCAAACCACTCGGTAAAAAAAATCCCGCGATGTTTCTCAGCGATGGGTTCGTTAGAGACGTAGAAAACGACGTTCTTTTCCTTCTTGACACTTTGATTTTCATGAATCATCCGAGAACTTCAATGAAATTTGAGAATAATCTGGATCACGCGTGAATAAACGCATTCCCCAATGCTCGTAATTGTTAATTAGTTCTCTTAAGTTTTCATCGTCTAATTAGTGCGGAGCAATTGGTCATGCTTTGTGCATAAATCGATGGAATTAACGCGTGAATAAATCGAAGAATGAATTAACGGGGCGGCCGTTAACGGGCAGAGCAGTTGGAATACGCGTTGATTTCGACGCGCCTCAATTGTTCCGCGCTTGGAAATTCGAACGTCGAGATCGGTCGCGCGGGAAAATAAACGCAATCCATCGCTAACGACCGGGGTGACATAGTTACAATAACGTTTTGCCGTTTCATGCTCGGAACCAAGAACCGCTAAACGACGCGCTCGAGTCAGCGATGTGCCGTCAAAATCCAACATATTGTGCGCCGAAGTCGCATCGTCGCAGGAGCAGACCGATCGTAAGAGGTGTGCCTATATATCATGCGCTTCTTTTCATTACCGTATGAATCTCTATGTTGTCCGTCGAATATAAATATACACGTCACACTTGCGCCTCTCTTGATGAGAGAGGAGGCAGCAATCGCAGGCATGGGAACGGTTTGACTGTTCAAATACAGTGAACAAAGCGAATTTCATTCTTGAAAGAGTGAGAAAACAGCGAGCGAGCGAGCTTTAAAAGAAGCGAATAAAAAGTGCGCCTTTTCTAAGTAATTTGTACGATAAAGATTAAATTGTTCATCCATCATACGCCATTCCTTTAAGGGATTAAAAACACTGACCTCACGGTGAAAATCAATGAATAGCAAAATTTGAATTTTGAGAAAGAAAATGTTACGTGATACGTAAAACCTAGAATTCACTTTAAACTCAGTTTCAGTTGCATATTCACACTCTCCCATGCCTGCAATCGTGAATTTTTACGAACGCACTAATCGTCACCTTCGTCGCATCTTTCCGTGCGTCGACAGTGTCGCATCGGTGTCGTTTGCGCGAAAGCACCCGTCAAAGCAAACCCCGAAGAAAGAAGAAACCGGTCAACGTAACTAAAATTACTAGTTATTTTCAGCGTGGACTGGATCTTCTCCAGTAAAAAAAAAAAAAAAAAAAGTAACAGCAACAACAAATACAAAGTTGCTGTCGCCGGCACTGTAATAACACTCGCTACAAAAATGTTTCTCCTCATTGATAATTGTTTTCACTATGCGCGCATATATAGCTAGTTACAAACAGCACTTTTTTCTCCATGACGAAGGTGTATTCTGAAATTTTTTTCTTTTCTCGTCACGATCGTTGCGACAGGTAGAAATGCAGAAGCACGGGGGGGGGAGGGACGCGAGGCCGGGGTATATTTTTCCGAAAGGCGTCATTCTGACGCAACACGACGTTTTATCGTCAGCGGTCGTGTTTTTCTCGCGAGCGCAAACTGTCTCGCAATTGTGGGTCGCGTGCCTGTATGTGTGTGTGTGTGTGTGTCCCGCAATAATCTCGAGCGCGGTCCGTGCGATCGCTGATCGCTAAGAATCGCTCGCCGATCGTCACATCGGCAAGCAAGCACCCGGAAGCGCTTTTCGTCCTGCCGCTCCCTGCGCGACGTCGCTCGTCAATTCTGCCGCGAACATTACGCAACGCCGATCGCCCGGCCCTCTTTCTCCTCTTCTTCTTTCTCTCCGCGCATACTTCGCACGTCCGCAATCGTAATCGACCCGCTGTGGGGATCGCGGAATTTATCGCGGCCGATAATTCGTAGGATAATTCTTGCGCGAATCGAGGAAACGCCGGGGGAGGAAACGGCATGTCGACCGGACGGAAAGAAAATCGAGACAGGTGCAAACTCACGATCGTTTCGTTCGCCACGTAATTCCGCGGATGAAATTACGATATCGGACGCGTAATCGTCGATGACTGTCGAGAAGGTTTTCTGCCGGGGGGATTTCTATGAAAGAAAAATACGCGTCTCGAGGAACATCGGCACAGCAGTGTAAAATTCGCCGTCACTCCACTTTCCTCCATGCGACAACTTTTGATTTACCGCGGGAAAATTGAATAAGATTTTCTCATTAGCTCTCTCTCTCTCTCTTTTTCTCTCTCGGCTCCGGAGAATCGCACTCCTTCGGAATTTCTGCAAGACATCACCGCCCGTCGACTCGTTTTATTGAATATTAATTCCGGTTCCGCGGAGTCACATGTGTGTCTCTGCGTGCTTCGGATGCGCGATCGGACGTGCGGTTTTCTCGAGTGGAATTCTGCGAAATTCGCGGAAGAGGAACGCGTACACGTGGCGTCCGTCGATCGCAGCGTTCGCAGCGTCGTTCCGCGAGCAATGAGGATATCTTGCGAGTGAAAAAAAGTGTATAAAAAAACGTACGTGTGTAATGCGTACGTATCTCGCGAAAAGCGGCATAGAAACACGCATAGATATACGCAATTGCAGTAGCCGGTGATGCAAAACAGTACAATGAATAGTGCAGTCGACGCGATCGACGATAAAGTCAAGTTTCATTACGAGTTATATTAATGATTGGACGGTCGACAAATGATTCCGCTCGCGGGAACGTGCGTCTCGGCGGCTATTTTTAACATCATCACTAACGATCGAGGACAAATATCGAGCTTCATCGTCGAACAATTTGAAATAATGAGCCACTTCCCCCGACTGGCCGCGTTTTTGAGAATTAATCGCTGTTCACGAAATAATTGCCCCCTAGTCGTAGGCAAATGATGGATTGCTAATTAAGCGGGAATTATCTTCGTGGTACACGGCCATTTTACGGTAAATTAGTCTTGTTAAAGAGTCATCGTAAAACGGCTAACAGAGTAACAATACCGATAATTGCGCACGTTAAACTCCTTGACTCTTCACTCGAGATGCCAACCGAGCGGAAAATTAATCGGATGATAATTGAGATCGATCCGTCGTAGCTGCCGGCGCAAAAACTACCGCCGAGAACTTCGTAACATCGTATCATTCCCGTGGTTTTTTCTTGTTTATGATGTATAAATATATATTGTCGACTGTTTTCTTCCGTCTTTCCAAGCGGAGGAATTTTCGATCGCCTCCGTCGCGCCGTAATCTCGGGCGAGCTTTTTGCGCGCGATATTCCGATCGCGTTCTCCGCGATTCATTACGATTTGATGATTTTTACGTGATTTTCGCGATAGCGAGTCGTAACATGTCGAGTCGGGACTGAAGAAATAATTACCCGGAGCTGGAGTATCGTTACATCGCGTTCCCCTTCACACACGCGCGTACCCGCGCGCGCCCGATGAATGAACCCCGCCGTTAAAATTCTTCGACGGGGAAAACTCGCGCGGATTTTCGCAACCGCGAACACGGCGTTTGCAAACATCGCCGCTCGCGTAACGCGACATCGGTAACGCGACCTCCCTCGGCCCGTCGCTTCTCCGAATGCTGAGATAACCGTCTATCGCGCGAAAAAGCGTAACACCTCGTTCGGTTATTGTAACGCTAGGCCCGCCACTGGATCCACTTGCGTAATATAAAGTTGTACATTTCCGTCGTCGTAACTCCGATATATCGTTATATCGTTTTTCCTCTCTTTTTCGTCTAATAAGCGGTATGTGTTCGATACTTTCCTTCGATCGACTCGGGGATAACAATCCGTCTGGATTCGTTAATCAATTGTCCGAGCTAACTCGAGCATTTAGGCTTACGTAACCGGCGATAGTCTCGGTTGCTGCGAGGTAAACATGTTGCGATCCGAAGGGGGGAGGGGGGGGGAGAGAGAGAGAGAGGCCTCTCGGTACAGGAAAATTAACCTTTAAAAGTTAATCGTATGCTTGAACGGCCGCATTTATTTTCGAAAAAAATTTCCATCGACTGCCGTTGGCATATCTCGGCAGCTCGCTTAAACGGTATCCAGAGAGACAAAACGTTTTTCTCGTACATAAATCCGCACACCGAAGAAAGTTGCTTTGGATTTAGTGTACGTGGTTGTTTGACTTGGGTTGGTTTAACGGTTCAAATCCACAGAAATCTCCTCTGTATACCTTTTTACACATACAGATTTTATAAGATTACAATTGTAAACCATTGTTATCGAGAAATACTTCTTTATAAAACGACAGCCGCCTGCAGAATGAAGCCACATGCATACGACAGCGCGGTAGCCAGTGTTAAAAGACAAAAAAAATCTTAAAAAGAAGAAATTAATTTTACAATAATAACAAAAGAATCGGAAAGATTAAAGTCCCGGGAGGGATAACGCGTCGCTCCCTGCGAGCGACACCTCGCATCCCTCCGGCTCGCCGGCGTTTCGAGTGACAGGAGCCGCGGCGCGAGCGTAATATCCGCGGCGCGAAAGTTCGCCTCGGGAAAGGGAAATCGCGAAATAAATCGCCGAAATCGCGCGAACTAGCGCAAGAATTCACGCTCGCTCGGCTTTTACGCGCGCAATGCGGACCGCCGCTGCGCGCCCGATGCGTGCATACGTTATGTATTCCGCGTCCACGTGTGCATGAGCGCACGCCTGTACGTGCATTGACGCGCGCGCACACAGCCACGTGCTGTCCAGATAGATAGGCAGGCAGGTGAGTGAGTACGTATGCACGTACACCTGGACGCGCGCGTTAAACACATACACGAGTGACACACATGAGAGCGCGCGTCGACGCGTTGCCCAATGAATTGCCGCGCGTCAGCGAAAAGAAAGCCGCGGCCAGCGTGCCCGTTGCGTAACACACACACGCACACACGCGTCGCTTCGACTCTTTCCATACCGCGCAATCCGGACTGAGATTTACAGAATCGAATTCTCTGCAACGAGCACGTGCACACGGTTACTCTACGGAGGGATTTTAGAGACCCAGGGCGACGCGTGTCGAGGCGACGTCTCGATGCTCGGCGCTGAAAATCGGCGTTTCCTTGGATTTTGGAGAAGCGACGAGTCATCGTCGCAGCATCGAATCGAGAATCACGGTTCTGGCGTAAAGAAGAAAATATCTTTCTTCCCTGGTTTTTTTCCATTTCCAGGGGAAGCTCGAAGTCTGAAGTGAAAGTTCGAAATTTGGGAAAAACTTTTCGTTCCCGAGAAAATGGAGAAATAATCTCCGTTGACAAGTGATGACGAACGGAGTTTTCAACGAAGCGAAGTTTCAACTTCTCGACTTTCTTCTCAACTTTCGAAAGTGAATCGTGCCGCTCTCCGTTCTCGCGTGCTCCTTCTGTCGAAACTCCGGCGAAACGCGTGATCCACCCCCTACGATCGGCTGCACGCTCGTCCACCACACCCCCGCCTCATTGTAATTTTACACGTCACGTTACAAGTGTCTCCGCGAAGAAATCTCGGCCAAATAGCCACACGCGTTCCACAGAAAGCTTGCACAAGATACATTGCATGCGATTTGTGACATCCTTCATGTAATCTCTCTCTCTCTCTTTCTCTCTCTCGTTACCGGCATGTTCGCTTCTATTGCAGCGACGGAGCTACGGGCGCCGAAGGTCTCACGAACGCGAGCACGATGCAGAGCAACGCGGATGGCAACGTGGACCTCACGATGGTGACGTCGAGCACCGTCCTGGCGACGCCAGGGCTCAACAACCCCTCCTGGAATCGCCAACAGGCGGTCAGCGTCAGGCACGCCTTCAAGATCTATGGTAGCAGCAAGAATCCGAATCACGTCATACAGAATCTCAGCATGACTGTCGCTAAAGGCTCGATGTGAGTGTGTTAATTATATTTGATTAATTGAGTGGCCGAAAAATCCGTGATATTTCTGTGGCGATCGTGACATTGATGCATTTATTAATAAAAAAAAAAAAATTTTAATTGCATGAATGAAAACACGCCTCAGATTTAATTCAAGTTCATCAAGCGAATGACCGTGCTCTTTGATTAACATAAAACAAATATAATAATAAAGGACGATAAAAAAAGAGCTGCGATATTGATTAATCGGTTATCGTCTATTATTATATTTGTTCCGTTCAGAGTGGTTTCTCTACGCACAATCTTTTTCTGTTCTCTTCCGCCTCCGAAGAGGCTTTTCATAGAGACGCGTCCAAAGCGAAACATCGCCTGTATTGACGAAGCTCTTCGTCTTCGCGATTCGCTCGGATCTTTTTTTTTCACGACTCGCCCATTGAAAACGCGAGACACTATCTGCTGAGTATATCGAAACAAACGGACGATGATATGCATAATTTATTTATTTATTCATTTGTCTGTTCAAGAGAGAAAAAGAAAGAGAAAAATACATATAATATAAATAAAAAGACGGATAATGATAATGAAATAATATAGGTGAAGGAAATGATCACAATTACTCAACTCGATGACATAAATTGCGCGTTTGTCTGAACGTTACGATAACGAGGGGTTTCACGGTTCTGCGTTTTCATCTCGAATTGAAAAGTAAAATATTGCTGAAGTATTCTTCCTCGTAACGTAATAATAATGATATTTCTTTTTTCTCTCTGTGTGTACACGCACACACACACATACACATGTATATATATATATATATATATGTATATTTTTCTCTACATTACGTGTACATTTTATTATACCGCACGCTACGAATTTACGTGTATCGCCTCGCCATTAGGATTGCCTAACTTCCTGGTGCAGGTACCTCTTCTCTCTCTCGTAATCTAACTCGAAATAAAGAAAATTGTGCACTTACCGCCATTCCGCTGTGAGCGGATAATGTCTCGAGAAAGCGATACGCGGGAATCTCATTATCTGGCTTAACGAGTCATTTAGCGGAACGATGATTAACTCGCGAGTGCCGGCTGTATGTGTTAATTAATACGTCGCAATTCGTGCCGGTAGTACCGCGAGATCGCGATTTGTGATAAGGGGGGGGGGGAGCTTCCAGAGGGGGACGGGCGGTATCGCGCGTTATGGCGAATTATTTCATAACGCGAAACAACAATGTGTCCTAGGCAGCTACCAGGAAATCAAAGCACACTCGCGACCGGGCTGTAATTTCAGTTATAATCGTTGGATGCTCGTTTCATAATTGCCGTGCAATCGACACCTATGATTCACCTTGTAATGTTATCCGCACTAACTTAAAGTCAAAAGTAATCGTTATGGATCACGCGAAGCGCGTTGAAATTTACGCCTCTTGAATTGCGTCTCTGCCGCGCTCTCTCTGGGTCTTACACGCGCTACAAAAAGAAATCTTCGATCTTAACAACCTGTCGCTTAATCGTGACTTCTTTACAAGCAGAATTTCAAGGCTCTCTTTCAAAAAGAGAAAAAAAGAAAGAAAAAACAAGACTTAAGGAATTCAAATGTTGCGTAATTCAAACTTCCTCGAATAGGATGTTTAGAATCTGTCACCCGTACGACAGTCAATGTCGATCTGGATATGGTTTGCAAATAAGAATAACTTTCGACGATGACGCGAAAAACTAATTTGCGGAAAATGTCAAGGACTGCAAAAAAAAGTACTCTACTTTTATAATGCCCGTCTTTTTCGCGTTATGAGAGTCTGCTTATTAATAATTATAATTATTTTCTACACTTTCGGCCAAAGGTCGGCTGACGCGACGGAATTTCGTTTGCGAAACATCGCAAACCTGCAATACAATGAACGTTTATGTGAGACAAGTGATCGAGGCTATCGGGGCTCCTTGCACGCCGTAATTGATGATTAATGCTCAATTACGTTCAATTATGCTCTGCGTCGCCTTTCGAGTTTCCGACATTCCGACTATTATCGTAATATTAAGTCAATTAAAACGTTTAGTTCGATTTGTCAATCAAATAATCGCAATTGTTCGCCAAAATGTCGGCGTAATGTATTCGTTTAACTATATCGCAAAAAAATTGGCAATTTATCATCGGAGGCAAAAAAATTTTACCGAAATTCTTTGAACTGTTACAATAAATCGATACGTTTGCGCATTATAATTAATTCACGACTCAGATACACAATCTATTAATTTTTTCGTAGTTTCCGGAATTAATAAAAAGCATCACGTCAGTCTGTCAGTATCTATCGTTGAACCTTGAAAAGTACCTTCGATATCCATCCGTGAACATTATTTTCGTAAGACTGCTAGTCGGAGAAAAATAAGTTCCGCGTTCAGAGAAGAACTTCGCCGGTAACGGTAAGAAATATGAGAAAAACGAAGCACAAAGGAAATGCGAAGAGAAATAGCGGTGACGTGTGACATATTCTGCATACGAAAGGGAATAAATTCGATGACAAATTAGCGTGATTCACTGAGAGTACGAAGGCAACGCGGTCTTAGGTCGTGTTCTCAATTTCCACATGCTCCATCGCGGATGATTGCGTCACGTGCAACTTCGCGTTGCCTTCAGCCGGCTCGCAATTTAAATTTGATTATTCCTTCGTTGTGATTACCTCGACGCATTCTCGCGGACAAACCGCGTGCACGCATGCGCACTTTCGGGATGAAACAAGCCCATTTCATTTCGCATCGCGTTTTCGTAGGCGAGTCTCTTTCTCTCTCTCTCTCTCTCTCTCTTTCTTGCTCAATTTCTCGCGAATGTCTATCAGTCGCGCAAGCAGTCCTACCTAAATCATTTCCTTCCAACGAAACTTTCCAAAATCACGAAACTTCCGATTCCCGCGAATCTACGTATTTGCCGAGATTCCAAGGAGAATGAATCTTCCGAGTCCGCTTTTGTTCGTGCTCCTGCGAAAATTGCAAATGCAAATGGCTCTTGTTGATCTGTCCATTCATATTCAAAAATATGACACGCGTGCTAAAAGTGCAAGACGCGCATGTACAAACATGTACGAGTGAATTTTTCGATGAGCTCGAGGGAATTCGTTCCCGACGGAACATTCCGCAAAATTAATGCGAATTCGCCGCCCGATAACATCTCACTTTTTCCCCTTACTCGTCTCTCCTCGAGTGTCCTCGAAGCACTTACGAAATTTTCCTCGGCGTTTTGCCAACCACGCCTTTTTCTACCGATTTGATGCTAATGACTGACATCGACGATGATTCGTCCATTCGTGCTTACAAATACGACACACGCGCTAAATATACGATGCTATATATACGCAAACATATTTCGCGTAAACTCAAGGAAATGTTTTCGAGATATTCCGCATGAAATTAACGCGAATTTGCCGTCTGGTGAGATCATTTTTACTTTTCACTCGTCTCGAGAATATTCCGAATACTTTCTTGAAATTATTATCCCGTCATTTTACCGATCGCCAAGCTCCTTCCTCTCGCGATTTGACTAAGGAATTGCAAAAAATCGTAGTTTATATTACTAGAAGCAACGCCAAATTAAAAGTTTAGCAACGTAATATAATCATGAATACAAATGTAGGCTAATAAAAAATACATCAGAGTTTGAAAAAAGAAAGCAATTATGACGAAAAAAAGATAATTGAATAAAAATGCTGAATAAGACATGAGGTTGAGGAAAATAACTCGATTATGATTGGTCTTCTTTTCTTACTGTTTACGTTTTACCGTTTAAGTTTTTCTGCGTGCCACGATTCTAACACGTGAGAAATTATTTGATGCGAGAGTTTTGAACGTACTGAACTATAAATGTTAGATATAATATTAAAACAAAAATTAGAAATACTCTTTAGGAGGAATATAGGAGGATTTAAAAGAATTGTTCGAAGCAGAGTTCAAAATTCCAGACTCTTTTATATCTTTCCCCGATTTTTCCTTGATTAATTTAAATTTCTACGACTCTTCTCAGTTTTCTCGGTTTTCTAGATCTGTGGCGATCCTGACTGACAATAATGAGTAAAAATTATTGCTCGAAATGTTTGCGTTAGATACGGATTGCTAGGCGCCAGCGGATGCGGCAAAACCACGCTACTGTCCTGCATCGTCGGCCGGAGAAGATTAAATTCAGGTGAGATCTGGGTGCTCGGTGGTAAACCAGGGACGAAGGGATCCGGGGTGCCGGGTAAAAGGGTTGGCTACATGCCACAGGAGATTGCCCTTTACGGCGAGTTCACCATACGCGAGACCATGATGTACTTCGGCTGGATATTCGGAATGTGCACCGCCGAGATCGTCGAGAGGCTGCGCTTCTTGCTACAATTTCTCGACCTGCCTTCGCAGAATCGCTTGGTGAAGAATCTCAGGTACGAGTGTTTTGCGCGACTTCCTCCGGGCGAACCCATTGATTCCCGTTGCATCCGCGCATGCGAGAACAATGACGAGTCTTTGCCGAACTTTGCAACTTGGGATTAAACTTTTTTTTTTATTTAACTTTTATTTTATTTATTTTACTTGTAACTTTTGGGCTTTATCTTTCAGAGCGAAGACTACTAAAATTTTGTTTCCCATCCAATAATAGTAATCCATAACAACCTCTGTTTAATATAATTGATAAAATTATAATATTATTGGAAGAAAAAGGATAGACAAAAATGACAAAGTTCTATTCCATAAAAATTGTAAAAACAGTGAATAATGGTTGGTAGATCACCTTTCACAAGTAAGTTAGTATATTCGGATGTTTGCAGAAAAGATTATAGAAAGTCGATCGATCAGAGATCACTAGACTAGAGAAGGAAATGGTACTTATGCTTTACCTCAGCGTACCCTGGTTTTTTCTCTCAACATTCTAGTACAGTATTCAGTGGGAAAGTCCGATAGGAAATTAGTCGCGAGTACGATGGCGATTTAACATTTAAAAAAACGTCACACGTACTTTGAACGACTCAGGAGTACTATTCTACGGATTATTATCACCAGGTGTGAGAAAAAATCGTAGTCTTCGTTCTAAAAGATAAATTCCAAAAATTACAAATAAAACAAAAATAATAAAAATAAAATAACAAAATGAGTTCAGGATTTTTCAAAGAGATTTTCGTCTACCTCATAGATAAGCTAGAATTGAATTTTATCAAAGAAACACAAGACTTCCGAATCCTTCGAGATTTCGGCCAAATGTCGATAAAATTATTATAGTTAGCACGTTGCGTAATAGGTAATATAATTATGTTAATATCGATCGATTTTACTCTTCGTCAGTGGCGGTCAACAGAGACGAGTATCTTTCGCGGTGGCCCTCATGCACGACCCGGAACTCCTGATCCTGGACGAGCCGACCGTAGGCGTAGACCCGTTATTAAGACAAAGGTATGCCTCTTCTACTATCTTCATACGTTCGACACTTTCAAGCTGCACGCTCACGACGAGACGGCCCCACCGTCACTCATTATATATAGCCCGACAAGTGCAATGTTACTAACTAGGACAGCTGACTTTCATACGCGAAGCTCAATGATCCACCGCGCGCGCGCGCGTGCCTCTGATCACCGTAATTAAGTAACGTGACTGACCGTATCCCATCCCGAACGAGTTGTCCACTTAAATTTCCGGCCGAAAGCGATTTCCCGTATGGGAAAGCGTGCGCGACGAAATCGACTAGCGCTCGTCCAGAAATCACGTCGCGAATTACACGAGAAAAAAAAAAAAAGAATTAGCTTTCACAAGTAAAAATTAGCTCTCCATATGACACAACTGAAATTTAGCTAACTTTAACTAATTGTTTTCGTCCCTGTACCTAGTTTTCAGCTCTCACAGCTAAAAATTAGATCTGGTAAACTAAATTTCAATCGTATTGCGCGAACAGCTAATTCCTTCTTCCCGTTTTTTAAGTATCGTCCGCTCTTCGCTATTCCTCTCCGATCTCCCTGCGGAGAGGAGTCAATCTCGCTCGACGAACCGCGACATTCCCCAGCGGCCCGGCACGCTGCCGGCTGCGATGAAAACGAAACGAGGAAGGAAAGAGCGAAATCCGAAGGATCGCCGCCGCGCGAGAATCCCCGCGCGAACTTTCGCTGAAAATCTAAGCGCGTCGGGGGATTAAATCGCGCGTGCCGGTGACTCTCCGTGGCAAATGCACCGAATCGTAAGTCACGCTTTAAGCTTGACTTTAAGTGAAAGTATCGCCGGTTCGGCCGTGGACGGGCACGAAAGGGGAGAACTGAAAATGAACACGACGGGGTTTCGGTCCTTCTCCACAATTCATCCGGCGCTAAATCATCGAACGCTCGCGCGAATTGAACAACGCGAATTTCTACACGCACGTGAAGTTCGCGACGGAGAGAACTTCGAATATCATCGAGTTGATTATACTTATTTTAATGGCTCATTCGAACGCGGAGTCCTTGACGACGCTCGTAAACGCAGAGAACACGTCACGTTCGAGTTTTCGGTCTTTGCACATTGGACCGTGACTAACGGAATAATGGTTCGTCGACATAAAATTCCCTTAGGAGCCATGACATCCAGCAATTACGACTCGCATTCGTCGCTGCCTCGCGACGGGAAAAAGAAGGGGACGACCGACGTTTTTTAAAGCGCACGTTTATTCGCACTAAAGTAAACGTCTCGAAGCGATACCGTATTAAGTGCACGAGGAAAATACTGTTTGGAGCTTTCAGCTGACGGTTATGCAGTGACACGTCACAAATTTCAAGAAAGTAAAAACAGAAAACAGGAAAACGGGAGCCTCAAAGTTGTTTTTTATAATTGTTACAATTGTTCTAAAAAAAGGAGGGAGCAAATTTTATCAATTAAATTCTGAAAGAAGTATCATAAATTATCGATAAAAAGATGACTAGAAAATTATTGTATTTTCTGTATAATTTTATAGTTTTTAAAAACCGTTTTTTTCCGCACATCTTTTCGATTTCTGTCTCAAGGCTACGAAAATTCGTTTAGAAGAATTCACCGTATATCCGGTTAAAACCTGAACCACATTTACCTTTTTCCCATAAAGAGAATAAGAAACCGAAAAATCCGCAGAAAAAATGGGGAAAAGGCGAGTTTTTGCTGAAACTACTTTCTTTTCGTTTTATTTATAGAGGGGAAGGGAAATTTATTGACGGAGAGGGAAAAGCGTCGCTTTCGTTCGACGACAAATGAGGCGAATAATTAACGGAATATTCGCCGTAATAACATCTTGCTCTCATAACAGGAAATCATTCGCGTTATTATCTTATAATCGGTTGCGGTCATCTGCTATGCTTCGCTTCAGCCACAGTGCGGTGCTAAATTCGTTTCGGTGGCGCGTGAGAAAAATTTTCCGAGCATTCCCGCGAACATTTTACGCGTAACGTAAATGGAGCGAGAAAATAAAAGTCGCGTAAACGTGTTAAGAGGCAATTCGTTCCTGCGTATCGGCCGGTTATTTGTATAAAGTGGCGACTTTTCCAGGCGCGTAATCATTCCCTTTTGTAGTGGATTTTATTGAGATTTCACCGGGAGACGCGAAGCGAAAGAAACGCGCGACGGAACGTGAAGAAACAAAAATAACAATGCGATAGCAGAGCTTCGAGCGCTTTGTCCGATTGTCTGGGAAAGTTTTTACAACTTTGTTACGACCGTTTGCACGCTCCGAATCCGCGCATCTCTCATCCTTTCTCCGCGTTTTCGATCGCGTGTAATTGTTTCGCGAAATATTTATGGGAGCCCCGATCACTTTCCACGCAAACGCCGCTAACAAAGTTCGCGATCTTCGCTCCTTCAACCTAACCCAATTCCGACGTTTTCCTTTACATCGCAATTCGCGCGTCTCTACGTCTCGCGTTGTCGAATCAACATCACAGTTACTCATTAAAATTCGTGATCGCTCCTTAAATTAATCGCATGCGATTTGTTATGTTTTAATGCGGCAACATGACAGTTTCTAATAGAGAGATTTCGCAGTTTTTGCGAATCACAAGTGAATCGCAAGTGATTAAAGGCATTTCAAGTTTACGTGGTCTCAACATCCTTAATGGAAACATTTTCGCAACAAACTCTCGACAAGCGTCTCCCATGCGCGAAAGGATCAGTTATCTAATATACAAGCTTCAAGAATATATAATGACACATTCTGAGCATGACAGATTCAATAATCGAGCCTGCACCGAGCAGGCCGGCGCGACTTTCGACTTTTACTTTGTTACGGTCTAGTTTCATAAATCGACGACCGATCCCAACATTGCGCGTGCAACGGCGCAATGGTTAGTTCGACAAATTAACCAGCTCGCGCTAAAAGTTCTTCGTTTTTAAACGCGATTACGCAGGTACACGTCCACCTCGTCCTGCGCGTCTCGTTAAGGTAATTGGTCCGTCAAACTATTTTCTTAGGAATCCTTTCGAATTTTAGATGCATATTTGACGGAAATACTAACTGCACGTCTGTAAAATAAGAAAACGATTGACCATTCGAAAGCTGAGATATTCGCAACTGAATAATAATAAAAATAATAATAATAACAAACTTATGAAAGAGACCATTGATATCGCCACTGAAAATCCGGCGTTCTGGGCGGACTAACTGCCTTAAGTAAATCCCGGCGGATTAATCGCGCGCGTTTCAACTGTGCTCAAATAATTGTGTTAACAAATGACGATGTATTTTTCCCGTTTTGATGATACGCAGATTCAAAACACCAGAAAGTCCCGCACAATTCGACGGCGCGGAATTTGTAAGATCTCGAGATCTCGCATCAATAATACATGAACTCGACGAACGTGCGCGTTTTATCCTAGTCACGTCGCGAATGAGGTTCGAGGGGATCCTCTCGTTTTATGTCTAATCCATCGCACCTCATCGTCGTGTGACTCAGAGAGGAAACATTTACGCGCAGCGCTTCTATGCGTTTGCCTCGGTGCCTCGTTTATAATTATGCATCTAAACACATTCTACGTAATGCCCTTGCAGCTCTATACATTCCTCCCTTATTCTTTCCGAAGAATCATATCCTCGGCACGAACGAAAATATAAGAGGAATATCGAGAGAATAAATTAAAACGAAAGACGTCGTGCGACTAAATCGAAAACATACTCTCTACTTTTATTTTGTAGCATATGGAACCACCTAGTTCAAATCACCAAAGACGGTAACAAGACGGTCATCATAACGACGCACTACATCGAGGAGGCTCGACAAGCGCACACGGTAATATCATACAGAAAAAAAAAACACTAGAGAAGCTGGAAAAGATAGCTTTCTATAGTGTTCTATAATGTTAGTAGTAAGTTAGTAGTAGTAAAATATCTTGTGTTAAAAAAGGTCCATCCAAATTTTTATATTACTTTAACACGGGGAATATGTTAGAAAATACACGAATATATTAAACTAATATATTCACATCTTGTTAAATATTACTTTTTAACATATTCACCTTGCTAAAAAAAGAACACACAAATTTGGGTGGACCGTTTGTAACACAAAATTTTTTACTATAGTGTCAGTGATGAAAAAGGATAAAAGAAACAGTAAGGAATAATTTCGTGGATAGATGGTTTCTCGTTCAATTAACCGATCAATTGCATCGACACTCGCGGTGTGGATTAGCTTCTATCCCGACTACGCGATTGAACTCCTAGGAGTAGGACCGCCAGAGAGAAAGACTCCGAACGATTCCAATGTGCCATGTTAATGTCAAATCCGGCCGATGATTGACGCCGATTGCACGTTATTATCGCGCCATTGGATCGACCATTCCGCATATGCGTTACGTCGCGCGCGTAAATTACAGTGACCCGCCTCTCTCGGAGATCGCTCTCGATTTTTTGCCAATTGATCTGTTTATCTGACGATGGTCGCAGCGCGGCGTTGCGGCCGGAATAATATCTCGGAATTAGTCTCTAATCTGTCTCGATCGATTCGCGGAGAAGAGATTTATTTATTTATTCGTTATCCACACACACGTGTACACACGTCCTTTCAGTGGAAAATTCACGCGCGAATTGGTCCTTCCAAGGAAGGAGAGATAAGCTTAGGAATTATATAAACTAATGTTTCCACGGGGGGATAAAAAGTTGCGGTAATGTTTGGTGGCAGGATTTGTGCCTGCGCGCGTTAAATGCGTTATAAATCCATACTTGTTAAGATACACTTGAAGATACGGCTTTCTAGACTTACACAAGTGTTCCAAGTATCAAAGTGTCAGGGAGCCGATTGAAGATAACGAAAATACAGTGAGAAACAATTTCGTCGGCAGATCGGTCTGATGAGGAGCGGCCGATTGTTGGCCGAGGAGGCGCCTAGGACTCTCTTATCAATGTACAACTGCGCCTCTCTCGAAGAGGTCTTCTTGAAGCTGTCCCGGAAGCAAGGACAATATGCTCAGCCGACGGAGCTCAACATCTCGAACAATATCAGCTTGGTGAGCCGGAACACTCGAGGAGCCTTCGTGGTTCCCTCGGACTAACTACTTTGTCACTTGTACTTTGCCTCTGCATGCTTTCTGTCTCGGACAATTTTCACGCAAATTCGACGTCCACGAGTTCGGCACGTTGCACAGTGTAAGAGGGAAAGCACGATCCACGATCCGAGTATCACTTTAGTCGTGTATACGCAATAGTGCGTTATCGTCTGTTTGCATCGTTCGCATGTACGTTATCGCGCTCGTCGTCGCAATTGCCGATTTGTACTTTCGAATTTCCCAAGGTAGTCGTATAGCATAAAATGCGTTCTTAAAGATTCGTTGAAATTTGCATTATCTATAACATATATAGTGTGACCTAATTATTGTAATTAGAAAACGACCGGTCATTCGAAAGCTGAGATATTCGCAATTAAAAACACTTTTTATACATGTTAAAACAGGTCAAAATATTTTAATATGTCACACGTTACACGCATGCTGTTTATACAGATTACATTACTTGTACGAGCTAATTATACTATTATACGAAAAGAATTTTCAATTCGTATAATTAAATCAACATCAGATTAAAATTCGTTGACGAGGAAATAAGGTTTATGTTAATGTTAGACTTTGGCAGTAGGTAACAAATTTTAGAAATATTCGAACCGTCTTATCGATTTTATACACTACTTCCTGTATCTCGATCCCTCGTGTTTTTTTCTTTCGATATATATTGAATTTCGCAATCTGTCTTTGTCTCCTATTTGGAAATTCGTACCTTCTATTCTCGAGCTTTCCCGTTTCATCACTATACTGCATATGACATCGGTGTCGAACGTTGCGTCGTTCATACTTTTTGGCACAGCTAATCGGTCGCCACGACAGGCTAATCGACAGGTGGCAACATTTAGGCGAAGAAAGGAAAATATATTACATTCACTTTATATCGTGTTTCGCCTCACGGCGAATTTCGCTGTCAGATCTGCGTCAAGTTTAGACCACCACACCTCTTTTCGCCACCGGCGAAACGCTTCTTTTCCCCTTTATTTTTTTTTGCACACAGGCTTCTTTAAACTGGGGCAAGAAAGACGAGCCGGTGTACGTGACGGAGGAATCCGGCGTGGTCGGTCTCAACTTCCATCAAAGCAAAGAGGTCCTGATCCATGACTCCACCAACGGAATAGCCAATCATTATGATGTAAGAGAGATTACTTGCCCGCCCGCATCGCGGATGTTAATTTGTACAAATATTTACGGCCTTCATTAGCAGTGTGTGACAGCCCATACGATGTCCGTCGCAAATCAATGCGGCTTATATTTACGCATGCACTAAGTTAACAATGTATCGCTGTGTAAGAATGGAGATTTCACACTCACTGTTCGTCGAAATTCATCGATGTCCGTCCGGCCTGCGTCCCGGACTGGTCGTCATTCCGCGCCCGAAAGTCCAGTCCCGCGTTAACTACAACGGAATATACAAACTAAACCTGCGACAAAAAAAGAGATCGAAATTCATTACCACACTGAGAAGAAATATCTGAAAAATGAAAAATATTTATTCGATGAGTATTAATATAACACATTTATTTAAATTTAAATTCTTTTAAATATGCCGCCGAAGACCGCGCGACATTGGCAATAACACACGACGATAGGACTATTTTGGGGAAATTTCGTACACACGCGCTTTTTTAGTTTTCCCGTAGCACGATGTACGTGTTTATGTGTACGTGTATGATTGTTTGGTCTTTTCAAAATACCAAGCCGAGTTTTCACTCAATAATTTAATGTTGATACATTGGAGATTAGAGAGAAGATATCATCGTATATAATTCGCATGTAATATGACAGTCACGTTAGATCGATAATTTCTTTCTTTGAGAGTGAAGAAATAAATAATACAATATTTTTAATAGCTTTTTCGGTAAATTACGAAGACGTATTTCGCGGAGAGAAGCGAGACGTTCGATTTTGACGACAGTGATCGATACCGGTAGTTGGAACTTGAATAACGTAGATACATGATAATGGTTCTATGTTCACTCATGAATAAATGAAAGGCGACACATGCCGTAAAATCAATCCTTGTCCAATGTGTACGACGGGTTTTTGCGAAACAGATAAATGGCAAGCCGCTGGCGGGTGCGAAGACCGGACCCGTCTTAGACTGTGACGATTGCGGTGATTTCACGGATTGTTACAAGATCACCAGCTGGGGCAAGATCAAGGCGCTTCTGCAGAAGAATTTTCTACGCATGTGGAGGAACATAGGGTACGTTGCTGACCGCGTGATTCATTCGAATCTCTCGCATTTTCTGACCCTCCACTAATTTCTGTCGTTTCTCTCTCTCTCTCTCTCTCTCTCTCTCTCTCTCTCTTACGGACAAATAAAATATAGACTATTACTACACTTTTCTCTTCTAAAAGTAATATATTATACAAACAGTGCGTCTAAATTGCCGGGATAACCTAATTTTTACAATCGATTTGACTTAACGACTATAACACAGAAAATTATGTGTTAAAACAGTCAACTAAAATGCTTAGCGTTCGTTATTCATATCCAGAATAGGGCCTCAGAATATTCGCTAATATATCACGCGTGCGACTATTGTCTGTGCGCAGTGTGATGCTGTTCATCTTCGCCTTGCCGGTGATGCAAGTGATCCTCTTCTGTCTGGCGATCGGACGAGACCCTACAGGGCTAAAGCTGGCCATAGTGAACCACGAGATGTTCTACGAGAACCTGACGTGCCCTATCTCGGAGAACTGCAGTTTCAGTTATCTCAGTTGTCGGTACCTCAAATTCCTGGATGACGAAACGATGGTGAAGGTACGTGCCTGGCGATCGTATAAAAGTATATTTATAATATATGTAAATTCAATATATATGAATAAATAATTTAGACATAATCTAATAAAAAAAAAATATTAAATCCACATTCTCTTTTTCTCTATTTATCTATCTATCTCTAAATTAAAAATTATAATTTGCGAGAAAATTATAAGTTGCGAGAGCAACTTTTCTTCGTCGTTCCTCTCACCCTTTCCATTACAGGTGTATTATCCGGATCCAGACTCGGCGATGGAAGCCGTGCGCAAAGGGGACGCTTGGGGCACTTTGTACTTTACGGAGAACTTCACGGATGCCCTCGTAGCTAGGATGGCTTTGGGAAAGGACTCCGACGACGAGACTCTCGATCAAAGCGAGATCAGAGTCTGGCTGGACATGTCTAGTGAGTGTTCGCGCCTGATCCCCTTTGGAAAACTTCTCTCGGCTAACAATTTAAAAAGCGCACGTTCGCCCCATGATTTAAAGCGCTTCTTTTTTCGAGCCACTCGATAACGAGGCGAAACATTTTATCTTATGCGTTTACTTGCTGCTTCCATCGAAATATCATTGACATACGCTTAAATAACGGTCGCGTATTGCGTCATTCGCAAGATATACTTCCCTTTCATTCGCAGCACGAGAAATAATTCTACTCGTTCAATTTCGCCCGTTTTTCCATTTTTTGCTTTTGACGTCAGTGATCGATACCGGTAGTTGGAACTTGAATATCGTAGACACACGATAGTAAATAACACTCTTTCTTTTTCACAATTCTATCAGAATATTTCCCTGTAACGCGATAATTAGCGCAACTTCTCTTCGCATGCGCGCGCTAATGGCGACTGGAATGCAATTCCCGCGATTTCAGATCAACAAATAGGCCTGATGCTGGCGAGAAACCTGCAGTATTCATACCGGGACTTCGCCAAGGATCTCCTGTCGTCCTGCGAGCAGAATTCGAAACTTGCCGACGTGCCGATTCAATTCAAGAAACCTATTTACGGCACCAACGAGCCCAGCTTTACGGACTTCGTCGCACCAGGTGTAATACTGACGTAAGTTCGCGCATTTCTCTTCTCGTTTCCCGAACTAAATTCCATGACATAACGCTCACGCCTATCGATCGTAGTCATCGATTTAAGCGCTCGATGATCTAATTATCCGATAACAATAATAATTAATGTGTATATTCTCGCTGGAGAGAAGCGTGACGAAAAAAAATCTCGAAGACAGTTTTTCTCAAAATTGTTTGTGTTCGCAGTATCGTTTTCTTCTTGGCGGTCGCGCTCACATCATCCGCGCTGATCATCGAGAGGATGGAGGGTCTGTTAGACCGGAGCTGGGTGGCTGGTGTATCGCCCGGCGAGATCTTGTTCTCCCACGTGGTCACGCAATTCGTGGTGATGTGCGGTCAGACCGCTCTCGTGTTGATTTTCATGATCCTCGTGTTCGGCGTCGAATGCAAAGGCGACATCGGATGGGTCATCATACTGACGATACTCCAAGGACTCTGCGGCATGTGCTTCGGTAAGGCGCTTGATTTCTCGCACTTACAGCTGATATAAAAAATATACAAATTCTCGGGATAGCCCGATTTTTATAATCAAGTCGACTCAACGACTACAACAAGGCAAAAAATTCTGGGTTAAAAACGATACATTGGAATTTGGTGTTACTTTAACACAGGGGGGAAATGTATTGAAAGTTACACAAATATGTGTTAAAAAATGTATACAAATATAACGTGTAGGAAACAAATATAAAACTAGCATAAAAAGTGACGTCGCGATTCCATAAGAAAACGTTCTTTTCGCTTTGGATTTCGCTTTGGTTTAAAATATAAAATGCGCGTTAATGAGTGTTGCAAAGTAAACTCATTATTATTTTTTATTACCATGCTGTATCTTTCGACGTTCATTGGCCGGCTAAGCCAATCTCGTGTACGTTAAACTTGAGCGGAATCTTCGCGGCCGGTTCGTCGTCCTCAACCAGTTTGTCGGGGATATCAGAGTTTCCTCTCGTAAAGACGACGTGATTTGTAAGAAACGCACGCAGTTCTCTCCCGGATTGCCGGCGGAAGAAAAAAACAAAAGATACGTGGATGATCGCCTCTCGTTTCTTTCTTTTTTTTTTTTTACACAACCCGACAAAAGGGAGACGTGTACTAACGCAACGGTCTGTTATTCGAATGTTTTTCCTTTTTCCAGGGTTCGTGATTTCAGCGATTTGCGAACTCGAAAGGAATGCCATCCAGCTGGCCCTGGGCAGTTTCTACCCCACTCTCCTTCTCAGCGGTACGTATACAGCTCTCATCCGAGAGATATAATCATACTTGGGATCCCTCGAAATGTCTTTTATTTACAACCGCAATTAAATTTACGAGTGTTAGTAAAATGTACAGATGAGTGAGAGAGAGAGGGAGAGAAAGAGAGAGAGAGAGAGAGAGAGTGTGTGTATGTGTATGAGGGAGAGAGAGAATGTCATGTGAGAGGGGAAGAGAGAAAGAGAGAGAGAGAGTATTCGTGTGAAAGGGGAAGGAGAGAGAGAAACGTGTGAGAGGGAGAGTGTGCACAAGAAAGAAGGGGGGGGGNACCTTCGCAAGGTTTCTCGTATCTAAAATACCGTTTCTCACTTCTTCCACCGGTTATTCGTTATCGGTGGGCACCGATAATGAAACTAACGAACGACGCGGTGTTTTAACATCGCCATGCTAAAGAGCCGTTAGTCATCGTTAGATTATACAGTCAAGCTTGTACCGCTCGTATCGCTATTACACTTAGGCGATCATTCCGATCTAAATATCATACGCAGGAATCCTTACCGTGATAAAAGTGAAAGTTGGTCATAGTCACACGTGCCGTAACCTAATTGACTCGTCGTACAAAGCGCCTGCCGAGTCTGCTAGAACGCTTCGAACTAAAGATGGCCGACTCCGATGTACGGAGACCGCCAAAATGGCCTGAGCATTTGGCGCTATCGAATCACGCCGGTTTTCATTCGCACGGCCGGTGAATCGATCGCTTTTCGATACGATATTATTAGATTTCGTTACTGGCCCTTACCTCAATCTCGCGATCTCGTAATCTCTGCTCCGGTTCTCGTTTCCAATGGTTAATTCATTAATTAGCTCGGAAAGATTTTTACTTCCCGCTGATAAAGACACGTTCGGTCATTCGGTTATCGACGATTGAAAACCGATTGATATCCAGCATCGTCGGTGAATTGTAATCGAATAAAAGTCCTTCTGATCCGCACACAATTGAGTCGAGAAATGTAAATTTGAGAACAAAACCGCCGGCCGATCCGCCTCTGCGCCGTGCGAGTTGCAAAATGGACGATTTCCCGATTTGTTTTTGACTCGTGCGCAACTTCAATTTATCGGTAGTGCCGGATGCGACTTGTAGCGGACGTTTCGGCCAATCAACGCAGTTAACCATGTTAGTCGCTCAGTCGAGACTCGAACCCTTCAGATGTCTCTTCGCATCATCGTCGGATAACTTCCTGCGGTTGTATCCCGAAGTTTAGCTCCAAAGTCCCCGCTACGAGCCGCCACTTTCCCAAGCCCAGATTCGCGATAATGGTATAACCGGACGAGTATTTGTTAAGTAACAACAGTACCTTCCTTACATACTCGATTATCGGAAGCTGATATTCTTTCAATATCGCCCATTCCTCCCAGCGGATTTTATAAACATTTTAACAATATTTTACAAATGTTCTTAAATTGTTGCTTGATAATGTAATATTCCTAAATATTGAGATCACAGTGAAGAAATATTATTTTTAATGTTTGAGTGAAATGTTGCTAACAACGACGTTATATACAACATTAAGAACTATATATTTGGAAACGTGTTACGTGTTATAAAATATCATTATAAGTAACATTATCTTAATGATTTTCTGCTTATCGGGCCGCTTTGAGATCCTCTTAGTTGACGTGCGAATTCGATACTCCAAGTGTCAAACATTCATTGAGTACTTGAATAACCTTTTCAGAGACGAGAGAGTGAAAGAAAAATACAGATCGTTCGCAAGTGACAAACATAAGTGTCCAAATTAACAAGATAAATTGTAACAAAGTAAGATAACCGATGAGTAAATACAGAAGCATAATAATGAACAGATCGTTGACTTGGAGGACGCCCCGGTTACCGTTAAACTTTCCTATACCGAATTCGGCCGACTAACGACGACGCCTTGTTACAGGTGTGATCTGGCCGGTGGAGGGTATGCCGACCATCCTGCGGTATATCTCGCAAGGCTTGCCACTGACGATGGCGACCACCGCTCTGCGGTCGATGTTGACCCGCGGCTGGACCATCACGGAGCCGAACGTCTACAACGGCTACATCTCCACCATCATCTGGATCGTCGTGTTCCTCACGATAAGTCTGCTGGTGCTCAAGTTCAAGCGCGGCTAAGAGCCTCGACGAGCGCGTCGTTCCACGGCAATCCCGGACTTACTCTCGGTGTACAGTGCCTTGCGAACGTTTACCGCGAAAGGGAGAGAGAGTGTTGACGGGAGAATGCTGAATCAGGGTCGAGGGGGATGAATCGGGGATCAGACGTGTTGACGCGTCGCGTCCGAACAGGACCGTCGATGGGACGACACACCTGGCAATGAACACCTCGCGTCCCCACCTGGACGACCCTTTCGTGGAGGTCTTCTATGTCCGCCTGCGTTGTAGACACTCCCGCGAGGGAGCTTCACTACCTGGGAGGAGATCCTTCTATCACCCGAGAGAAGAAACTCTTCCAACAACTGGAGAAAGGCTTTCTTCAATTCTCGGGAACAAGTCTCGATTCTGCCCCTGGTTCTGGTATAAGCATCAAGAAGAACCTTCCCCAACTGTGGTCATCGGATCAATCACACGTCCGGCTGGGGACATACCCAGGTTCTCAGATTCGGCAAATCGACTCCGGGTGTCGACGTGCCGCTGATACGATCTCGCAGCATTCTCCGCGAATGAACCTCCGATATGTGATGCTCCCGTGCGCTTAATGTGCTTGTAAAGCTTACACGTGTCGTATGTATGTATGTATGTACGTGTGTATGTGTGTGTATGTGTGCAATGGGACTCGATCAAGTGCGCGTGAGTGCGTCTGTTTATAGAGATCTATTCTGACTCCTCTAAAATAGCGCGAACGGCTGAGGACACACCGCCAGGATTATCCGCAGCGCGAACCGATCGTCTCGTGAGGAATAAAGGGGATAAGGAACCGCGGATTCTATTTTCGGCCTGATTTAACTTTTTCAAAATTACGAGAAGAGAACCGAAATATCTCGACCATAAATGGTGTCTCTAGTGAGCCGAATTATGCTTCCCCGATTAAATCCTGATTCATCACTCATGTTCAACACGTTGAATGCCGGGCTGACTTTCATCGGTTATGCAAAAGCTTAACTGATAGTTGAAATATTAAAAGTTCATTATATAAATGCAATTCGAGATGCATACGTATCTTTTATCTCCGTTTCGTTGACTGACTACAAATAATTTGGTAGATGCAATTATTTATTCTTTTACATATAACTTAATGAGATACGATGATATCACAGTGCCAGTCACCGCTCACTAAATACTGACTAATAATAATATCACATTAATATGATAATTTCTTACACAACTTTCACGTACAACAGATTTTATATAACATATATTTCGTTGAGTCGGAAATTATAATACTGATGTAATGCTACTCTCATGCCCGTTTCTACCATTATTATACCTGATTAATTACGATTTAGATGTAACCGACGATCAAATCAACGAAATTGACCGATCGTTTTGATCAATTTAGCTAACTCGCCGATGCGATTGGTCAATGCCATTGAGTCAATCGTCGATTAGATTTAAATTATGCTAGGTAGAAACGGACATTAGTATGTACTCGCTGACTATCATGAGACATTCAACGTGTTGTTTTCTTTCTTTTTTTTTTTCTTTTGAGGAGAATCACTATCTTCTAAAATTATGCCACGGTTTATCGCTACAGTTTTCGCGTTGATAAGGAAACACGTATGGAGAGAAATATTTTGTTGGCATGGTAAATTTGTCAGTTATGTTGTCAGTTATACTTGGCAGTAACTAACAAATCTGCTGTGCCAGCAAAATATTTTCCTCCGTGGCGACACACCACCGGAAGACAGTGCTTCCCCCCTCCCCCTTCTCCTCTCTCTCTCTCTCTCTCTTTGTCTTAATTGTTCATTCATATGGGAATAGGATTAGAAAGTTAATAAAATTACGCGTTTCCAAACTGCACCGCGGAGATAGGGAAATAAATATTGTAATCGTCGGATTATCTCTCGAAATCGCGGAGGATATCATGAGAGACGATTATCTCGTCGCGCGTATCTGCCCGTCTGTGTCCGCAGTGCGTACGATCAGCGCGTCGTGATCTCCTTAGTGACGATCGCCCGCGAATGATTAACGACGAAACAACACCTCTATGAAGCCAGTTGCAAAGGTTCGATATGGTGGAGGTGAGGACTGCTGAAAGGCAAGAAAAGAAACAGTCGTTCCGGTCTTTTTTTTTTTTCCATCGGGATCGTAGCTAGTAATAAGTTTCCAAGATGATAGTTGATATAGCTGGTTATAATACCGTAGCGCAATTTTACTTGCCCATGACTTTAAGCGTACGTTCTAATTTAACTAGTTAGAGATCGGAGGTAGGAAGCGATGAGCGGCGACCGGAGGGCGCGGCGCCGTCCCCGGCCCCGCTTCTCGCGGCCGAATATTATACATATACGAAACAAAAAAAGGATGCGTTTTATCTACCGTATATTTTATACACAGTGCGACGATTTGTAAGTGATAGCGCGGAGTGACGACGCGCGTCAGTGAGTGCCGCTCGTCTCGCTCGGCGAACTTAGGAGAAAAACGCGCAAACGATAGAAACAAAAAATAGAGAGAGAGGCGCACGGGTGGGTGAGGGGAGGAGGCGGGATGGGAGTTTTGCATGATGTGACCGCAGAAAGGACTGTTGCGGAGACTTGTGCGTTGTCAACGGACAATTTTCATCCGTCGCATCTTGTACGTACGCGATACGAGCCCGCGTGAGCACGAATCTTCGTTCGCCCGTCGCGAACAAAATCATTGCAAAATACTGCACGCCATCGAGCGATCATCGATAAGCGTAAACGAGATGACGTTTTCGGAGGACGATGCGTCGAGTAGGAGGCATCATCGGTGCAGGAAAACTTGACAACGTGTGTAAAAATGTGTATATTTTATTTTACTTACATAAAAATGGGACCCAAAAACTCTCGCGTGTGTGTGTATCTTTCTTTTTAAAAATGTTTTATGCATCCTACGATATCCTTATGATAATGTATAATAGCACCACTTTCATCTTATTGCTTTAATAATTTCTATCCTTCGTCGCTCCGCGCACGAACACGAAATTAATTTCGACTTAAGGCTCCTGTGCATTTCCTCGTCATCGCATTTCCTCCAATCACTGAGCGCTCACTGAACTACTTTCTTTCTCCAAATCGAAACAATATTGTTATCCTTACGTTGTTGATGTTGCATCTTTTCTACCATATGTCATGCCGGATGTTATTCCGTGCAGCGACAACATCGTTAAAAGTTACAGAATAGACCCCCAAGAGCCACAATCGACTTACTTCGCGCTCTCGGAAAGCATCTTGTACTTTTCGTCATTGGCGAGCCAGTCGCGATTCTCTATGGCCATTTTCTTCCAGTATTCTGCAAGGATTTACGCGCGATTATGTCTATTTCGCACCTGAATTATCATCATTCCTGACCGACTCACAATTATTGTCTATATATATTTACACGGAAAATATTCTTCGTTCGCTGTTTCAATCGTGAAACTACCACAATCGTACCTTTCAATTCCTGCAGTGAACAGTCGGTACCGCCGTACTCGGTCGGTAAGATCTCCGTTGGCAGCTCCCTGCAGCTGTTCCTCACGCCCTGCCTGGAGATGTACAACCTCTGCTTCAGCTTCGCGTTCATGAATTGCTTGAAGATCGACAGGACTACGTCGACGTAGATCGGCACGTTGATGAAGTTGATTGACTGAATCCTGATGGGGCAGCAGCCCTGCCACGAATGCACCAGACTCTTTATGACGTTGGGCCGCAATTGAAGGGCGTGACCGAAACGGACGCCCTGCATGTCTATGATCGCGAAGACTCCACGCAATGATCCCGACACGTGACTCCTCGAACTCAAGTCGAACACTATCATGCAGACCTGAGAAGAAGGAATTAGAACAGCACTTAAGTATCCAGAAGACATCCTATATTCTAGACGTCTTTTAGATATATATCTAAAATGTCTTTTGAAAATTCATGCTGCCTGGACTGTCGATACCTTCAGTACGTCCGATATCTGCTGCTTGTACGGGTCGTGCAGAGTCGGCCGCACGATGATGACCATCCTCTCCTGATTGTCCAGCTTCCGCAACGGCAAGAATACTCTAACAGGTAAAAAGTGAAGTAAAATGAGTACCCTTCGAACGAATCGACATATATCGCGTTTAAAGTTAATAAGGAAGTCGCAGTTGATTACTAGGATCAACGAGAGCCGCCCGGTTCAATCATTTATCAATTATGCGAGCACTTAAGACACTTAATTATTATTCAGGCCAGTCACGATTTAATATCAATGCAAGAGCACGATTAACCCTCGAGTCACGAGATTGATGCGGATCGAACCCGATTCGTAGAAGCGTTTTCTATGTTTTCCAACTAATTTTCTTGACCAGATATACCTGTTATTCTCAGAATAAATTGGAATATATTTAAAGATAAATGAAATGTAGGAATGTAGGATATGTAAATCTTTGAAATGTTACACTTCACAAGCGCACGTACACGTGAGCATTAAAAAATGGATCCAGGTCGGATCCGATCCAATTTTATTATTCAAGGATTAACAACCTTTTTAATCACGGAGTCGGAGCGGTTAACATTGAGCATGCACGTGTGATTCTCACAATTGCGTACTCGCAAAAGAGATAGAGAGGGAGAGAAAGAGAGAGAAAGAGAGAGAGAGAGAGAGAGGGACAGAGAAAGCGTCCGTGCGATAATTACGCTGCTAGATGATCGTTACCCCAAATCAAACATCTGTTGTAGTTCCGGCAGAAACGGATCCTTGTTTGCGAACCATTCCGGCAGATCGGATCGTTGCTGGTGATAGTTTCGCATTTTGGCCTTGGCTTTCTCGATGTCGAATTTGCAAGCGCGCAGAAACCGTAAGATGAAGAACTCATCTGTGAATGAACGAATGTTCCCCCGAGTGCAGGGTTACAATCGGGAAGACATTCCGCCTCCGTAGCGTCTTTTCGAGCAAGGACCTTTGCTACCGATGGTAGAAATATGGCGGTAAAAAAGAAACATTTGGGTGAATGCAGATTTTTGTAGAAAAAAATATTCAGAAACGGTGCTTCGAGAGAAAAATTCACCTCGTCGTTAGAAAGTGAAACAAACCTATTTTTTGTTCTGCATATTTTACGCATTATATATGCCATGTACTTTACATGTCTAAACAGTATATGCTCGTTCACCTTTCAAATACCTTCAAATACGTTCACTTTCGCTCGTTCACTTATCAAATAATTTGCTGGTTGCATTAAAAATACCTCGTTATCTTTATTTAATTAATTTATTATTTTGCCGAACTGTCACACGACATATTGCCAATGTTAAATTATCAGATATAACGATTTGTAGTAACTCATTCGAATCTCTCGGAATATACAAACAAGAAAAATAATAACGACAACAATAATCAGTCAGAGTTATTCTAAGAAAGTCGTTGATATTAACTGCGTCCTTATAACCCAGTAAGCAAGAAATTAAATGAAATCAATCTTTTGAAACATTTTGCATGGATTTAATAAACATTCTGACATAATATTTTATGAATGTCTCTAAACTTCTTTCTTGATAATGTTAATATTCCTAAATATTAACATTATAATGTAGAAATGTTATTTTTAACGTTTAGGTCAAATATTATTATTAAATGATAAAATGACCGTGTTGTATACAACATTAAGAACTACATATTTGAAAACGTGTTATAAAATATCATCATAATAATAACGTTCTGTTAACGATATCTTGCTTACCGGGAAATAATTGTAAAAATAAAAGTACCCTGGCCAGGTAATAAAACTGCAAACGTACAACACAATAAAAAGATGAAGGTCAATGTAAAGTCTACGATCATTAGCATAACCGGGATGCAATCATTGTTTGCTAATGTTAGATTTGCAAGAGTCATTATATCTTTAAAAGAAGAAACTGCGTCTCTTGAAGCAAGCGCGAAAATAGTTGATAATTCGTGATGCGGTGGGCGCTCCAGTGTCAATAAAACCGGCTATGATTTCAACTGGCGCGCGACTCTGAAGCGTCATCGGTTAGCGAGGCAACGTTGCTATTACCCGTGCGCGAGCACATGTTGTCGTTCTCCAAGAGCCAACGTCTGATCTCTGCGACCGCGTTCGCCCTGCCTTCGTCGGTCTCGTTCAGGTACTTGGCCGCGTACTCTTTTTCCTCGCTCGTCAGCTGCCGCACGACATCATCATCTTCGTATCGAGACTCCGTCATATCGGCGAGCATCGTCACTGTGTTCGAGTTTGGCTTCACCACCTGTTGAAGCCTATTCAAGCTCCTATATACAATTAACAGGAGAAGACGACGCACACAACTGACATACAGTAACACATCACCGGCGACGACGATGCGCTACTGATCGTTCGCGCTCTTTGAAACAACCTCTCGAGCTAAAGATATCGCCCTGGAACCCGCACGACCTCTGTAGGCCGATCCACGTATGATCGTCGCTTACGAAATCCAGTCGCTGATTATTTATCAGTGTTTATCGCTGAAGTTGAGAGAAAGAAAGAAATGCGTCCGTCACCTCTCGGTATAACGCGTCCTTTATTTGCTTTTTCCAGAACCGCATCATCATTCTCTGCTCCTTCGGCAGCTGTAATTAAATGTAGGATTAGGTTTCATCTCAAAGTTGGACCGCTGTTTCTCAGATGTTTATGAGGTCACAGATCACATTCAGATGTTAATGAGACCAATACAAGGTTTCTCAAAGTTGTAAAAACAAGTTGATAAGAAAAGTGAATGTCGAAATGTGTTATAAAACATAGAGAAGCGGCGTATATATATAAGTTTCTTATCGTTAGAGAGTTAGTTAGGACTAACTGTTTGAAGAATATAAGTGGTATATAATTGGTCATAAGACGCGGCCGCGATGGTGATTATATTACTCACCTTTGTCATCGGAAGTATCGTAGCGGCATATTTTTATCTGACTAGAAATTACAACTACTGGCGTGACCGTAACATTCCGTATGCGAAGGGCGCACTTCCAGGATTCGGGCATACGTTGTCGCTGCTTTTAATGCGAACAACTCTGGCCGATCTCATTCAACGGATCTGCGATCCTCATCCGGATCGCAGTATGGTAGGTTTCTACCATCAGACGACGCCTGCGTTGGTGATTCGCGAGCCGAAACTGGTGAAAACTGTCCTGCAGACCGACTTCGCGAGTTTCTCCAAGAACTTATGGCAAATCGATCCTCACCTGGACTGTCTGCATACCGCGAACCCTTTTTTTACCTGCGGCGATACATGGTTGATAGGCAGGAAACAATTGGGTCTCGCGTTTACTACCAGAACCTTGAAAATCTTTTTCAACTGCATTCAACAGATGTGCAACAATATCGAAAATTATCTGAACGACGAGCTGAAGGCGAATAATAACACGATGGAACTCGAGCTAAATAGTTTGGCCTGCAGATATACTACTTCAGTGGCGTCTTTTATCAGTTTCAGTGAAAATGTGAACTTCATAGACAACTCGGACTCGACATCGCTGGTCAAGATAGCCGAGTCGATGCTCGGGAAGAGTTTCATCTCTACGTTAAGGCAGACTTTGTGTTTCTACTTTTACTATTTCAAACAAATACTAGGAATATCATATGTACCCTCAAAGGTTGACAACTTATTTTGTAACGTCGTAAAAGAGATCATGCACAATAGACAACAGGAGAAGAATACGCGTAAATTTGACATTTTGCAACTAATGTTAAGTCTGAGAGAAACCGAGGGACTTGACGACAATACGATCATTTCTTACGTTTTCGTTTTCTATCTCAATATCCATGAGACGTCGAGTATAACACTAGGCTTCACGGGCTATCAAATTGCACGTCATCCACATGTTCAGCAGAAACTCCGCGACGAAGTGAAGACTGTGCTCGCAAAGTACGATAATCAGTTGACCTATTACGCGCTGAAAGAAATGACGTACATGGAGCAAGTGATCAATGAATCGCAAAGACTCTACCCTACCCTGTTCTGCTTGAGCAAAATATGCACTAAGGAGTTCAAACTGACGGGTTCGGATGGGCTCAGCTGCTGCGTACATCCCGGAACAGAGGTCTTCATAAATGTCTACGAAATGCACAGAAACCCGAAGTACTGGTCCAATCCGAATGTCTTTGATCCTGATCGATTCGCCTCGGATAGGAAGATGGAGATCGAGAAATACAGTTTCCTGCCGTTTAGCAAGGGTCGGAGGATCTGCATAGCCATGAGACTGGCTATGTTGCAGACGAAGGCTTATTTGGTCATGATCATGAAGAATTACACTCTGGAGTTATCGCCTAAGACGCCGAAGGAGCCTTTAAAGATTATGCCAGGCAGGGTTCTGACGACACCTATTAGTGATTTATGGGTTCATCTTAAGCCTCTTTAATTCGTTGTAGTAGGGAATATTGTGAAAAAGAATGAATAGATAATAATAAGATATTGCAAAATATTGTAGATAAGTTTGAAGAGATGGACATTTTTCTAAATGATGAACGTTACAAAATGATGAAAAATTATAAAAATTATTCGACTAGTTGAGATATGTGATCGATATTATAATGCAACATGAACTTTGAGTTACTTTCACCTATTGCAGAAAAAACATGACATAATTAAATATGTGTGACTTTATATACGAATTAACATATATTTACAATTAGCATTCTTAACCGTTAAATAATACATTAGAGTTAGTTACGCAACTTAAACACATATTATACATACGCATATGCACATGTCAGTGTGTACGTGTGTGTTTTATCGGATTTATAATTGTTATGTCTAGTTTTATCGGATTTATAATTGTTATGTCTAGTTTTATCGGATTTATAATTATTATGTATAGCTTTTATCATTGTAGCTTTATCAAGAGTGCATTAATAGAACGAAAGAATAGAGATAAATTGAGAAAGATAGAAATATATTAAGATATAAATATTACTGATATCAGTGAATACAGATCTTGCAATTCCTTACTTTTACTTGTTATTAACACATCTCTTGTTTATATTTGCAAAAATGAAACAATCTGCGAACGTCAGTGAGAAGGAGTAATTATATAATAGCGCTTAAGCTGAAAGATTTAACAACCACATTTTCATACTATCGCAAGTAAGAAGTAATGTTAGTTTAAAGTAACAAGAGTATTCGTTTCGATCCCAGGAAATATCAACTAACAGTAACATAACATCAATGTTAGAATTTCCCACACATTAATGTAACTTTTACATAACACACGCGCTATATCGCATTTATATTGTTGAGTGGGAAAATTACAACATATCGATATTATTACTGTTAGACAATATTTGCTGATAAGTCATGATAAATGGCATCGATGTCATAAGTCATGATAAGCAAATATTTACAGAGTGTCTGTCGCTGTCTTGTCCGTCAGATACTTTAGGTAGTTTAGGTTAATATGAAAAAAATCTACAAGTATATAACAGCGGTTATATCTATCAACAAATACCAATATGAACCTGGAACTTCAAATTTTAAATCTGTCGCTAAGTACAGCAGCCACCATATACTTGTAAATTAAGCTATTCTGAATAAAAAAGTTCTTTACTGTTTTGCGAATAAACACAAGTTTTTTAGTTGTTAATTAAAAAAGCCTCTGTCTTTATACACACACACATATATATATATATATATATATATATAGAGCAAAATCAAGTTTCTTATGTGATTATAATTAAAACATAGACGGATATTCCACGCGGCAAAAAGTGACTGTGAAAATTGCAGAGTCCTAGAAAGCAAAGTCCTAGCAGGAATTTTATCTCTAACAATATTTACATGTTTGCGAAAGGAAATGTTTTTTACATTGAATAACCTGAACGTTCCTGCCGACAAACATTTTGCATAATTGTTCTATAATTGCGAACGCAAAGGCAAACATATAGACCGTATGCATCGGCTGACCGCGATATCAGAATCTTCCAAGGCATTATTTCAGTTTCAGAAAGCACGATGCGCAATTACGAAGTTACATAAAATAAAGTTACCTATGTGTGTACGTGTTGTGTATGTGTACGTGTGCGTATGTGCGTGTGCACATGTGTGTACGTATATGAGGAACGTAACATTACTACCACTGCAAGTTATTCGTGGCCGTCTGATAAGTCGGACTGTTGGCCGAGTAGAACTGCGAATACCAGCGACGGTACGCCAGGATAGTACGATCCTCGCGCACCAAAGTCGGCTGTCGCTCGTACTTCTTGTGGTTCCAAATCGCGATGTCTCGCTCGAACATCAGGCATTCTCCCAAGAACACCATGGTAGCGTAGGGCGCTAACCACGGCGGTGAGAATATCTGATGGGTGACTCGCTGCAGCAGCGGCTCCAGCGGCGTGACAGTCTGCAGTATGCACATAGGTCCGAAGGACGTATTGATCATCATCTCAACATAGCCCGGGCCGATCTGCTCGACGCTCACATTTAATCCGAGGACGGTGAATCGCTCGAACAAAATCAGGCTATGGTGCAGCTGTATGCCGGCCTTGTGCTTCGCCCTCTTCTCGGTAATCTCAAGGTGGTTCCCATCGCCGCTCGATATCGCATGAATCGATGAACCGTTCAGCTTGATCTGCACCTCCGTGTCCGCGTCCATGTCCACGTCCGCGTCCGTCTCCGAAGATTTGTACGAGCACTGCGGTCGCCACAGCGCGTTGGTCCACGAGTGCCGAGCCAGCCAGGATATGTTGTCGGTAAGGAACATCGCCGGGCCATGCACCGCGCTGAGATGCGCGTAATCGGCCCCGTTCTCCGCTATGTCCTGTGTAATGCGCTGGGTGTTAAAACATTTACTTCGTCTAGGTCTAGAGGGAGGGGAGTTACGTTTAGAATTTACGCACAGCTAACCGATTGAACAAATCCATCCTTTACTTGATAACTGATGATCGACCAATTAAATGTCATTTTCAGTCATTTTCAAGTTTCAGTCATTTTCAAGCTAGCCTTTATGTTTATTTCGTGTCGCTACTCAAGTCTTTTGGCAAGTAATAAGTACGCTTCGGCTTTGATTTACCTTCACGTGCGAAAATCTGAAAGGAAGACTGATAGCTTTCCATCGTATTCATCATGGAGGCTGCAATCAAGGAGGCTGATATCCATTGCAGTTATGCCATGCCCGAATTAGTAACTGCTAGTTATGATGTGGTCGAACTGACACCGTGTACGACAGCGTAATAGCAGTCTGAGAACACGTAAAGTCACATCAACACGTAATCGAGACGAGATACAACATCGAAATATTGACGGAGGACATTCATCGTCTCTCTCTAATCGTGATGAAATTATGATGCGTGTGTGGAGCAAATTAAAATAATATTCCATTCTCTCTGATAAATTAATGTGTGAAACCATTCATCGCAATTGCAGTTCAGGAAGATTGGTTAATTTAAGGCAAACAAATTACATATACAGAATATTCCATTTTAAATGACGCCCTCAAATATCTCTTGAACAGTGCATTTCGGAGAAAAATGTTTCGTACAAAAGTTATAGAAGGGGAACATAAAGTAGTGTCATTGGTTTGACTTTTGATAGTCTTTTGAAAGTTACATGAAGGTCACCTTCAATTTTTTTAATGGAAACTCCTACTTTTTATTGCGTATTTTTATAGCTTACTTCGAGAGCTTTACAAAACACTGTAATAAAACGTTTTTGCATTAAGTACTTTTCGAGTTGTAAGGCTTGAAATTTGCAATACCGCCGGTACCCTTATATATATATATATATAAATTGAGACATAATCAACATCAGAGAGAAACGCATTGGAATCATTTTCAGTTGGTCCACCGATCTATCAAGTTTCATCAGGATCGTTGGAGAGAACGGTTTGCGAATGTTCTTCGCGACTGCGAATTCGAAACGAAGGTTTGAATCGGTAGAAAGTGATAACAGTTGCCTCGTCGGGCGATCGTGCGGCACGATCGATGTATCCTTGATTCTAGTTTCCATGATAATTACATAGATGGTGTGACGGAGGAACGCACATTATATTAAAAAATCGCGATCGACGTACTTGCACGTGACATGTTATCAGGAACTCATTGCGTCCTTGGAAACGCCATTTCCCGTTGGCAATGCACATCTGTGGCTGCGGCCGCCAGTCAGGTTCGGCTGATTCAGCGTGATACCAGACGAAAATAAGATGGTTCACTTCGCAGGACTTCCATGCCCTCGTTCGCGCGATGTGCGGCACTGTGCACGTACAAAAGGAGAAAAAGTAATACACGACGTATGCGAGGAGTGATTGCATCAGTAAGAACGCATCAATGATCGTGTTTCGTTTTATTTCTATGATATAATGTGAGAAATATTTGTTATTGATAATTTAGAATTAAATTATATTCTGGAAAATTATTGATTACATCCATTAAGTTTAACTCTTTCAGTTCCAGGAGCTGCTTGTTGAAAGGTATACATTTCTTGATATACAGAAAACAGACGACGATGGATAATAAATAAGCGATCAATAAATCGACACGCAACTTGTCGAACTACAATCCGTGGAAAACGCCCGATCCAGGTGTAAATATTTTCGTCGCATGCGATCGGCAAGTATTTCAAAGGTACAAACAGCTATCGCGGATGAAGGAATGTAGTTTTAGGGCGCAAAAACACCACTCGAACGTCCCATTCAAGGCAGCAAGCTCTGGGACCGAAAGAGTAAATATCGTGTGACGAGAATACGAGAATACATATAGGGGAGATTTAATCAATACCCTTTTCTGCATAAGGTATGCTATCGCAGTAACCATCTGCCCGAAATGACCAACTATGAAACGGACATTCCAGGCATTCTCCTCTCACGCGACCACCCTCGGCCATGTTTGCTCCTAAATGCGGACAGTACGCATCCAAAATGTTGACAACATCTTTTTCGGTCCTTCAACAAGTTGACGAAATATTATATAATTATGATATGCGGGTTATTTTATTTGAAATATCGAAGTCACATATTTTCGAAAATTGTAAAAGCAAGGTCTTCGTTTCTTGTTTTAACATGTAATTGTGTCAGCTTTTACTTCTTATTGAAGATGTTTGTTACACTTTTTTCCTATACGACCTCTTTTAATCGCGACAACGCAGTCGAACGCAGTCGAACTTTACCTGCTTGTCGAAAAAGTTCTGCATTCTGACGTACCTGAACACCGCGAAATTCTCTCCGAGAGCAGACACGTGCTTCACTTGACCTCTTTTTATCTGCGAACTTTCCAACAGGGCGAACCATCCATTTGGATAGACCGGCGGTAATTTGCCCACTTTTCGATTTTTCGGTCCTAAGCCGCCGTTCCTGTGCGACTTACCCTCATCTCTCATGTCCTTTAACATAAGCGTTGAAGCTATTCTTTTTTTCTGTATAAACCTGAAGACGCAAATACCCGAGCAGAAATCTAGGAAATCGTTGATTTAATCCCAATTTTTTAATCTTACAACTCAATGCGAGATGATGATGGCGAAACGAGTGTTTTATGTCCTCCATATTTATAAAATAAAATCAATCACATTTAATGGCCGCAAATTTACCGAAGAAGCGCAAATTAATTAATCCAGTTTGCATATTCGTCATTAACCAAAGCATTTATTCGTAATTGGTAGGTCAAGATCCAGCGAGAAACGAACGTCGAATAGACGTCAAATCGACATTGAATTAATGTCGATTCATTTTTTGCCGAGTCGCGGACAATTCAACCGGCTACGGTGAGCGTTAATCAATGATGGGCGTTAATTTAGCGGCCTTTTAATTATCACTCGACTCAAGTTTCAGTTGCACGAGACTACTGTGCTACTCACTCTGACCCAGTTGAATTTGAAGAAGTACGCCATGTAGATGAAAAAGGCCAACAGGGTGGCCGCGATCCCGACGTACCATCCGAACATCGTCTTCTTCTTCTTATTCTTCTTCTCTTCCGGTGTGGCTTTCTCTCGACGGTTTTCTCAACGTATCTCTCTCGATAGTCTCTGCCTCGCGGACAGGTGGAGGCAGGACGCGCCTCGCGAGTCCTCGCTCGTTTGCGTGCGTACGGCAAGGGTTCGCGCGTAAAAAGAGCGCGCGAGATAAACGTGGAACGAGATTGTGGAGCGTGTGCAAAACAAAACGGCCAGAAGTGAGGAGAGACGGCGAGGAAGGAGTGCGGCGACGAGAGAAGTCGGAGACAGGGTTAAAAAGAGGGAGGGAAAAAGAGAGAGAGAGAGAGAACCGAGCACGACGGGAGGAAGGGTGAAGAATGAAGAAGAAGGGGAGAAGAAGAGCTACCGGCGAAGAAGAAGAAGAAGAAGAAGACACATGAGCGCAAGCCTTCGCCGGGGTATGGGACAAAAAAGGGCTAGGAGGACTCCCGACGAGGACAGGACAGGACAAGGACGAGAGCCTGATGAACAAAAGGGAGAGCGGGAGGGCGAAGAAGAGGGAGAGAGAGAGAGAGGGAGGAAGAGAAAGAGAAAGGGAACGCGAGAGCAAAAGAAGAGAGAGCGCACGATACAGATAGTATGTAACGCACGTGCGTGTGCGTCAGCTTACACGAGGAGAGACCTACAGGTACGGAGGGATAAGGACGAGCGACGTGGACTGGTGAGAACAGCGGCGGATCGAAAAATATAACCACGACGCGATCGGCCGAGGTGTGAGAGTGAGATAACGTTGAACGCGCGAGACGGGCCGGGTAGAACTCGAATGAGCAAGCAAAGGCAAAAGAGAGAAGATTAGGGCTCGGAGGAAGAGGATTCGCATGGAAGGAAGAGACGATCTGCATGGAGTTTTCGGGCAACTGAAACGCACGGGAGGTCCTCCCGCGGTTTATATACGCGCCGCTGGATCGCCCCTTGTCGCCTCTGTCGACCGATCGAATCTATCGAAATGCGCGTTTTTTCGAACCGCCGCGCGCGCTTCTCGTCTCTGGTCGCGCTTCGTGTCGCCTCGCGATCGGCTCTCTTTCCCTCTCCCTCTCTCTTTCTCTCCCTTTCTCCCTCGCTCCGGCGGCTCGCCGGCGTGTCACGTAAACGGTCACCAGCCGATTATGTATGCTCGGCGTCGGAGACGAGCGGCCTGTAATATCCCGTGCCACCTATCATAGGATCTAAAAGCGCGCGGCGGCTCCTCTTCTTCGTGCACTCCCCGTCCTCTCTGTTCCTCCTTCTTCCCATCCACTTTTCGCTCGTCTTCTTCTCCGGTCGGTCCGACCGACCGATCACCGTGTCTCCTTTTATCGAGGCTGTATATCGATCTGCTCGACGCTGCCACGGCTCGTACGCACGTTCATCCGTACGCTTCGTCTGTCCGCTTAACATATCTCTGCTCTAGCTGAGGATTCGCATTTATATTCCGACATACCCGGCCTCCGTTCTGAACGACAATGTAAATAGTGCGAGCGCGCTCTTCCTCCGTTGCAGCTTGGAGATGTATTTTTCCGGAGCGGAAGGCTCCCTCCGATGTCGGAGGCTATAGACGCGCTTTTGTAATTTGAGGCTCCGGTTTCCTCGCCGCTAGCTATTTTGATTAATGTCTGAGCGACAAGGCACGCAGTATCATAATATAATAAACACATAGTGCCACACTGTAATGCTTATGTGACGTTTTCTTCGAAAGAAACTCAGACCTTCTCGACGTGTCGCTTCTCTGTACCACCTATCTTCCTTCAGCATATTTCCTTGGCTGCACGCCCCGATACTTCTCGTCCACAACGATGTTCGCCCGCCAGACAGTCCCATCCGCAAAGGATTAACAATATTAGAAATAAAAGAAGCTTTATTCTTTGGCATAAATTGTGCAAATACACAAAAGTTTCTTAAAATAACTGTTTGTTCCGCGGAGCATCTTGAACATTATATATTTTTCTTGCCAAAATAATGATTTTTGCAGTCTTATAAATATTATAATGCATATATATTATAAGTAAAACATGAGTCTCGATAATATGGAACACGTATGATCCATACAACGTGAACGGAAAATTGTCAAAAACCAATTCGGCAGTGAACGTATTATCAATCAATATTTGATCTAACAATCGTTAGATCAAAAGCAAAATTTTCGGACTATTTTACAGGTCTGCTCTTGATCGACTGCATATTGTCATTTTACGGATTTATCTTCTTATTTAAAAATATTTCTTAAAAATTTAGGGGATTTCTTGTGTTCTTTCGCTTTTGACGTCATCACATAAGATGACTGTAGCGTGGGACCAGGCACTTTAAGGATTCGCTGATTCCTTTGATTATCCTCAATATACCAAACGTCGTCTCTGGATGATAATTCACATATTATGTGCGTAGATTTATAAGAAATCAAGCGCGAGAATGTGTCTCTAATAAATAAAAAAATATTACTTCCTCTGGAAAATATGGAGTACTTTAGGCGAGAAGACTGACGATACGCTAGCGATTCTCCGCTTGCTTTGCAATTTAAAAATTTACCGGCCCATTGTCTGACTTGACCATACCGAATACGTAATCTTGAAGCGGTAATCTCGTAATCTCAAACCGTGATAACGTACTGCGTCGTGTTGATATACACATACATATGTACGCGCGCAGGTAACGAATTAATTATTCAAACGCATAGTGAGACGAAACTCCGTGGCGCGAGATCGGCGGTATCGATAGCGGCCCTTGTAAATTCACTAAGGGTGAAATGGCACGTTTTTCCATTGACATCAACATACGTGCTTCTCTCGCCTGTTCCCGTCGATGTACGACTGGTTTCAACGATTCTTCGAAATTGAAATATATAAAAAGTCTTTTACCTGTAACAGTGACCTATTTCTAAACTATTTCTTTATTTGGAATTTCTTATCCGATACGATCAACAATCGTACAATTATTCCTTTTTTATGTAAAAATGATGACGTCAAAATGATGAGAAAATAATCGAAAAATTTTTTCAATTCTTTTTTATCTCATGAAGTAACAAAAACTCTCTATGTCATTTGGAATTTTGCGATACACCTCATAATTCTATCGTTTATTTCTTCACTCACTTTATAAAAAGGATTTAGTTGTTTTCTCTTATATCGCTTATCGTATCTTTTTCCACTTACTTAGTTTCCATATTTAAATTTTACCGTCACCTAACTTTGCCTATTTAATGCTATCGTTGCGCATTTTTGTATTTCAATACTCTCATGAATTAGAAAAATGTTATATTTTTCCTGTGTAGGATTTCACAGTTCTTAACCCTTAAAAGGATTTTACCTTGGGACAGAATAAATTCATTTATCTAACTATTTATCTATTCCTTTTCTCCCTTTGCCTTCCGCTTCTGTCCGAAATCTTACGTTTGTTTAGCACTTTTATACTTCGTAATTGCCGCATTGTAATATCATTCGGCGAGACGCCAGTAATGAAATCTACGCTCGCATTGTTAAAGTCATGTGAGTCACAGAACAGATAACGCGTATCGTATTGTATGATCGGCCGAAATATTTGAACAACTTCGCAAACTAGAGAATGCTTAATTGCTATTTCGTGACACCGGAGATGCGATACGATCATCTTTCAATATCTTGAAACAAGAATTGATACCGATAAAATTCGCTGAATTCATATTCGAGTATAATTCGCGCTTATTCTACAACTTTTTAATAATTAATAACTAAAAATGTTGTGTTTGCAAAATGGTAGAGGACTTCGTTTACCTCAACCCATTCTACGGTCTCATGAAGTTTGTCCCTGTTGGTCTGGGACATCCTGTATAAATATGATAAATTATAGTGTGAAATAGCAGATGCCAATCGCGTTGCTGATATTCATTGAGCGTGTTCAGCGGCAGAGCCATATGTACACGCGGTAGAGCTGTGTCCAGTTCAGCCGTGGCAAAAGGATTAAATTGCTTTAACTTAAAATTTATTGCGCAGTCGCAATTTTGCTGTCGTCAATGAGAAAGTAAAGACTGAGATAACGATGTGTCGAGAGAAATATCGAGGTATATATTTTAATGACAAATTCTCAGATACAAAATGATTGGTTTTGCTAGTACACTATTTTGCGATTGATAAGTATAATGTTTAAATGTACATTTATGTGTACATTTATTATTGTGTACATTTATTCTTGGTATATTTTAGCACAATATATCACAAGGAGTCATCATCAGATTATTAAATGATTTGCTGGTGTAATATCTGTGTGTGTACGCGCTTGTATATGGACTATAACATCTAGATATTATATATTAATTACATGGATTAATTACGATTCATTTATACAGTTGCGTGCACTATATCGGTGTTACAACGTCGTGCATGGCATACCTCCATGTCCATGCCCTGGCAACTTCCTCGAATTTCTCGCGATCATTCATGTACATCTCTCCGAGTTCGGGTTCCATACATACCTAATGTGTCACACACAATTCCACATTAGTATTAGTTCAAATAATAGTAATTAGAAAGAGAAGTTAATTCGTAAGCAAGAGAAGAAACTAAAAATAAACGGAAATATAGGACAATATAAGTACAGAAGTGTAGATAGTGAGTTGATAGTCAGTTGAGACGCGAAGTGCAAATAATGATTCATAATCAATAACAGTCTACTATCTGTACCTCGATTGAAGGGGATTCAGATAAAAGTTAAAATGTTTTATTATTTAAATATGGGAAATACGATATTGCCGCACGAACATCTGTCCCTGTCGGCTTGTATTTGCCTGTATGTATGCAATATATTCTACATATTATATATTAATCATATAATATAATAATCATATAATTATTATAATAATTATATTAAATAATAGGATTATAATATTTAATATAACATTTATTTATATAATGCTTATATAATAAATATATTATTATATAAATAAATGTTATATTAAGTATTATAACAATTATGCATTGATATATCGTCAAATATATATTAATATAATCGATAACTATTTTCCGTAAATATATTAATATCGGAATACTTACTTGGCAATATGGATCTGTGAGCAGACTTTGTACACTAATGAGGACCTTGGATATTGTAAGAGCTAATGACCAGTTGTGATGTATAGAATCTATACCGACGTCTCCGTGTCTAGACACGTTCGGATGAAGTATCTTTGTCAGAAATCTTACTACAGGCGGACACATGGGATAGCTAAAAGAAATATAAGATGAATTATCTTAAAATAAAAAGAAATTGCGCCCTCTCTCGCGTTGCAACTTATTGTAATCGTCGTGACACATTGTAGTTGAAAAAAAAAAATAGGATTATTTTAGCACACCTTGGTGTGCTTATACGTACCTGAGCGGTACTCTTAAATAAAGATAGAACAATCCACCCTCATACGGACTGCCCACCGGTCCTGTAATAGTGGCTTGCCAATGGCAACACATTAAATCGAGCGGTACTGCTTCGATACCTTCGGGCGGATCAATTCTAAGACTCTTCAATTCGCTACGCAGCCTGTTCTTTCGCCAAGAGTTCTCCTCCAGTCTTGGGGCCAAGTCTTTCAGATTTGCATCTAAAGAAGTGCTATACGCCATACATGTTCGACAGGGCGCCGATGAGGCCAAATAATCGTACACTTTATACCAGTCCTTGATATAGCCGATGGGTTTGTACAGAGGCCAACGTTCTTTCACGTAACGCTTCCATTGTGACTGCGTCACATGCGTTGACACTAGGCCATACCAGCGTCGGCACACATTCGCCGCAGACCATAAGCTAATATCATCGAGGTACGAGAAGATGGCCAATAACACCTCGGGTGGCAATCTTTCCACCAGACCTGGTTCGTTGATGGGCTCATGCTCGATGTGCTTATGATTCGATAATATCTCCAGTCTTTCTGACAAACTGTAGGACTGCGACGACTCGCCCACATCATCGAACGTTCTGTAGCGCCACTGATACTGTGGAAAGTTGTTCTGGTTACGTTCGCCCGGTGCGAACATCTCTGGGCTTTGCGGATCTTCCTCCATTAGGTCTTGCGCACGATGCGCCACGTTCTGATCGTTTTGGCCGTTAACGCAACTTCGATGAGAGGCATTCCTCACAGGTCGACGGAGCGCATCCGTTATTTGACAAAGCGCGTGCCGCAAATCAATGGCACAAATGTCTTCGTCGACTGGTACATTGCGCACAGACTCTGGTAAACAGTTGTCAACGAGATTGTTGTCTGAATTGTCGTCGAATACATAATAATTACATCGAGACACTACATTTTGACAATATGTAGACAATCTGCGGGAAACATTGGCGTTCTGATTGGATGTATTTTGTGTGTTTGGGATATTAGGGTTGATGCTCTGCGGAGAGTTCTGCTGCTGTTGACTGGTTCTCCTTTCATGGTTGTAGTAGAGATCAGTTGGCTCGTCGTTCCCTGAATCTTCGTCGTCTGTTTTCTGTTTTAAATTCACGAATGTAAGATTGACAAAGTCATCGTTATTTTCTACATAGCATTTCTATATCAGCAGTATTGTTAATATAGTATAATGTAATTTTCATAATATTTGATTCTGTAATATTTAATTTTTGTAACATAGGTCAATGTAATATAATATTATATATACTACAAATTGTTTAATCTGTACCTCACTGAAGATTGGGACCTGTAGCTGAACATCATTTGGAAATAGGAATGCATGACAAGTTGCACAGAGTGGTTCTTCAAAACATGGTCCATAGTATCCGTTACAAATATAACATGCTGATGTCTGAAATTTAAAGACTTACACATAATGTACATATATTTAAATATTTATAAATATAAAAACATAATATGACATGATATGTATGAGAAATGTAAATTTCAACTATAATCTATATGTATCTCTCGTTGAAAAGTACATATCAATGGTATTGGTTATCTAGAATATATATTACAATTTATGATACATATATATTTACAACTTGTGTAATAGAAAATATCGATTATTTTAAATCAACTAAATATTAAACAGTTTATATCAATAAGTACATTAAAAAAATATATATAAAGGACACAGAAATAACCTATACGAAAAGCACTAGCTCTATGTAAGCAACTAGAGCGTATGTTTTAATATGATCTTTGTAATCAAGTCGTAAATAATATTTGTTTATTAACATGAATTTATGTAAATTGTCGTGAATATCAACGAAACATCCAAATTTTAATGAAGAAATATAAAATAACTTACCGAAAACTGAAATTCCGGGCATGGAATAAATTCAACTAATTCGACGAATTCATCTTCCAAATTTAAATGGAGATTCAAGTCACCATTCTCGCTCATTTTTTCATTATTCCCATTTTGCGAACCATCAACAATCTGATCTCCAGCCATTTTGCCACAATTGCACATTGGGTGCGTTCGAGGAGCTCGCTATTAACGCTATTAACGTAGCGCTATCTCTTTTCGAGAGTGTGTTCCGATATATACTGGGATGGGCAAAATCAAACATTGAGGATGAACGCATTAAGAACGATATTACATCTAGAGAAATTGTTAGGAGCTCTAGAAATTCTCTATCCGACAGCCAATCAGTACATCCGACAAATTCGTACGATGCATCCTCAATGAGCGAACACCGATGTTTTTCAAACATCGATGATTTTCTCTACCGGTAGTGCAGGTAGTAGAGTCCTACATACACTCACGTTCATTGATTCGTCTCAAACTAGATTTAGTGGGTCAAGCTTATATGTTGGCCACCCTGTTCTATTCAATAGAATCTTGACACAGGAGTGACATTATTCAGCGAAAATCATTGAACTAAAGAAAATACTGAGGGTAAGTTCTACATAATGATCGCTGATATTTTAAAGTAGTTCAACTCAACAACGAATTAGATGTAAATTATTACCCTTATTGATATTGGCTTCTTATGTATATATATATGTTTTTTATTTATATTTATATTCATATATTTATATATTTATATGGTACATGTATGTACGCGTATAATATGGATTTCTCTTTCAGTATTGTACACATTACAAAAATAGGGGATGTTTTATCGCGTGCAATGCTTGGAATACATGTATAAATCTATACATGAAACTATAAATGCCCTATAAACTGCGTAAATTATTCTTATGATAATATTTGTAACGTTACACAGTTTTACCTGAATATGAATATTAAAATATTGAAGTATTAAAATATCTGAAGCGAAATTTTTGACTAAAAATATAACAAATCTTCCTTTTTTGTCTGGATGATTTTGTTACTTCATTTGTTATAAACATTCAATAAAATCCTTTAATTGAATTACATTAATTTGTAGATTAATTAATCACATGGATTAACACGCGATTCAAATTTAACAATTCTTTTACTATCCTGGTAGTACAAGACATCCTTGGATTATCCTGAATAAGTTCAGATTATTACGGCACATTTGGAAGTCATGTCGAGGTGATTATTAATATTTTTCATAATTTTACGTGAATACATTGTTTATAGTTAGTTGCACCATTGTAGTATGTTAGTATGCACCATCCTCATTGGATACTTTGTGAATTTTCCAAGGATTCTTGTGTTACCTGGATAATTATACCGCTTGTATGATATACAAAATATTCAGTAGATAATATTCTTTATTGAAAACTAAAGTAAAATAATATTTCTTTATTAAAATTTAATTTTAATTTATTCTTTTTACAGAATATTTTTTAGTTTTGACGTTAAATATTGTGGCAGATATTCTTCGAGACAAGACGCTATCAAGGATAAAATTCACTTAAAATCTTTTAAGGATGAAGGTTCGGAAATTTTATATTAACTATTTCATATTAACCGCATTCTACGTATATGTAATTGATTAAAATTTTTCTTCTTTCAAGCTTTCGGCTGTAATTGAAAATCTATTAATATTTTTGCTAAGATTTTAATTTTCAATAAAGAATATCAAGCAAGTGCGTTGATTACACCCACCACCAAATACTCTATACATAAGATTATTGATAATGAGGTAATGGAAGAGGAGTGGATTTGATTTTGTTGCCTTTCGAGAACTCGATTTCTGGTATCTTCTAAGATCAGGTAGACATTAGGCGACAGATTCCAGTTACTGTTATATTAATCGTTTAACTTTTGTTACTGAGTTTGTATTAGATCGAACTTCCACAATTTGTTAGGCCCGATCTCTGAAACATAGAGAGCTGTGCCGTTTGGGCATATGGCAATGGCGTGAGGTCTCACGAAAGGCTAGAAAAAAAAATATATATACATATATATACTATATATATAATATACTTATAAATAATTTTAGAAATATAGGATGCAACAGTTTTCGCGATTTTTAATTTTGCCGAGAGATTCCCTGAACAATTTAGAGTTAATCCCTAGTAATACAATTTCATCGGCGATGAATTCTCGTTGACCCAAACATTAAAAATAATATTTATACAATATGATTTTAATATTTGGGAATATTATATTATCAAGTAAAGGTTTAAAAACATTTATAAAATATAGTATCAAAATGTTTATAAAATCCACATAAAATCAATGTTGCGAAAGATTGATTTAATGTCTCTTGCTTACTGGGATATATATGTATTACGTGCGTTGAGTAAAAATGTAAAACTTACTGAAGATTCTGGACCCCAAAATCCTGTTACGCTTCGATTTATAGGATCGATTGTGAAGCCCTTAACCTGTATGCTTCTGGACGTCATACCATTAACAGCGTAAATGATTCCACCTTAAATTATCGACGATAATAAAGACACTTAGTTAATGTTTTGAGTTAAAGAATTTTTTTATATATATTTGTGAAAAAATGAAAAATTTAAGTCAAGATATATGTAATATTTCGGATTGTGTGATATTTTGGATCTTCCTCATTGGACTTACGGTACGACGCGATACCGAAGATGCGGCCAAACTGTCGATGACGAATCGAATACGGAAATTCGGGATATTGTTTCGCTCCGGAAAGTCCCACATTCATGCACACGATCCTTGAATTTTCACGATCGGCCACACATACTTGCCTGTTTGGCAAGATTGTCAAGGCGTGCGGAATTTTCAGAGACACCCAATCTAAACGTAAATGTATTAATTTTACTACGTCCGTTCCAAATTTACCACTTTAAAATAATTTGGAAGAAAACAAATATTAAATAGATTGCAATTAATTATTTTTCACCGCTTTTGTTATTCATAAATTTGAATGATATTAACCCTTTAAAACCAAGAAGTTTTTTATTTGGAAACTTTTTTGCTACTTTACTTTGCTACTTTGCTTTCAAAACTACTTTGAAATTTTGATGAAAAATTATCAACAATATTGTTTTTACGTATATCCCAGAGACTCACCATCACGATTATAATGGAACTTAAAGGGTTAATTGGATATTAATATCGTTTTCAGTTAGTTTTTGGCTCAGATTTCATATTAACGATTTCGTATTAAACGTACGTTCGCCGATACTGTATTTAGGATTGCCTCTTGAGTCAAAAAGTATTATTCTATTGTTGCAGTAGCCATCCGCGACAACTATTTCGCCACCGGGTGCAATTGCGACCGTTGTTGGTTGACAAAAGTGGTCCATGTCACTTCCAGGCTCGAATCTTTGGCCGAGGACCAGCCGAGGTACACCGTAAGCTGAATACTGTATGTTACACAAAATATAATTAGCTCTTATAATATCTTCGATCAAAATAATCAATGAGAAAATCTACCATAAGACATTTTAATAGACATTTGTTAGGCAACGGACCTAAAGATATCCTTTTTTAACTTCTCGGCCATTTAATTGAAAATTTATCAATATATACTTCATATTAATATAATAATATATTAAATACATCGGCAAGATGGACGTTTGATCGTGTCTAAATATGTACTTCAATATGAATCTTTCTATATACCTTGAATACTTGATGGAGCGCGATATCAGTCAGCCATATGTTCCCAAAACTGTCAACGTGAACTCCGTGCGGTAGATAAAACGTTTGATTTCCCCAAGCGCGAATAACATCGCCGGTGTTAGGATCTAATGTCAATACGACGTTATCATGAATGGGACCTCTATACTTTTCTTGATATTCCGCATTCTCGTCGAAGGTGCTAAAATCATCATAAAATAAAATCATCATCAACGAGATATCGTTTTAAGTGCATTCAGAATACGGACCATAGAAGATTAAAGAATTTTTCTCTATCCCACTTAGTGTTAAAAAAACTACAATAATAAAAAATAACACGGAGAAAAAAAATATTGTTTACGATACAGCTGGTTCTCCGGGAGCGAAAATTATATTATTATATTGTAGTATCTTTAAATTAAATCACTTCAATTAAGTTCTCTTCGAGTTAGTTCACTTAAATTAAATAACTTTGTCCCGAAATATCAGTCTTTTTAATGTACTATCGATGCAACTTCGATTTTCTACTCATTAATTGATTTATGACTCTTACTCGTAATTCCATATCCGATCTGCGCGATGAAAAATGACGAGTTTCCCCGACGGGTCCACGGCGACGCCGGAAATCTCGCCAAGATATTCGGGGCTTCGCCAGAAGTGATTCTCAATGGGATGTAATGGCGGATTGTAGGACTCTGGAAATTGATCCTGCGTAATGATAAGATTGATTGTAAATTTATTATCGAGGACTTTTCTGCTCAGTTTCACCCATTCTACTTGCACACCACGAGAACCGAGATTAATTTGGGACACCTTGTATATTATAATATAGTTGTTTAATACATACATTAAGGGGATTGTAGGCTCCGTCGAACCTCCTATAGCTATTTTCATCGAAGCTCTCGTCGCCAATATCGGACGTCACTCCTTTACATGACACTATTATAAGCACCATAATAAATCGCAGTGTCTCATCGTACATATCCGCCATTGTTTCTCCTCTCTTTCGTAAGTTTCGCAGTTGACTGTATCCGTACCGAGAAGGGCTGAATCGATAGTGCGCGCAGGCGCTCGTCGGATTTAAATTGTCACAGTTTTCGAGCACAACTTCGCAGTTGGCGCAACAAGTTCAACGAGAAAATTGATTAATTTTTCACGACGTAATACTTTGTAATAGACAAACGAGAAAATTCAGAACTCCCACATTTAACGGACGCTACAGCGAGCTCGATGATAAGTCAGATTACACGTGCGATGTAAAAAAAATGTATTACTCTGACCCGTTTACTCGGCAATATCAATTACTTCGCGTCACTTCACTGCAACTGTTGGACCAATTAAGAAGTTCGGTTCAATCTTTTTTCTGGATTGGCCAATTTTGCGATCGAGGTAAATATTGCTAAGACTGAGGCGGAGGATTATAAACAACGAACGCGATCACTCGGTCGACGAATAATTTATATTAAACATAATAGGTTCAGAAATTTCACTCAGAAGTGGAACTGAACTCTTTGGCTGGACCAATACAGGTAGTTTCGACGCAGAACGTGAAAACGAACAATTGAGATTTCGTTGGTGATATAAACGGAAAGCGTGGCGATTGTGGCGATAAGTGACAGCTGTTACATCCGACACCGCCTAAAATCGACTGCGTCTGGTTCAGGATCTCGAGGACGGACCCGTCGGGACAATCCGACAGGTAGGCGTTAATCGATAATTGCGCGCAAGTGTCCTGGTCACTATCCTAGAAAAGAGGGAAGGAGCGCTGCGTGACGTATCCTGGAAACCGTTGACGTCAGAGTTTTCATCTGTTCACACAGGGTGATCAATAACTCTCTGTAATCTACGGCAATGTCCGGTCCGGGCACGCACACTCGCTAACGTTATGCTTAACAAACATTTTACGAGAATTCACGCTGAAGAATCGAGCAGCATTCGTATATTCGTGTTACGAGAAATAAGTATATCGAATAGATTAGCGTTACCTGTCGAACCTGCTTTCGTGTGACATCACATCACGTCGTTGTTATTTTGGTTAATGCAACGATTATCGAAGTTATAATTTACACGCAACACGACTGCGAATAATGAATCACAATAAAAATTACATTAAAATTATCCGATCAGAACTTTATTAATATAGTGATCACAATGAGAGTTTATTTATAACATAGTAATTATAAATTCTTGGCAGCATAAGTGTTCGTAGATGTGCTAATGAAAACTATATTGCTCTCGACCGAAGTTTGAGTATTTTGTGTGTGAAACCGCTCGTTGAACACTCCTCTTGCGACTTTCTTGCTTTCTCCCCCGAGCCAAGTTATTAATAGAAAATTATATTTGAAGCAAATTCGTGTCGTGTCTTAACCGGTGAATGAACCATTTACGAAAACCGCAATGATCGTTGAGAATAACCGTAGATTTTGATTTTGAATGGATGAGGTTTGATTCCTTCGTACATTGGTATTCCTATAAAAAGAAGGGTAATCGAATTAACATTAACTGAAGAAAAATATTATCCATGGGATTGAAGACGTGTGATTAAAAAATTATTGTATACATCAATTTTAACAGTGTTTATATCCCTCTTACGTTTAACGGATCACGTTTTACTCACACCGTTTTAAAATTCTTTTGAAATATTGATTTATGGACCTATGAATTGTTACTATTTTCGTATTATATTCGGTATTAGAAGGAAAATTAAAAGTACATAGAAACAGAAATGTATTCGAAATCGTGATACCCATAGTTAATTTCCAAATTGACGCGATTTCTCATATAGTATAGAAACTTGCAATAACATTGCTGCAACGTTGCAACAATGTTAACGTTAGCTTTTGTGTTATACAGGTTGCAATTACGTGAAATAAAGGGGAATTTCTGGTCGATTCGTTTAATGTACCTGTTTCTTTTTTTGGCGCACAGGATAGCACCATTTATTTATCGATTTCAAGGCTTAACGACGTTTCCGGTTGAGTCCATATATAGCCTGTGCGTGTCATACTGCAATGTGCGTCATAATATCTTCCTGGTGCACGGCAATAGGACCACCTCGGGCAACGACATCGGAACTTACTGTGAAATTCTTCCTTGCACACCTCGTTCCACCAACAGGTTCTCTGAAACGTTAAAATTCGTAGCGTAAACAGTTCAGCATAATGTCCAAAATCGGGACATAAGACGTATTTTAGAATATCTTAAAGACATCTTATATAACGACATCTTAAACACGACTTCAAGACAATTCCATCAAAGAAAATTTATTAACATTAGAAAGCTCGCAAAGCAGAAATTTTAATCACACTTTATGATGTAAAATTTTACAATTTTGCTTTACCGTTCTTTGCAATAACATTTTTCTTTGTAAATATTTATTCTTTTCCAAATTTTACTTGAAAAACCAAAAGACCAATTTCACTTAATATGTTATAATATTATATTTGAAGAGAATAAATTTGTCCAGGTGTCCCTACCTCTGCCAGATATCCTCTTACACTTTGATCGCTGTAATTCCGCTTGGTGATTATATGTCTGGCGTTCGCTGAGTAAACTCTCGAGCATAGTGCAAATATCAATAAGAAACATAACGTGGCTCTATCCTGCGGAAGAGAAACATATTATTCACACACAACACAAACGATTCAGCATACTTTGCGTCGAACCAATCGTGCTCGATTTCAAAAACAAAAGCTCGATTATGCAAAACAGTCTCTCGTCGGTCCTTCCTCCTGTAAACGCGTGTATTTCTCGCAAGATTTTATTTCGATCTTTCCATTAAATTCTCACTTCGCCGAGGGTCGAAATAAATTAATAGATACCTCCAGATTAACTCTCTCTCTCTCTTCCGAGTCTCATTCAATCCATTCTCCGAGTACCTTAATTCGCGTACTCTTCTGTATTCACTCCTTCGCGCGATATCCTTCCTTCCTTAAGATGTCAAGTCGCAAAGGTATCGAGACTTCAAGACAAGATTATTCGCGCGTTTATTCACTTACATTCTCCCTCATTTTCGCCTCGTCTCTTTCGTGCAGTACCGCTCCGTCCTCGACGCCGGATCACAAAGTGATCACAATGCTAAAAGCGGCGGAAGGGTGGTGGGTCCTCGCGAGCTGCATTTGTCCGCCGCGGCGTCACTCGCCAAGCATCGTTCCTGCACGATGCAGTTCCTGAAGGGAAGGAGCGAGTGACGTCGAGCATGCGTACACCCGCTCGGCACTCGTTGATATCGTTAAGGGTAGGTCAGTCTCGCTTATCTCGTAACGATCGATCTTCACGCGAACTCTTATTATAAGTTTCCAGAAATCCTCGTTACTCTTTGTTACACTCTTTTCTACCTTCGTCTTTCTTCGCTCGTGGACAATTTTGTCGTGATTATGCGGACGGAGTTATTTCGTGGTTATCGGAAATCCACGTTGATTTCACGCTTATTTCGACCACGAGGTAGCACATTTCCCATATAAACTCTTGCAGTTTCGATTCTTTGAAATTTGACTTTACTGAAAAAAAAATCCGTTCTATCGAGACATTCACTTCTCTATCACTTATATGTGTATATATTTCCTTCACTCTCACTCTTTTCTGTTCTTTGTGACTTTGGGAAAATATTTTTTCAGCGGATTTGTCGACCTGTCGCGACACGACCTGCTTATTTCGTCTCGAAAAGCGCGCTGAGTTGTTATCGCTGCGACGCTCATCGGCTGCGGAGCGAACTAGTTTTGCCGAACTTGTTGGCTGAAGCAGGTGCGTGATCATCTGCTTCGTGTTGGATCTGTCATTTATCGTCTTTTGCCAACGAAATGGCGTCCCGTGCATTGCTGCGACAATGCGCGGATGTAATTAGCAAAAACAATCCCGGGTACGTAAATCTCTTTCGTTATTTTGCGAATAAATCTCCCTTCTGAAGAGGAAAACAAATAACCATAACCTCACAATTTTATATAACGAATATTATTCAGGTTGAAAGTAAACAAATATCAGGAAATACAGATACATAACAAATGTTAATATTAAATTTATGATTACGAAACGTTATTTATTTATTAATTATAAGTTTTGAGGAAAAAATAATGAAGAGTAGTAGAGTATCAAAGAATGACATAAAGAGCGATTTGTAACGTAATACTATAATGTATATTAAAATGTATAATGAAATTTAATTAATTCTAAGGGTATTCTATGTGCAGAATAATCAGGTTGCTTTCAAGCAAGAACAAAGAAGTGGAAAGGACACAGAAGATTAACTTAATAAAACGCAAGAATCTTGAGAAAATGATGCTTACAGAAGACGAGTTTAATTACATTCAAGCTTTAAAGAATACTATTGCTGTATCTCCTATCGAGGATGTAGGTTACGTATCTGGAGTTCCCGAGGAGCACATCAAGACTCGTAAAGTACGGATTTATCAACCTGCTAAAAGTGCCATGCAATCAGGGACAAATAACGTTCACTTTTGGCAAATAGATTTTGATACACGTGAGCGTTGGGAGAACCCATTGATGGGATGGACTTCCTCGTGAGTACTAATGACTTTATGTATTATCAGATACAGATATATAAATAAGTAATCTTGTAAATTTCCTATTATGTAGTGGGGATCCCATGTCGAACATCAAAGTTGACTTCGCGACTTCGGAAGAGGCAATCACACATTGCAAAAAAATGGGATGGGACTATTATATTCAGAAGCCGAATGCAAATCAACCGAAGCCTCGTACCTATGGGGAGAACTTCTCTTGGAACAAACGTACTCGAGTTTCTACCAAATAGTTCGTACACAGAAATTTATAGGCCAATTATTTGTAATGTCATAGTAACGGCGTGGCGTGCTGATTGTAGTCATGCTTGTAAAAAATTCTAACAGATGTATCATATTGCAAATAAAAAAAAAATATATATATATATTTAACACGATATCTCTCTTTGTTTTCTCATTTATAATAACTTGATCTTTAAATTATATGAAAGAAAATACATTTGATTTGCTCAATAATGCTTTTATTTTTTATCGCATCGTTCTTGTAAAGTAGTGAGACTATATCTAGCATTTGTGTAACTTAGCTTATCATCGAGATAATCTTGAATTGTAAATTTAATATCATTCTTTTATATCGTTATACTTATATGTATATTTTGTATTGCTTATATTAAATAAGATTTATTCATAACTCCGATTTCGTACGAACGTTGTCACTTGTGACAATGCGAGATAAGCAATACCGCGAATACTTTATGTTCGCGCGTATATTAGAACAATGGGAAAGAGATCGTGGGCGCAAGCCGTAATGTTCATGCAAAAACAATAACAATTCAATAACATTTTAACATTTCTAATCATTTTTTTTCCGTTTGTTTTATTATTTATAATTATATTATACTACAATATTGTTAACAACGTTGTGTATTGACGAGTTGCGCGCCTTCGAATCAGGCGGAGCGAAATGAGAAGTATTGTACAATATGCATTCGAATTTAAGACTGATCTAAACTTATCGAAGATCGTGTTACAATGTCTCGGGAGACCTTCGTCGCATCGATAATGCGAATCTCTTTGGGCCCGTTGCACCAACGTGATACTTTGCACTCGTTATTAATAAAATCTTCTCCTAAACGACATCTTGCGTAATTATCGCCGTTTCTCCCCTAAGCCAAGCTAAAAGAAAGAAATGTACGGGGGGAGAGATAGTTTCGATATCTACATTAATATTAAAACCAGTATTTGTCTACAATTGAATGTTCAAAAATTTCTGCTAATCACACTTTAAACGTACAAACCGACGCAGTGTTCACTCGTGATCGGATTCAAGCGGGCTTTATCTAAAAGAAAGAGGAGAAAAATTTTAAGCTTTGGTCGTTCGGGCACTTTTACTCCCGAAACTTTCGAAATCGTATAATTCTCTATTAGTAATAGGAAATATATAACAAATATTTCTATGTATTATTGTTATTATTAGGACCGTGAGATCTGGGAAGGAACATGGGGGATCGCTGATCGGACTTGATCAATCGAGCTCGTCGCTGCAACGGACCCCTCAATCGTTTGTTAATTAAGAGATAAAGCGAAGTAAGACATACGCAATCGTGTCTCATGAGCAGAATATGAAAAATGGCCTACGATGTCTTATTATCGCGTAAAAAGTACAGGGGGGCGAGAGGAAATTATAAGTAAGAGAAATAAGTTACCTCACGTATCCCCCAGATAGGCGTTTATATCGCTAAATCGTGTGTAAAACATTTTATAGTACCTAATTAATTTCCTAATAAGTATTTTTTCTGCCCTGCAAGAAGCGGATGAATCAGAGGAAATCATCAGAGATTTATTCTGAAAAATTCAATTTCAATTCGCTGGCTATGTGTGTATGTGTGTGTGTGTGTGTGTGTGTGTGTCATGTGTGTGCTTTTATGTGCATCTGTATATGTATGTGAATCTATATGAGTTTTTGTACGTATGTGTAGTATCTCGCAGAACAGATCGCCGCTGAATTCCTTATAATTGATCCTTTTATTGCAGCAAGGCGCAATGGACTAATGCAGGTCGTTCTGCGTTTCTTTTTTACAAACTGCGGAGAATGTGAGAGTCATTATTGTAATATATGAAACCATGATATCGCCGCCTCGATTATCGGCAAGATCATAAAATATTTTAAGCTCGGTGTAAGTCCGACGCGTACGTTCGTACGGATTTTTTTTCTTTCCGTCTCGTGGAACTATTCTCGCGATTCGAAAACTCCTTCACGAAAATAACTTTGTTTATCCCTGCGGAAAATACGCGAATTGAAGAATCGACGGAAATTCTTCCTCTTCCTTCCGCTGCTGATCTTCGTAATCTAGAATGATTTTCTTCGGAGATGATTCCCAATCAAGAATTGCGTTTCTTTTTGTTATACAACTGTCTCACGAATCTCTGTTCAAATATTCTATAATTTAAAAATCATTTTCACTCATAACATTCTGCGTAGGATATACGTGTATGTATGTACGTTTCAGTGTAGTGTGAATAAGTGTGTACGTGTGTGTGTGTGTGTGGTGTTGTGTGAAAATATGGGATTTGAGTTTCACAAACCAACTTTTGTAGTTTTATCGAAAATTGGAAATTTACGCACTTCCATACTTAATTTCCGATTTTCTCCTCGAGATTCGCCTATTTTACGCAGGACACGCAAAGACGTATTTTTGACATCGCGGGGACCTGCGATCGAAAGCAACGGACTAACGTGGATGGTACCTAATGTAACGCTTTTACGTTCCGAAGAAGCGGCCGCCGTGTCGCGCGGAATTTTCTTTTTCGGCGACTTTCTCGCGTTCAGGGAAACCGTACGTCCCGATCAGATACTTTAAAGACACTAACGGCTTTTTTTAATATATATATATATATAATATATATATATATATATATATATATATATATATATATATATATATCTTATATNATATATCCTATATAATTTGCCCCACCCCCTGTGCATTATATTATCTGAATATACAATTCATCTATGTAATCCCCTCACGCGGTTTTCAAACAGCACGTAGGGCCTGACGAAACATGACCTGGGACTTTTCTCAAGCGGGAAGTGGGGAGTGAAAGGGTGAAGGGCGGGGGAGCAGGAGCGAAAATGGGCTTTCGAGAAAGCTAACAGCACGATCGTCGCTCGTTCGTATCCTTTGTTCTCGCTCGTCGCGCAAATCGCAAAACTTTTTTTCCTCTCTCGCACCCGTAATGGTTCTAACCGGATATAGAGCGATATCGTATAACTCGAAATAACAGCGATATAAACTGTCGTCTCTCATCTCCTCGATTCCCCACATGTGTAGTGTGTATTATGTATAACGGTATTGTCACGTACATATGCACGTACGTACGCGTGTGGTGTTTTGTGTTACGTGTATGTGCGTGCACGTTATTACCAGCGAGCACGGGTATGTGTAGGCATTGAGCATACGCAATTATTCATCCGCACACATACGCAGACGCGCAATTAGAAAGACTAATTAGTGCTCTATATAGGGTAATCTCTCTCGCATGGGACGCCTGGCGGTCGCCCACGCATGATTGTACAGTTTTCGAAGAAGATGCAGCCTCTCAGAGAGTGCAGCTAACATACGTCCAGTCTCTTTCGTTCCGTTTAATTATAATATATATATATATATATGTATATGTATATATAATATCTCGTTTTAGTTCATTTATTTTACCTATGTATATATTTACAAGTATTAATGTTTGCGCGGAGATGAACGCGCGCGCGCACGTAATCGCGACGTTTCCGCTATTCGGCGATCCGAGATTGAGAGATCGCGCGACTCGCTCTTACGACTGCACACGCGTTTCCCTCACGTCTCCCTCTCATGTGTGTATGTGTGTGTAGTATATTTATAATTTTTAATTGACATATAATTTTATCATATATGCCTCGTGAAAACCAGCTCCCGAGGATCTCGGACTCGTCCGCCGATCCGCAAATTCGCCGCCGGACCGCCGTCGAATCGCCAATCGAAAGAACGTTCTTCCACCTTGCTTTCTCTTCCGCTTCTCTTTCCTCCCCTTTTCTTCTTCTTTCTCTCTTTCACGTGTGCAAACAGAATTGTGTCAAGCTTGTCAAGCACAGAAGTACTACAGTCTGATTAACGTCTGATATTATATATAATATATATATGTATACGTGTATATCGTAATAATGCTACGCGGGTCTAATTTATCTCTATGCACGTGTCAATGTCACCGTCCGTAGCCGCCGCGGACATCCGACGGGTGTACTCGGATATTTTGTCGGACATGTCGCTTGATATAATTTTCTCCTTGTTCTTTATAATGGAAAAGAGTATCTCTCTCTCGGATCAGGCGTTCTAGCACTTTTAATTGTTTGGGGAAATGTTCGGTAAGAGCGACGAAATGAGACTTTCGTCGCCTGCGATCACTTGATTTCGTTCATTCGCGTGTCAAAGTCTTATCCTACGTTGGCCCTTTGTTCATCGTTTAATCGTCAAATGATTTCTAGATATTTACGTTTGATGGATTCAGACACTTAGCGATTTTTTGCCATGACGCAACGCATTTAAATGAGGACAAAGGGGAAACGTTATTACATATATATTCGGGGATTCGGACATCCGAGTACATCGATCGAATATCTCGGCGTCGTGCCACTGGCCGGGATGCTTGTAAAACGGGAATTCGACAACGATACCCAATCACTCGGTGTCCGCTAATTGATAATAGGCACTATAGGTCAACGTGAGGTTGTGGCATTTCAGCGGCAACGTTTCCGTCTACACAGAGGGAAAGTAAAATTGTATGGTAGCGGTATTCCCTTTGCGGAGTGATGACTATCACTGTGGCGACCCCCGTAAAAGCTTCTGGTGGACCGTCGGAACATAATGCGCTTATCTAGGATAAAAAGATACGGTTACGGGGTGTTTCTTAAAATAATTCGTTGTCCATGGAAATTCGAACATGCGCCCGCATGTGTTATCCGTCCGCTCGTTTGAGACGTTCTAATGGAACTTAGCGAAGCCAGCCTCACGCGTTTATCCTTTCGCAGGGGATAATCTCTCTCTCTCTCTCTCTCTCCCTTTTTTCTCTTCTTCTTTTTAGCAACAAAGGCCCAAACGACTCTAAATGTCGGCGAGAGAGACATTTATAGGAGCGGCGTGTCGGAGTGAGACAAATCGGCGCGGAGTATACACACGTGAACGATTATAAAATAACGCTGACGATCTGTCGGAAGCGATGAGAGACCCGAGGATATCTAAAGTCGGTCCTGCGAAGGATCCCGTATGTCAGGGCGCGCTGTGGTAATGAGAACTCTCGGAGGCGCACGTGGGTCGCAATGTCGCGCGACGCGAGTTTTGGACTGTTATTATCTCTTTTATCTTTTTATACGATTCAAGCGATTCCTTCGTGCAATCGTTAACAATAGGTTCTGAGGTTCTTGCTGTGATCTGTTCACGCCGTCACAGGTGACACTCGCGGCTGTAGGTGTGCGTAATCTACGATAAAACGGAAACGACGCAGGAGAAACGAGTAAAAATGTGGACTGACGAGAAGCGGAGAGAAAATACGTCGCGTAATATGAATAAGAATTTAAGAAGATTATATCGCTCAAAGCTTCGTACATTAAAAGAGCTTAATACTTCGATAAGATTGGAGGTTTTATCGGGCAGGATTCGCGCGAATTCGGGTTGACGAGGAATTTCAATTCGTTCTTGGGTAAAATTTAAGAGCGAGCACACGCAAAATCGAACGTCACCGATATTTCCGTGGGAAGCCGCTCTCAAGAGCTTTTTGTTAAATCAATCCTGGAGCTAAAGTTACAGTCGAAGTGTCCAGTTAACGAGCCTTTTATCCAGCCTCGCTCCTGAAGACGATTCTGCGCGATCGCAAACCATCCGCGACTCGTGCAACGGAAAGCGCTTTACCGTCAGAAATCGCCTTCGAGAACGAAACGCACTCAACCCTTTCATGTTAAAGTAACAAAAAAAAACATAGTGGACTGTTTTTAACATAAAATCTTTTGCTGTGTATTTTACTGTGTGTCATTACGCGCGTTACGATTTTGGCTGAAACTAGTTGGGCAGTCTAGATGTTGAAGAAATATATTTGCACGTAGACCGAGTGCAGAATACCGTTCGCCTTGTTACTTCGTTCGTGCACCGTTTGTTATTAAAGTTATCTTGTTTTATTTTCTCTTCAGCGCGACTCGCTGGAAGGGTTGAAACCAGCGCGCGGTCACGGGACTACCGGATGTCAGAAATGCAAAACGAGAGAAACCTGCTGCGATACGATGTCAAATATACGTGTCGTTTTGAGCAGTATCTTGCTTCCGAAATTCCGAAGCATCTAACGGTGCACAGCACGGAGAGAATCGAGAGAAACATCAAGTCAGAAACGTCGTGAAATGAGAACGTGGACGTACACGGGGGACGTTGTCGTTCTCTTCTCAGTCGTCGTGCCTTTCCCCGATGATTTCTACATAAACGCAAAACGGAAAACACACCTAATCGATCGAACAGCTATGGCAGTACGATGTATTACGATCGTCGCGCAACTGTATAATTTTTTCGCGCGACGGAGCGAGAAGTCGCCTTTCGAGCGGTTCCCCTCCTCGACGAATCGCGAGGATATTCGCGCGATATCATAAGCAACGAACGATCGAGAACGAGAAGCCCTCGGCGCTTTGCCTTGCGACAATGAGGCTGGCTGACGAACAGTGTTGGGGATTTACGTGTAATCTCCGCGCGGAGAATTTGTCTTCCGCTGAACTCTTGAGAGAAATTTACGAAATTCGACATTTATACCGAATATACTTTGTCGTACGTAGAACATACGTTGCGGATCATACTTGTAGAACTTATTGAGAAGAATATCGCGCTATTTTTACGGTGATTTTAAATCGCCAACGAATATCGGTTGCGTATTATGTGCTGCATAGAGTAAATCATCAACAACGGCGGGACGATAATTAATGCGATTAATTTTCGGTGAATTTTGGATATAAATGAAACTCCACGCGTAAACTTAACATTTTACGATCCGCCGGTAATATGGTGATCGCGATGTGAAAACATTAATATATTGGGTTAGGGAGAAAGAGTAAGAGACTTCTTACAAATTGCCGATAGACGGAGATCTGATCAATTTTTGACACTTACGTTTAATTTTTCTCGGCTAGCAAAAAACGATTACTATCTTTGACTATCTGAGACAAGTAAAAACAAATAAAAAAATTGAAATTTATCATATTCACCGGTAAGAGAAAAACATAAACTTCACGATCGAAAAAGTCAATATGTTTTAATTTTAATAAGTCCTTTTTTACCGGTATTTATTTGCAGTTGGAAAAGTGCGGCTAAGTATAAATCACATAGTTTGTTCAAGTCAGAGAGCGCGACAACTTCATAGCACGGATCGTAAAATGTTAATATGAAAAATTTGGCCATCGTCGTGATTCAATATAACACGCGTAGGCTAAAACGCTCGAATTATCGCAGATTATCTCTCGTAGTTTTCTTGCATTTTTAATTGCTTACTTTATTACGTTTTCCTTTTTCTTTTCTTTCAATGAAGCTGTCGTATCGTCGATTAACCGTATACACCCAACTCTGTCGACTGATATACTGCGATCAGCTGATCGAGTCATCGTTTCACGGTTACGACAACTGGCTCGCTAATCCAAAAGTGATGACTATAAGAAACGGAATCAGATATTTTGGTTATTCGACAATAATCACGATCACCGAAGGAAGCCACATTATCTCCGCCTTTGTTTTATTCGCTTTTTTTTTTTTTCTTACGACCTTCCTCGCCGTTAGTGATGCGAGTGATTTTACCCTAAGATTTGAGGCAGTACTCTTTTTGTATACCGGTAAAATTCGTTCTTCGTAGCAAACTCCGGGCGGTCTGCGTTATCTACGTGCTAACGAGATCTAGGTTCTCTTTTTCTCTTTTTTCCGTTTTTTGAAGAAAACACCGTTCAACAGAGTCGAATGTGCCCATATTTGGTCCGACCACCCTTAATTACGACGTAAGAGACAAGGATTACGCAATGTATAAATGTAGAGTTGGTAAAAAGGTAGTCTCGCGATTATCCGTACCGAAGAGCGTCTTTATACGTGCACGCGAGTGCATAAATATCTCTCTCTTTCTCTCTCTCTCTCTCTCTCTTTATCTCTCTCTCTCATTCACTAAAGCCGTGTAAAATCAGCGTTAAAGAAGCTATCAGACGATGAGTTTGAGAATTTAATGGTGAATTAAACAGCAGCGCCAAAATGCTATTTTCGAATAACAAGCAAGCGATTGAGATCGATTTTGCGGCCAACGAGATAAGTGGAAACCTCAATCGTCTTCCCGATGTGTAATTACATTAAAAAATGTTGATATTGGCGATTCCAATCATCTCAAAGTGTTTCCAATATGGGATTTCAACGTTGGACGTTCTAACTTAACTGTCTACAACTTTATTTACGTGTATGCGATTGCTCGTTTATGTATAAACGCCCAACGCTATTGAATAGCTGCTAAATTCTTTTTCTTCTTTTTTTCTTTTTTTTTCAAAATCCACCGAAGAGGCAAATTAACGATCGAGATAGAAGCATGTTCTTACCAGAGTAGCGCAACTTACTAGAAATAGTCGCTGTCTCAGAAAAGAAGTCAGTTGCGTCAACGTTAGTACAATCTTATTTCGAAGTATCTAATCTCGCGATAGAGAATGTTGATTAGGTAATTGGATTTAGTAAATTCGAATGCCGCGGAAGCATCGACTGGCGTTTATCGTTCGTTCGTACGAGTCTCTCTAATGCAAACACGATACAATTATATTTCCGATTGATCGCAGTTAATGCGACGTGTCTCTCCTTTTCTCTTTCTGTTTTATGTACATACTATATTAACAACACGGCATAGAGAAAATTGCTAAAGGCAAACCGGTGCCGCGTACAGTTTTTTTTTTTTGTACAGATCAGTATACGATCAAATAGTGTCGGAAACACGCGGTTAAAGTGCGGTTCAAGATTCACATTTCAAAGTGTCTCCGGGGAAAAGCGTTGAATTGTCCTTAGAATTTAAGACAGTAATGATTCGTCAGTCGCGTCAATGTGTGGATTCTTGTACGTAGCAAAAATTCATAATGTAGTAAATTGTATCCGTTACCTCTATTATGTACACACACACACACACACACACACACGCACATACCCACATACACACACGCGCACCTCTAATGTCGCGGATCAACTTTTTGTCGCGAGATATAATGTAACAATGCGATAAGTATTCCTCTCGTATTGTTCTCGTTTCCTGAGAACGGCTACATCTGGTATTTCCGCTACGCTGGTAATTCATCCTTACTCCTTCGCCGCCAGAGAAACTCAGTATTGTCGCGTATATCTTTCTCTTCATTTTTTCTCTTTATCCAAGAGCAACTCTGCGTCAACGTGATAACGAAACCGGTGTTCCTCCACCTGTCCCGCCTTTCTATCTCGTAATGAAAAAAAAAAAACTGTCGAAAATCTGTTTGTTTTCATAATCTCGTCCTTGTCCCTTCCTTCGTTTCTCGTTGCGATGGCTCTCGACCTATTCTCGCGACATTGCGGCAATGAAACCGCAACTCGATAACTGCACGCCTTGATTATGCGCGGGGTCTGACCGCATTCTCAATTAGCTCAATTTTCAGCCGAACAAAGAGGTTCGCTGGGTTTTCGCAGCAGACATCCGCGAAATCAGCGTTAACACTTTAACGACGAATCTGCGCTATTCAGCGGCGGAACATCTTCCTCCGGACATCGCCGACGGTCGAGAACCATCATCACACGCGGAATCCGATCCGACACTTCGACGAAACGTACACACTTCTCGCAGTCGAGGTCTCGAGGAGGTTCGCCTCGGAGAAGCCACGCGTCCTACCTAACGTTTAGATCTGTGTGTGTGAAAAGTCTACATGTACGGCCTCTGCTACGGTATTTACTATCACTGAGTCGCACCGGCGCTGCCGCCGCAATCGTCGTCGCGATCGTCGTCAGAGTACCCGGATCGCGTCGACTAGGATCAGCTGTCGTCCGGCGTGTCCTGATACTCCTCGCTCTCTCTGTGCACCAGTACATGCACCACAGTCGCCTCCGACTGCTGCCTGAGCAGCGGCGGCCTCGAGGGTGGCGCGGTATTCTCCGGGCTCGGCTCCGTCACTAGAATGCTCACGTCACTACCCTCGGCCGGCAGCTGCACCGGCTCCGGCGGCCGCCGTCTCAGGCTGCCGCAGCGCCGGTTAAACGCCTCCTTGATGTCCCGTTGCAGCGTGTTGAGCGAGAGCGTGGTGCCGCTCGGCCGCAATGAGCCACGCTTCGAGATCGGCGGACTCAACGCCTCCTCCTCCGGGTACTTCTCCACCGCGTCTTGCCGGCCCAGCGTAGGACCCAGCGACCTGCGGACAAGAGCACGGGCTGCTTAGGTTGGCGTTCGGTAACACCGCCGCGCGATTATGCCTCCGCTTGTCATCCCCGAAGGGTTAACACATTGCCAACCGCGTGACTCGCGTCTTACACACGGCAAAAGTGTTTTATGCTAAATTTAATACAAAATAGCTATCTACCGAGGCTTTTTTAATTAATAACTCAAGTTTACGTGAAAACCTCTCGCAGCATACTTTCTGTTCCTACAAGCGAGTCTGGTCCCAAGACAACGGGGAATTTAACTGAACTAACGGAGTTGTTTTTCCGCGTAAAAATTATAATTTCTCTTCAGAATCGTCAAAAGTTCAGGTTGATCGGTCGATCATCGTCCTATCCAGAACAGGGTAAATCTGTCTGATCGGTTGACAATGTGTTAAAGGGTACTTGGAATGTACACGGGAGATGTCGGATATGACTTTCGGAATAACGTGGCTGGAAATATAGGATTTCGCGATTTCCGTTCCATTCACGGTACTTTTACCGCAAATTCTCTTCTGCGTGTACTCTGTGTGGCTGTGTGCATTTTGTTTCCCATTTCCTTCTCTCGTCGAGAGATAGTATACACTAAATGAGCCAGCGCTAATATAGTTTCTGCGGTGGAACGAACACAATTTGTCGGTCTTTACTTGCGTTCGCACGACACATCGGCAAATATGTTCAGCATGCGAGAAATCACCGTGTTCCGTATGGAGAAGTCTCTTACCGAAAGCTAGAGCTAGACTGAAGCATGACACGATGCTGACAAAATCACGCTAGTGATATCTAAATGTCACATGAGATGCGTATCAAGGGGATTGTTATAATCAACATGTGATAACAACAACCAACCAATCAGTCAACCAACTCTTACCCTTACAACTACGTTCAACCACAAACCGATAAGCGACATAACGAATCGTCAAAGAGATGGAAATTATGCGCAACAAGTCTACTTAGCCGTTACCCTCTAATCCGCTAACGTATTCACTAGTCCACTAATTTTGTCGTGTGTCCGAATGTATTCCTGGCTGGCAAATACACGCAATACTCCGCAATACTCCGACTAATTGATATTTGAGAGTCGGCCTTATCTAGCAATAACAAAGAGCTGAACGAGAAAATTCGAAGAGGTTTAAATACATGTTCAGGTTTACCTGTTCGTTTTCTTGCCTGAGGAGTTTTGAAAGAAGAAGAAACTAGATTAATTTGCGTGTGACACAGTGTGTGCATGGCGTGGTGTATAAGGAGTCAAATGCACTACGACGACACGCATCTCTTTCGTTAATACGCTCGTTAGTATGTGCAAACTCCTCAGGCCGATACGATCGTGCGTGTTTTGTTTTTCTAAAAATAATTGCCGTTAAGAGATTCGATCAATCTAGATTTTTCAACGTCAAATTGACTGATACTTCGTCAAACTTGTATTGTGTCGTTTTTACGTCAATTTGCATACAACGCATCCAGCCCATATATATATATATATGTATATACATATATATATGTATCATTGTAATTACCGTATCGTCGTGACGACAGGAAAGCAAGAAAAAGAATAGATGAACGAACCTGACGGTAGCGTGGGAGTCCGAGCCGGAGCTGGAAGCGGCGGAGGGCTGTTCGGCGGTCGGCGAAGGACGGGAGACTGTCAAAGCCGGGGGTTGCAGGTCCTCGTGGGTTCCGGTGGCGCCGGAGAGCAACAGCAGAGGAAGATTTGGGAACAGCCAAGCCGAGGCCGTTCCGAGTTCGCTGAGGTCGCTGGCGTCGCTGGCCCTGGAGGACTTGCGGCTACTCGCCCGGCTACCCCGATGCACGTGCAGAAGGGCCGACAGCTTACCGCCCCATCCACTCCCGCTCCTACCGTCCACGCCACCCGGACTTGAGGTCTGCGTCTGGGAGTCCACTTCCTGGGCGATTCTTTCGCGCTCCTTCTTCATCCTGCGTGCGTAGTTGTTACTTAGAGCATTTGCTTTATGAGAATCGCGATAGCTGTATGACGGTATTTAGAGTCAGCATTTAAGAACAAATTGTTATGGTCACCTAAGTAGACCGAGATTTTTTAATGTTCTTCATTATGATCGTTACTTACGACAACTGTTTTTTATTACAACTATTTTGACGTATGTTTTGCTATCAATGATAGAGTGATAACGTTATCCATAACGTAATAATAAAAATAACAACGTTTCCTTAATATCTGGGAATTTGAGAAAAATATTGGCCACATTGATACTCACGCAATGAATTCTCTTATAGAATGTTGAATCAACCTGGCAGCTTTGTCTTGCCGTTTCCAGATTCTTGTGGAAGACACTATCTCCAATTCTTTCCTGGTTGGGAACTGCTTCTTGAACTTGACGTCCATCTGCTCTTGCAGCTTCCTGAAGTCATCCGATTCCTCGACGTGCCCAAGAACGTGCTTGACGAGCGCATGTAGGATGTCCAGACAATGAATCTTGTTACCCTTTGCGATGGGAAGATTAAAGCTCACCAATGCTACCACGTTGGGCTTTGATATCCCCAGCGGCGGGTCCAGGCTCGCTATAAAGTCGCTCAGCTGAGAGAAGCTGATAAATTGAGTTGCGTGTGGATCGTACCTGAAGAATGAAAATATCGATTTCGAATTATAATCGAAAACTCTCCTTGTCTTCCTCTTTTTGCACGGATTATATCTTTTTTTTGTAAAAAAAAAAAAGGAAACGGTAAAAATAAAAGAGAAATATCTTACTTCGACCATCGGATGTAAAACATTTCCAAGTCATCCTCGACGATGCCGATCTCCTCCTCCTGATGAGCTTGATTGAAATTCTCCAAGATGATGGCGATGTACATGTTAATGACTATCATGTAACTGATGATGATGAACGAGGTGAAGTACGTGATTGCCAGCAAAGGATATCCACAATCTCCGTTCATCTGCCGGCTGTTCGGCGTGGGATCACATTCCGGTGGTTGCACCATCAGCGACTCCAACACATCGTTCCACCCAGCCGAGGTCATCAAACGGAACAGTAGCTGCATACTTCTACCGAAAGTTTCGAAATTCACCTGAAGGACAAGATTGCAACTTTAACGAGATACACATTGTCATATTCAAGCGGAGATTTGCGAGAAACATTTGTCCAACAAGGTTCCGAAGAAATACATCGTCTCGATGATAGCGCTCAGAGTTCAACGTTCCTAATAAAAATTGAAACTCGTGTCTAACTACGAGATAATAAATTTATGTCTAACGTTGCTACTAGTAATGTAAGCTATCAGTAATGTAACGCTCATTTCTCCTAGTGGTTAAATAATAATTAGATAAATAAGTTAGCTGATGATTAAATAAAAGAAATTATAATAACGAGATGAAAAATCGCAACTAATTACCAGGCAGTAACGCCCATTTTTTTCGACTCAGGACGACTAGATATATATACATATATATATATATATATATATCTACTCAGATTGTGATGTGTAGTAATTCTTTGAGCTCACCATATCGTCCAACGCGCCTTGTTTCCTGACGTGTCCGAAAACGGACATGCCGATGATGGCGTAGATGAACGTGATCAAGGCCAGCAGGGCCCCGATGTTGAAGAGTGCTGGAAGACTGACGACAAGGGCGAAGAGCAGCTTGCGGATACCTTTCGCGGCCTTAATGAGCCTCAAGATTCTGCCGATTCTGAACACCCTCACGACTCGCAAGAGCGTCGGGGACACAGGGAAGTCAATCATGATGTCCTCCATCAATATGCCCAGAATAGACGCTACTACCAGTAGGAAGTCGAACAGATTCCACGGCACCGTGAAGTAGTGGTAACGCAAACCTATTATCTTGACGATCGCCTCCAGACCGAAGACGGTCGTGAAGAACGCGTTCGACACTTCGAGGACGAAGAAAATGGGATGCGGCTGATTGTAGTGCTCGATTCCCATCGTTAGCATGTTGAGAAATATCAAAACGAAGATAGCTATTTCGAATCTGGAAAGAACGGACCACTCGTCACAACGCGTGCCCCATCGTGCCTCTCCCGTCCCGATCGATCGGCGACCGTGACACGTTATTTTCCCTGCGACGTGCGAAAAAAATTGCATGCATTTTTCAATCGGTTCGTGCGATCAGATTGTCGTAAATGGTATCCGCCGGCGGCCGAAGATTCGTCCTCGCGTTTAGTCGGTTTTTATACGAGCTACATTTTATACGAATTATGACAAACCTCCGATAATTTATCATTCTAATCTATTCTTTTAAAGCAAATCAGCGATAATGTTTCGGTCTGAATCGATAAAACATATTTTCAACATCAGTGAGCACTCACTGACTTTCAATAAATACATTTTCGCTTAGGTCCTCTCTTATAGTCTTGTCTCCTCATTGATTTTGGCTAGTGAAAGTAAGATTTTACAGCGACAAGAATAATCTCAGGTACATCTCCAGCGGTGGCGGAAGTATACAATGGCGTCTCCGTGAACACGCAATTGTAAATTTATCGAGGAACTTCAGTCAAAATAATGGAACTTCCGTTAACGCTACACGAGCTTTGAGAAGCGCGTTTATAATTCTAGCGTATTCTAACGTCCCCCCCCCCGTTGTACAGTTAATTTTACGTCCCCCCGCATAAATTTCGCGAGTAGTTCGCGTCTAATATCCAATGTGCAGAATCATAAAGTTGCTACGTTTGCGTAAGCTCTCTCAAGCTGCAGCTTATCTCGTCTATTATGCACAGTTGTATCACTAGATGCACCGACATCGCAGCGACAATTTAGAAGCGGCGAGCGCGTAAATGTCCTTCGGCTATCGATTCTCCATTATTTCGGGTAACGGATCGTAGAATCGTGACATTTATCTTCCCCGCGGTCTTGCCTCCTCCCGGAAGCTGAAAAGAAAATTCACGTATTGTGTGTTAGCTGCGATTTGTATGCATGCTACGATATACGTTACGCGGGGCAGGGTTGTGCAAAAAACGTTGTATCGCTCGAGAAACGAATATTCCGGCATTATCGCTGCGAGAAATATGCGCGCGGACTACCTGCTAAATCGGCATTAAATCCGGTAGCTGAGAACGAAGGGAAGCAAACGAGAAAAATCTATCAGCTCTTCGAGATGAGCTATACGACTGTTACTTATCTTAAAGTTACATATTCGTTAAATATATTTCGAGCAATAATGTCATTTTGATGTTGTTAATGCGACGTAACGCGATAAGGGTAAGGCAACGCTTAGCGGTACTAACGGTAACTAACTAACAAACGGTAACATTAAATCGATGTTACAATTTCCCAGTCAACAATGCAATATAACATATGTTGTATGTACATTAACATTGTTGAGCGGGAAGTTGTATTACATTGTCGAGCGGGAAGTTGTAACGTCGATGTAACGCTACCGTTAGTTGTTTACTGGCAGTAAATCAATACCGTCGAAGTTTCATGGGTGACAACGTGAAAGACTACTTTGATCCTCAAAGTGAACGATATAATTAAGTGAAATAATTGCTTTGAAAAATGGCGCGCATATAATTGTGGGGCAATCTTATAATTTCAATTTCGACGATATTCAAGATAGCGATAGTTATCGCCTCACTCCTGTGTAATAGTATATTTCTATTTCTAATAATAATATACATAAATATATTTCTTCTTACCTTGTCTTTGATCGAAAGTAGTCTTCCAATCGTTAATGAATGCTGAGTACGTTGATGTCGAAGATAATAATTTTCGCAAATCGTTCCGACATAAAGGAGTATCTCAATAGTAGAAGCTGTGAATATCTTCTTTGGGTCTTCTTGTTTCTTCTTTGCCCCATGATGAACGTCGGTGAACGATAACGAAACTCAAATTTTACAAATCTCCGAGTGTTCTTAGAACCTAACTACGCGACTCTGAACAAAAATCTTCACAGAGAAACATCGATGCAATTCCTGTAAAGCACACTCCTAAGTGTATCAGCGTGAGCAATGAGGAAGTGCCACCTATAGATATAGGTGTTGAAATTACTTTTTCAATAACAATTTGCAGCACAGACAGCTCTGATTTATTAAATTGCTAATATCCGCAAATCGTCATATCAACACTAAAGAAAAGTATTACAAGTAAATAATTATTCCAATAACTTTTATTTGAATCAAATAAATATTACTTAAATGTAGCAAAGAAACGCTATATTCAAGTAATATTGATTTAATCCAAGTAAAGATTTCTCAAGGAATATTGAAGTAATTATTTACTTAAACGTAGCACCTGTTTCTTTCAGTGAAGGAACCTCGCGAAAGACCAGGCAGGCAGTTCGTCGAATTTTAACGTTTGAAATCGCTGGCATTGCTAATGCATCATAATACCCGAGTATATTTAGGTATTACGTCTCGGGAGTGCGAATGAATAATAACGGTTTCTCGTTTAATTTGGAATACCTGCTTCGACGAGATTAAACGAAGGAGTGAGTGCGGCGTTTCTGTATCGACGTATGCGCGTATATACCGATTACGTTGCAACTGCTACGGCTCGTACTCGCGTTATTAGCAATTTAACGTGAGATGTCTGTGATTTGCAGCGAAATATGCACCTGCCGCATTGCTCGCGCCGCACCGTACTCAAGCGCGTGCTGTACAGCCCGACCGCTACATCGAACCGTCACATGATACCCTTTACGTCACTTTGACCGCACAATTTCTACGCTTTTTTTTTACGTTGCACTGTAGCAAACAATCGACAAACACAGCAAATTGAGTTGCGTTATAAGAAGCCAGGTTAACACTTTGACACCGAGTGAGTTTCTCTCAGAAAATAGTCTTCCGATACTTGTTACGTAACGAAAGGAATTTATAAACGAGACGTTAAGAACAATATTTTTACAGGTGAGATATAGTTAAATCATATATTGCATAAACATGTATGCAGAAATATATACTTTTATAAATCGATTTCGCGAAAGATGTGTGAGACTGAGAATTGGTGTAAAATAGACGAGATATTCGGAGACAAAACTAATGGTGAAGTAAGTATTCTGAGAAAAATGATACCAATAATAATATTTTAAAAAGGAGAAACCGGTATCATAAAATTAAATTAGAAATTAAAAATATACGCTGAATATGTAAGGAAAATAGAAAAAAATCTTTATATTACGGGTAGAGTTATTTTTGTTACATATATAAAGTTTAAGTGAGAAATAGAGAAAATTATGATTTTAATTAGTTGTGATAAAAAGTAACTCGGGCGTCAAAGTGTTATTGAAATAAAATTTTCCGTTCGCAGCCAGTGCTCTTTACCATAAAGCGACACATAATTACCTGCGAGAATTGGACAGGTCGTAGAACATTGCGAGGAATTGGTTCATCGGACGTTTTATTACTTTTTGCGGTTTTTTACGGCCTAGCTTTTTCATGGCAGTGTAGTAGTGTTTTTGACTCTCGGTCAAAAACATTTCTAACACTCCACCTTCGTACTGAAAGAAAAGATGGTCCCTTCGTTATAGTACAGACTAAATCGTTCGAACTTGACGAGAATCGACACGCGTTAGCAACATACACGCATAAAAAATATCTTATCAAAATTTTCGTTATTGCGTAAAAAATAGTTATTTTTATCTCCTGACAAACAGTGGACCAGGAAACATTCTCCACGTGACAAGATGGCTCGAAAGCTTAAGAATCCAAATTTCGCCCGGACAGTTATCGCGCCGCTCACCTTTTTCTTCAGCATGTTGAAGTTGTCTATGATCACTCCGATAAAGAGATTGAGCGTGAAGAATGAACCACAGACGATGAAAATGACGAAGTAGAGGTAAGCGTACAGGTTTGCCTCCCGTTGCGGTTGCAGATCCACACCTCTTGCATCGACAGCGTCTTCCATCACCTCCATCCATCCCTCGAAAGTCGCCACTTGAAACAAGGCCAGGTAAGCGATGCCAACATGATCGAAAGTGATCTTGCTATTCTCCCACGAATAGTTTTTGCTGATGCATTCTTCCTTCGTATTCACTATCTGAAATCAAAACAAAAGTGCTTCTCTATTATAATTAATAACTAAATTTCTCAATTAATGATAAATCTCGAAATCTACACGAACGAATATTATTCTTTCGAGAGATTCGACATTTTCGTCGTTAAATATTAAGATAATCAGAATTAATGATCTGTATTTCGTCAATGTAAGACGATCTAATATCTTTAACTTCATCCGATGAATACGAGGCGCGTCTCGAAAGTAAAGGTCAGTCAAATATTAAAAAAAGATAAAGTAAAAGGAAAACTTTTATTACTGGCGCAACGTTTGTACATATCTGCTTTATTTTTCTATATAATTAATAATGTTTTCAAGCGCCTTTAGAACCATGGAACAAGTTTTTTTATGCCTTCTTTATAGAAATCCGCTGAAATATATAATAATAATTAAAAGATTACCAGATTATTTTGGTAAAGAGGAGTTTCTGATTTGCACCCATGCGCATAAATTTTAACAAGACTTTACAATTCATAAATTAAATAATATGTCGACTCTGGTACTTTTCCTTCATCACTAATATGCCGAAGCTTCTTCACACTATTTCCTTGGCCGTTAAAACTAGAAATTAGAACAAAATGAAACTCACCGAAGTATCCAATAGTTCTCCATATTCGTCGACGCACTTGAAGAACTTGCCACCGAAGAACTGGACGCCCATTATTGAAAAAATCAGCCAGAACACGAGACACACGAGGAGCACGTTGAATATACTAGGTATCGCATACATCAACGCGTTCACTACGATCTGCGAGCCGGGAAGAAAAGTCCTCTCAGTGACACGCGGCACAAGGCGGATTTGCGTATTATGTCCTTCGTGTTTCATATGGGAGTTTTCGAGTATTGTGTGCGCGATATTTACCCTCATGCCTTGCCATCTCGAGATCGCCCTCAGTGGTCTTAAGGCGCGTAGCGTTCTCAGCGATCGTAATACTTTGAGGTTCTCATTTTCTTCTATCAAAAGACTAAACATGGATACCTGTACGGGGAAATCACGAGATTTAATTCTCGATATCGTTCGTGCTAATATGACTAAGTTTCATGCGAATTTTGTGAAAGCCTAAGTCCCGATATCAGTGACAAGAGCTTAAGATTGCTTGAAGATCATATGGAACTACTTTATTAAGCGGTTAGTCGTTCGAGATATCGTTAAATTATTGCAATCTCGTCAGCTATTTTCAAGCGGTTCGTTCGAAATCACAGATCTCGGCGACAGAAATTATTAATTTCTGTCGCCGAGATATCCGTGATTTTATTAATTTCTATCGCCGAGATATCCGTGATTTATTCAAGTGACGTACTATTAACGCGTCGCATGCATAAAGTATGATATACCGTGATCGTTACTAGAGTTTAATGAATTTTATCTGATATACGAATTACACAGAGTCGCGAAGTATCAAATGTGGTAAAATTTTTATGTACAAAAAATTTTTATGTACAAAAATAATAAGTAGCAAAAAGCCGAATTTATAAGCTACACCGAGCGACATTGATATTTTACGTGCATCGAGAGAAGATGGGTATCTAAATAGGACAGCAAATGACAATGACGTCGGAATGATGAGAAAATAATGAGGAAATAATCAAAAAGTGAGTTTTTACAGCCATTTTCTCGTTGTTTTAATATTCTATTCTATTTGGATATCTGTCCTTGAAACCTTCCGTTTTTAAAGACGCTGCGTGTGTGCATGACTCCAATAATTCTGAATATCAGGAAAGGTTGAATAAATAATATATTTATGGAAGAATCATGTTTCGTTTAAAACTGAAAAGGTCGCGTTTCTTAATTGAATTTGCGTTAATTAAATTTGCGTTAATCTACTGCATTGCTCTAATATGCAAAACATTACGTAAAATTTGACTAACGAAATGTGGGCGAGTTAAATCATATTTTAAGTAGAGCTTCGCAAGTTAAAGGAATATAACTTATTTTTCATTTAGGGAAAATCAAGGTACATTCTATATTTTATATATAATCATGTGTCATTAAAATTCTCTCTAACGTTTAATTCTAATTTATCTCTCATGCATATGTAGATATAATTAATTTTGCACATGGAGAAAAAATCTGATTGCACATTAACCAAAAAAGGAGCAACCAGATATATTTTGGTTGAAGAAAAAAGAATTTCTGGTTTTTATGATCCAAATGTGGTTCTTATAACACAGAAATTCTGTTTCTGTCAAATCAAAACGGGAACGCACTGAGACTGTAACTTTCAACGTACCTGGGTCCAGGGGCCACACATAAAACACATAGAAAAGGAATACGGAAACAACACTCAAATAATTACCACATATATTCCGTCCAAAATATCATCTTAGTTATTTGATATTTTTTTCGTATATACGGGGCGAACTACCAAGGTTCACGGCGTGAAATAACTTTTACAATTTTTATCGCAAACGAAAATATAAGAAGCCGCGACATTAAAACAAATTTAACAAGTCCGAGCGATCATTGTAAGGCTCCGAAAGACGCTGCCTCTGATACCGGTGATTCCTTAGGAGTCATTCGAAGGCGCACGGTTCAAAGGGTTCTCGTTGGCGGTCGGAAAGTTGCGATAAAAATTGCCAAAATTATTCATGTAGTCAGGCGGCTCACTCCGCATATAGAAATACGTAATGCTCCGGGGGGATAAGCGGGGTAACCGACAAACACAACTCATGCGACAGCGAGACGCACATCCTCGCACACACACGCACACACACACACAGTTTTGCAGTTCACAGCAGGGCTGTGGGCGGAACTCTGATCGTACTTACGAAAACGATTATAAAATCCAGGATTGTCCAGAAACTGGTGAAGTATTTACAGAAGCCTAGGGCTAGCCACTTCAGGAGCATCTCGACGCTGAAAAGTGTGCAGAAGCCAAGATTGGTCCAATAGAGAATCTTCTTCAAAAAAGGATTGTCGTCTAAGTAGATGTCCTCGAAGCACAGCGTTATGGAAGATGCGAAAATTAAAACTAAGATCATCCATTCGAAGGCGGGCGTGTCGACCACCGACAGGACGACTGTGCGGATTCTTATCCACTTCTTGCCGATGTCCGTGGCGAGGCAACGATTGATACAGCTACACCTATGAACAATCGCGTTCGTCGAATCGATCGGTTAGTTGCCGCCGAAATATTTAGCAAGGTTAAATAGACACGAATAATCCAGCAAATATAATGACGCATTAATGACGTATTGACAATTACGTGTTGATGGCGCTGGTGAGACGGCACAATTTTAGTATTTTGCAATGCCGCGAAAATCAGTAGTGGATTTAACAAACTTGATTTCACACGATAAAGAAGGGAAATAAGTATTAGGCATATTGCGCTGATGTAATCACGAACTAAGAAACACTGTCTTTCACCTGTTTAAAAATAAAGCCTACAAGTAAATTTCAATAATACAATTTCTATATATCTGTATTTCTGTTGTCTACGCGTAGACGTTGATCGTATTTCACGCGTAAACGTCCGATCCTGGTTCATTGAGACGTCTGTTCTTTATAATATCTTTTTGACGTTCATTCGATATTCGCGTGCTCTCTAAATTTCTCGGAGTGAAATTCGACCTTTAAAAACAGAGTGATCTCGCGGAATTCACTCGAAAAAATGTATCGAGTTCTTTGCCGTGGACGAATGAAGGAAAAGTTAGAGGAGCGTGTCTTACTTCTGGTAGCAATGTTGGGGAAAGCAATCCAGCGGCTCCTTGCGCTCTTTGTTCCGACCAAACCCCGGGAACGAGCCCATCCCGTCGACGTACCTCCCTTTGCTGTCTCTTCTGCCTCCGACCGTCAGCTCGTCCACGTAACTTACGAGGGCATGCCAAGGACGTTTCGTAACGCGTTGGCTGCCATTCCGACCAGGCGGTTTCTCTTCCGGCAACATGGCCACTTCCTCGTCCGGCTTGCTGGCGTCCTTGAGCACCTCGAGCTCTATACTCTCCTCGGGATTGGTCTCGTTGCTGTTGCCCTTCTCCTTGACCGTCTCCTGACTGTTCTGGCTATAGGTGGTCAGCGTGGCCTGACGATAGATCGGATCATACGTGAACGGCTGATTGAGGCTCTCCTGGTACGATCTATTGTAAATATTGTCTTTGGGAAGGCTCAGCACGGTCTCCTGGATCGCGTACTTCTCCTTGTCGGACTTGTCCATTACCTCGCGCACGATCTGCTCCAGCCGTATGTTCTTCTCGTTCTCCGAGTTCTCTTTACGGTGCTTCTGTTTGCGCACGATCGACCTGATGCGGTCGAACGATCTCGCGAGTTTCGACTCTTCGCCGACCTCTTCCTTCTTCTGCTTCAGCTCCTCGGAATTGAAGCTGTTGAGCAGTAAGGCGAGAAAGAGATTGAGGACCATGAAATTGCCCATCACTAACGCCGGCAAGAAGATGGCGAAGCAGGTGCCCGGGCCGTCCTCCTTTTCCGCTCGCATGCAGTCCCAGAGCGGCTCGATCCATTCGCCGCACAGGATGCGGAATATCATCATGAACGAGTGGAAGAAATCGTTGAAGTTCCAGCGCGGCACCGGATCCGGATAGAACTTGTCCAGCGTGTAATCCTTGCTGAACAGCTGCATGCCGATCACGGCGAATATGTAGATCACGATCACCAGCACGAATGTCAGGTTACCGAGCGCGCCGATCGTCGAGATGATGATGCTGAGGAGGACCTTCATGGTCGTCCAGGACTGCGCCAGCTTGAGGACGCGCAGCAGCCTGAGACCGCGTATCACCGACAGACCGTCCACCAGCTCGAACGTCAGGTCGATGAGCGACGCGGAGACGATGATCAGGTCGAAGTTGTTCCAGCCGTTGTTGAAGAAGTCCTTGCTCAGCGCCAGGAGCTTCAGGAAGCATTCGAACGTGAAGATGCTGGTGAACACCTTGTTGCCGATGTTGAGCGCCTGCCGTATCGACTCGCTCATGCCGTGATGCTCCATCGCCAGGAAGCCGGTGTTCAGGACGATGCAGAGAGTGATCATTAGCTCGAACAGGGGATCCCTCACCACCTTGACGCAAATGATCGTGCGACTCGTTGATTTCGACGTTGTGACTTAGCAAATAATAATAATACGGCGGCTCCGACGGACAAATTGTCGAAACATCGCGCAATAGCATTGCGAATTGACGACAAATTTCGTAACGATCTCGCTAAGACGATTCACCACAAGGCGACGGACTTGTCTGAATAAAATTTCAAAATTGATATTTTTGTCCGAAATTCGACAAATCCAATTCAGGATATTTCTTTAAGATATTTCATTATATTGTACAATCATTTCAATATTTAAGAGCAAAATCATAACCTACAATAATTTTCACTTAGTAGTTTCATCACTTGTATTATACGTGTAGTAAGCTTGCTGAGCATCGATAATTTGTTTCAACATTATAGGAACTTACTGTTAACTATCTCGGAAACAATTACCTTGTACAAGCAATTCTGAAATCGTAGCCATCCTTCGTAATCTACGCAGCATTGGATACACTTATCGCAATTTCTATCTGGAAGATCATCTGCAATTAGAAAATAAATCATAGCGCTCGTAAATTCGCCTCCGGCATTAAGAGAAAATCCTATTCTGATATGTGTATAAATGTTGTTGTTAATTTAGTCTTACATTTTCACCACTGTTTCAATAAACAAAGTGGTTTATTCAAACAACACAGCCGAATTATTATCTATTGCAGTTTCCAGATATTTTCAACATTAAGAACACCGATTAATTAAACTTCGAACCGCGGTCATGTGCGTAAAACGCAACGATTTTAGCAACGAACCATCGTACGGTTTGCACACGGTCAACGAAAAATTGACTCCGAATTGATTGGCGGTGCGCAAATTTCAACTCGCTAATCCATTTACGCCGGCTATTGTTTCGGCAAACAATGCAACCCGCGCGTCCTCAGTCGCGATTTCCGTATGTTCGACATTGAAAATTTCACTCGATTAAACCGCGGATTCCGATGTTGAAAGGAAAAAGTTAATGCGCACGTCTCTCGTAAACATTTCGACCGAGGAAATTTCGCAAATGGAACGGAGCAACGCCCAAAACGACGATTCGTTAACCCTCCGCAGTCCCGCGTCGAGCCTGTCTTAACGTCGAATTCATTCTAATCGATTTCACAAAACCGACTTATATCTATGTCATTTACGGTGCTTTCCCCTGTCGCAAATCCCCTTTCGTATCGGTTAAACGGCGACATATTGAAACGAACGCAAATAACGAACTGTAACAATGCAGCATAATAATACAACGACGAAACGTGGGCGACATGATCGCGAGGTGAAATGAACTTCCGCGGATCGGCCGAGAAGAAACGGTCGAAAACACAATTCCGGGTCGCGGGAGCGCTCGATCCACATTTGCGACCGATAATATTGTCTCAATAAACAATACCGCGACGGGTTTGCGCTCACCTAAAACTACAATATGCGACAGGTACTCTGGCGGCAGCGCGTACATATGTTTCTTCGTTTTCACCCCGTTGCATTTGAGCACGCGGATCTCCCGGTTGCCGGTTCTCACCGACACGGTGACCGGCGCCGGTGGCGGGCAGTCCGGTCGCGGGGGAGCCGCCTGACCGGTTTTCCCGTGCTCCCTTGGAGACTTCTCCGGTCTCTCGGCCCGGTGCTCCCGCGACTCGCGCTTGTCGTGCTCCTCGGCGGACGTGACGTCGTCGCCGTCGTGGTCGTCCACCACGCCGGAGTCGTCTAACGACGACTGCTGGTTGCTATTGTTGCTCGCCTGTCGGGAGTGCAGCCGGTTGGGCACCAGCCGATGAGGCTCAGGCGGCCTGGGGCTGACGTTCTGCAACGGCAAGTGGGAAGGTCGCACGCTGGAGTGCCTCGGACTCGGGCTCGGACTCGGCGTCACCGACCTGCGACAGAGTTTCCGTCATACACGGGAAAGGGAGCGCCCCAATTCCTTTCTCCAGTTGTTACAATTACAAGAAATCAAGAAATCTTCTTGATTTGTGGGTTTCAGTTTTACGAGGCTGTTATTGTTATTGTTGAAATAAAAGGGATAATACAACGGTGTTGTGATAACCGAGAACGATTAACCGGGTAGAAATCAGGAGCAGGAATCTTTCAGTTCCTGCAAATGAATTTTTCACCCAGCCTCTGTACTTCCCAAGCAACGGAAAACCCCGTTATTAGTTATACCGACGGAGTCGTTTTTCCCGATGTACGATAACACTACGTCGAGCAAGATCTGAAATTATCTGTTCACGAAGCGGTCGTCGTTAACGAATGACAGACCGGATCGTTGATTATTCGAACGGTACAATGTGTGTCGAGGACTTTTCGTACGTAGCGATCCTATTCTCTCTCTCTTTCTTTCTATCGAGATAGCATTTATTTCTCCGTATAGCATTTATAAATAAGTGATTAATACTTAATTAATTGTCTTTATCGCGGAGTACGAGGTATGCAAATCTCCAATTACCAAACGACGTGGCTTCAAAGTAAACTTGACGTAATGGGACCTCGTATCTTGCGTAACAAATTAACAATTAATCGAAGCATTAAGCTAATTAGTTTGGAGATCGCGTGGAGGTTCAGCTGGAGGTCCGACGCGAAATCAATGCTTACGATAATGAGCAACATTAACCCTGGGAATACCGAGCGCTTCCTGGTTGCATGCGTCATCGAGCCGGGTTACTTCAGGTCGCGCAAATATTACGGAGCTCAATTACACGACTCGGCCGAAGAAACTTTGCTCGCGACTCGTCGTCGTAAGCTTCGCCGACGGACGCACCGGTGAGCCACGGCGATATCGAAACCTATTTATATCAGTAGGATTAAATCCGCGCACGAGCGAAACGGGAAGGCAAATTTGGAAGCGAGCACGCTTCGCATACGCCGGCGGCGGAATCGATTGCAAATCGGCCGGGGAATACGCGAATGAAAGCGCCGGCGATAGTTCTGAAGATACAGCTTGTGCAAACTTCACCGAAGATACGGCCTCCCATTGTGAGGTTGCGAGACGGGCTCGTTTTCTTTCCTCGCTTTTATTACTGCCCCGAGAACGGGGGCGTTTCTTTCTGTCTTCCTCCGAGAAGAGCAACCCCCGCGCCATGCAGTTTAACGATTTTGTAGCGGGCTGCATATACGACGCGAGAATTAGCCCCCGGTTCGCAGGGGAGATGAGATGAATAATGAGATATATGAATAGATAGATGAATAATGAGAAATATGAGATAAATAAACGCACGCGAAAGCGCCGAATACTTTCAGCGTTAAGCTGTCGATAAGAATAAGGCCACTCCGATGGCGTTTGCTGCAACTTTTCACTTACGTCGGTGAATGCTTTAATTCGGCGAATGCCAGGGAATATAGTTAATTTAGCCGTATCTTCCGCGGCGAATCTTCCCTTATGAGAAAAAGGGAAAAATTTCAAGGGAGCAAAAGCCCCTTTTTTTCCATAGTTCGGTTTATTTGCGACGTTCTTTTTCTTCGTTAACCCTGAGAATAACATCCGCGATCTTGATCTGAAAACTTGAAAAAATACCAAGCGGAAGAAAATGCGTGTAGGTCTCGTAGGCCTAACAACTGTCAGGGTTAAATCGACCTGAAATATAATCTAGGTAAAGAGCTGCGCGATTCGACTTTCCCCCGGTGAATGCCCAACTGTTGACATAAACGCACACACATCGCGATATATATTTAGTTACGTTATTCAGCGCGTTTTCTTGGTTAAACAAGACTAAAAGCTCGACTCAGCTCGCATGACCCAGAAACTCCTGGCGAATGCGACAAGCGCGTTTCGCGACAATGGTCGTGACAAATGGAGCCTGCGGAAGAGTCGGTCGTAAATACAGATATAGAAACCTGCTGCGTGCACCACCGTTTTTCTCTTGACCGGCGCTGCTCCTCCCGCGCTTTCTTCTACGCGTCTTCTTTCTCGTGTAACTGCTGAGCAGCACCCCTTTACGAGCGTCTATCCTCTTCTGCTTGTCCTTCGTCAGGGTCTTGATATTGATCTTCGACGGGTCAAAACTGAATGTCGAGTCCTCGCGATGGTCCGTTAAGTCCTTCCTCCGTTCCTGTAATTACACACAAAAACGCTCGATAAAATTGACGGACGTAACGTTGCAAGACTGAAAAGCACCGAGCAAAGAGAAAGAGAGAAAGAGAGAGAGAGAGAGAGAGAGAGCTCCAACTTGATTGAGTCGAGTCATAAATAATTTCCGACGGAGGTAGCGAATATTTACCCCCTTTTTTTTTATGAACTCGCGCTTGACGGAAAGAATCGATAAGCCGTCTCCTACCGGCGGGAGCACGTAATCTTTTACGAGTCCCGTGGAAGATAACGAATATGTGTTGGGGTCAGGCTTCATCGCGAGGCGTCTCATGCGAGGATAAATTTGAGGACGAAAGAGAAGGAGCGGGATTTACTTATGACTCAAAGCGATGGCATTGAAGCTACGCGAAACGTATACCCGGGAAATATAAAGCGAGTAAGTACCTCATTCGTGATCTCCGCCTCTTCTTCATAACTCAACGCCACGACGGCCAGCATTAAGTTCAGCAGGTAGAATGATCCGAAGAATACGACCACCGTGAAGAACGAGACGCTAATAGGTCCGCATGCCGACAACACCTGTTCCGTGAGAGCTTATCTATCATTTCCACCGACGCATTTGTTGCCTTCAGTACGTAATACGGCAACGTGTGTGATCGCGTTGCTGTGATACTTCCCGCGATTTTTCACGCACGATACGAACGCTTTCGCGATGTCGACTAATTGTAAAAGAAAGTTTAATGTCTGGCAAGCTATATATAACATGAATGCTGATACTTTCAATTTTCGGAACAGAATTCACCGCACTATTTTTGACTGTCTTTTGACATTGTGTGTCATTTATTAAAAAACTGGCTCCTACATCGGTAATACGATCAATCTCGGCGATGGAGACTTTAATCCTGTATTGCGAAGGCCGGGCTTATAAATGGCGAATTTCGCTTCTTGGTTACCCAAGTGACGGATCTGCTTGGCATTGTTATGCGAATTAGACTTGAGAGGCTTCTCTTGTCGGTACACGAGAAAGCACGCGACTTCCGCTACGCCCGCTGTTTGCGTCGCGAGTTAGTAGCACAAAGACAAGAGGGAGGGCATATTTCAGATGCCGACCTTGTTGTAGACGTCCTCCCAGTAATCCAGAGTAATCAGCTGAAAGGTGGTGAGCATTGACCACAGGAAATTATCGAAGTTGGTGTAACCGTGGTTTGGATTGGGGCCAACGCAGAGACAAGTGTAGCTCTCGTTGCAGTGCCTGGAAAATAGGTAAAACCTACATTGCCGGCATCGCCGATCCATATCCGCCGTGGGAACGCTTCGAGTGTCCGTATGATCAAGTGCGGAAATATTACTGGCTCGAGCGCCTTTGGCGCGGCCTTCTTCGCGCTAATCGGCTGGGCCATCGATTATCACCTTGTCACCTGCCGGTCGACGGAAAAGAACGGTTTCCTCGGTGTTATTAAAAGACACGAGCGCGATATTAATGAAATCTGCATGCCGCACGGACGGTTCGAGCGTTGTTGAATAACAACCATCGGATATCCGCGCGAGGTGTTCCTCAAGACCCCGAGAGCGCACGAAAGATCCATTAATTCCTCTCCGAACGGCCGTCGCTTGCATTTTCGCAGCGTGACGTGCGTTTCCCGTCGGATCGACGAGACACGAGCGACGATGTCGGCGTCGAAGGGAAAATTTCAACCGGCGGAGCTTCTTCGCGTTTCCTCGCGTTAAAATATGAGAATATCGTAAAGGAAGCCTCGCGGCCCCGGGAAGGGTCAACATGCACACGCGAAGGCGCCGCCGAGGGCGTAATATTTCCATGCGCTTCGATCGGTTTCACCGCGCGCGCGGCAGGGAAATGTTTCATCGAAAGTGCAAAGAAACAACCGTCAGCGTTCGGGCGTATCGATCGAATAAAAAGCCTACTTTCCGCGAGACACTGCGCGCCGGATATGCCGAAAGAGCGCTGTAAAAAGTTCCGTGCGCGCCACGTAACGCAGTAAAAGCTCTTGCAAGCTTATTTATGCCGGCCGGCGGCATACGAATTCCGTTGTACGTGCGGCGGACGTAATCATTTGGGAAATGGACGATCCCGAAAACCGATAAATATGGGGAGCCGCTCGTACGCTCGCCCGTGAAGTGCGCGGAATAAAACTCCGGACAAACGATACCCGCCGGGGGTGTACTCGTGCGATTAAGTACAACCGGATACCATAATAGGAGCCGCCGCCGTCACGACAATTGGAGCGGCCGACGTGGGGGGGAAAACAAAAAGGGTGTAATCGCGCAACGTTATCGGGCAATTACACCGGTGAGACGCTTCCTCGACAATTTTCGCTTATAATCGCCGGTAATTCACAATAAACGTAATTTACATTTCACCGAGGTCTGGGAGGTTCATAAATCGCACGATGTGTGCCGTCGTGTCGTGAGTACAGCTCGTAGCGTGCGGAAGGTAACTGTTAAAGGGAAACATCAGTTTTGTTGCGAGCGATATCGAAGGAGGGACTTGCCATTTTCCGTTTCCGAGTTGCCGCCGAAGGCTGGACAGTTTCGCAATTCTCACCAAGTCTTCCCCTCGCGTTCTATCAGTTGTGAATTTCATCCTTCGCGAATTTTCGCGAATTTCAATTACGCTCCCGCATCCCACCACCGTCGTCCGAAGAAAATTAAAGAATTTCACATCGAAGTCGGTCGTTCTCTGCGCCTCGCGGATATATACCTCGCTTCGCGCTTCGGATATATTTTTACGTGGCATGAAATGAAATTTCCGCCGGAGCGTCAAAGATCCGTGGATTTCTCCGGTATCGAGAAGAGCGGACGTGACGTTGAGAAGTCCGGGAAGTTTCCGCTACACGGTAGACGTATCGCGCAAACCTCCCCTTTTTCCACGCCTCCCCTTCGCAACCCGGAAACTTCGCGACGCGAGGGGAATCGAGTGGCACTCGCTCGGAGATGTTGATGCGATGCAACCGGCCCTCCCGTCTCGAATTAGCTTATCTAGAGTGGAATCTGCCGAAGAGTGAACACAGAAACACCAACCTGGCGCCGGTTACATTGCCGCAGATGATTGGCTCCTCTTCCTCGTTGAACGCCCAATTGGATGAGTTCCAAGTCCACCTGTTGGCGACACGACATTTCGTTAGTTTTCTTGCGAGCTCCAGCCTCGTAGATCACCGGAGATTTAAAGCGAAAGAGCTACACAATCCCCCCCTCCCTCCTCCTTACTAGGTGCTCCTCTCCATGAATTGCCGGACACCCCGTACATATATACGTATTCTCGTAGGTCAGTCAATTCATCGGAACAATTTCTTCCAGTTTATCGACGTTCGATACAGCGCAAATAAATCAAATCAGCGAAATTATTTATGGGCAAGAAAGAGCCTAAGCACGAATGTCATAGGCCAGTATCCATAGTGGAATCTTATATTTAAGACTGTCTTATCTTCACATGAACTTAAAACGGTCTTAAATATGAAATCTGACTATGAATATCGGCCTTATTATTATTCTTTTTAATATTATAATATAGTTACATATAATATTAATATTATTTGTGGGAAAATACATATTTAGTCGTGTAATGTACATCCGTTTCTTTCAATTAGCAATTGTATTCGGAGGATCAGCCTTACGCGCTAAAACTCTGATCCTTTTAATTACCAGAATAATATTTTTTTTAATTTTAAACATATCGATATTCAAATATAGCACTGGAACATCCATGTTTAAGCTCTTACCGGCCTATAAATGACGTTTTCTTCGGTAAGACCAAAGAATCATTATCACTTAATAAATGATGCTTTAGGCGGTAAAGAGCGCGTGGCGACGCTAATGTTTAATGTAACGTGTAAGAAGTTTACGAATCGATATTACACTTGCACAGAATGACTTTAAGTCGCCGCGGGTTACTCAGCCAAGACTTGGATGTAATTCTGCGATGCCCTTTTACCATTGTCAGCGGTAATTTGGAAATTCAGTCTCTGCTAATGAATATTGAATATTGATAATGAATATTTCTTGAATATTGATGACGTGATGGGTGGATTGTGAAATGCCGTGTTGGAAACAGTTGCGTTAGAGAATTACCCGTCCGAAGCTGTATAACAATAACTCTGGTTTACCGTATTACTGTAAAATGTTCTTAAACTGCAATCGGCCTCGTTGATGATATTAATAAAATCGACACTCTGGGCACAAAGCGTCCAAGAGTAACGATATTATTTCGAACGTTAACGGAAGATTAACGTATATTAGGGTCGTTAGCCGGCACTGAATAAAGCTGATCTTCCAATTCCCGCGGTTTAACGCCGCGTTTGACGGTAAATGCTAATGCCCGATTACATATATGATGAAGTTCGCGTTCAGCGGCGTTAAGAGATGGAAATCGTAGCGGCGCGGCGTGCGTTCGGCGTTGAATTAACGCGGTGAGAATACACGCATTATCTTCCGTGTGCGTGCTATCGCCTACGGCGTGTTGCCTGGATCGTCGTGACGAGCAGCGAAATCACCGTAATAGCAATACCGAACCGCGACCAGGAATACAGAACGCAGCCACGGCCATTCAGATTTATCCGATGCGAAGTGATGGTCCCGCCGAGTCGAGCGGAACACAACGCATTGTGTCCCGCCGTGTCATTTGCTAATGTAGGCGAAGTCACGTTGTAGAGGCGGATTTAATTGTCGAAGAGAAAGAAAAGTAAAAGAAAGAAGATGAGGAAGATAATCCAAGTTTCAGACGTCTCTCGTTCATTTTGCCGATCGATCGATTAATCTTGAGAGTAACACCCGCGATCCCGACGCCGAAGTAATATCGTAGCTCTCACGGGTAAAATCTGTGGATTCTCAGTAAGAATCGTAATTTTCTGCATTTTTTTCGTCCTCCGCGAATTATTATTTATAACGTTTTTTAACGTTTTACATATCTTTTCGGTGGAAAAATCATGCACCGCTGTGCACCGAGAAGCACCACGCACATTACTATTATAGACCGTCTGAGGCAAACGTCCCTACGGTTGTAAGTGAAGTTACGAAAGATCGCGAGTTAAGATCGGAAGTGCGAAGTTTTGCTCAAGACGAGACTGTTTGCGAAGATTTTTATACGACATCCGACACTGACTTTGTACCGCTGGTCACGAGGTGAGCTACTAACCGGCTCTCGGTGTAAATTCGTAATACAGTTCCCGCACTATTGAGCCACGTTCCTTTCTCAACCCGCTTCCTCTTCACGAAGACTCGAGGCCGTAAATAAAACAATGTTCCCCTTTTTCCCTGCGCGACCCTCCGAATTCCGCGTTCTTTTCACCCCTTCTTCGGCGTGGCCGCGCGTCCCAATGAATCACCGCGCGCTCGGCTTTTGAGAAACAGCAAGCAGATCCCGGGTGCTTTTCGCGAGGGTCTCCGTGCCTCCGACGACGCGACGCACCGCCGTAACAGGCGCATCGGAGCATCTCCCGGAGGGCGACGCGTCGGATCTCTCGCGTCGCAATCCGCTGGGACGGCAAGTAGGATGCGGATCGATGCTGTCGGACAGTGGAAGCGCGGACAATGAGATCCGCCGGCGGATAGTTTCCTAAGCACGCGGCGAGCGGCCCGTTTGGCGTCGCGACCGGAAAGCAGATAGCGATGCTCGTAAACGCGCGCCTCACGGAGCCGTCAGGGGGTGGAAGCGGAAACGAATGCTCGTCGGGGCGCGATGCCTGGCGAGGGTCCGCGCGCTGCGTCCCGCGGAAACCGTGTCGTCGATTACGGTCGGAGCACGGCGACGATTAAACGACGCTTTAAGGCGATCATGCACGATTTACACGCCCGCGGTGATGCACGACTCGCGCTTCTGCCGATCACACTTGAAACTCCGCCGCCTTTCACCCCCGTGACTCCGTGATGTTGCAGAATATATTCCGCAGTTTTCCAACATATTTCAAAATATTCCTCTCGCGCTCATTAATCCACTTCTCTCCGTGGAGTTCGCCTACGCAGGCGAATAAATTCACAATTATTCAAGAAACACTGTACCACTCTTCGCCCGATAGTACTTAGGACAACGTACTCGATCCAATCGATTTGCGTGGCGTTCGGCTCTTGGTGCTTCACACACTTATTCCTAAGTTCGCCCATGTAAACCTGCAAAGCGAACAGTGCAAAAACCATCAGGCAGAAAATCGTCAGCGTCATTACTTCGGCAAGTTGCTTGAAGCTGTGCAACAGCGCGTTGATGATAGTCTTTAGACCTGAAACAGACAACGACAACGCGCGGTTAAAAATTTCGCGAGATGCGGTCGCTTCATAGTCGCTCGTTTCTCTTTCATTCTTAAGAGACGAAAGAAAATACGCGCAGACTTCGTAAGTTTAACGTGTCAGTGTCAGGGTCAATGTGGAATCTGGATGTCTTATTTCAACGGGATTTTACTCGATGGAGCTGGGTGAACGACAATCGGATAAAGGGCGCGAGAAATGCGCGTCAACGCCGACGGCGCGTTAATGTTCATTTCGCGAGATCCGCTGACAGCGCGCGGCTTTTTCATCGGGGTTGCGCACGCGGCGCACGGAATCGATACGCGAGTCGCGGGGACGTCAACGTCGCGAATAAATCGCGATTCTCTCCACCGAACGGCACCGACGGACACGATGTGGAACGGTCGATCTCCGCTGGAGTAATCCGCGGGTGGTCTTCGAAACCACGAAAAGACGACATTCCCCGCGCGAAGTGGTCCAAGTTCTCCGCCATTCTCCCTGTCCAGTCACCCAAGGACTCGTCGTCATCGTCGTCGACGTCTGTATCGTCGTCTCTCCCGCGGAAACTTAAATCCGCTTCCGCCATCTCGGCCCTCAACCGCTTTGTGCTGCGTCTGAGTGGTCAACTATGGGCCATTCTTGCCGCTCGTGGCCTCCCATTATTCCTTTTGGTCTCTTTGATTTGGCTGAGCCTGAGCTTTCGGCCGAGCTTCCTCCGTACGTTTCCGCGCTTTCTCGGCATGCTTTGTTGTTTCGCATGAAGTCCCGTCATGCTTTCGGTTTAAAGCCACCGCTATGTGCGTCAGTGTGTACGCATCGTGGTTTTGGTTCTCTCTCTCTCTCTCTTTCGGCACTCTGCGCATAGTTCAACTCGACAGTCTTTACTCAGTCCTGTCGGTCATTATTTTTTGTTTTTTTTTCCCCCGCCGAAAGTTGGTAAATGCAGGAATTTTATTATCGGAAAACTGTGTAAAAGAAAAAAAGAACACGTGATCGACGTGTGACAACAAAAGCAGGTACACGGTGTAGTTACCTGAGTATCGTTTTTCGACAACGCGTGAATTCGCGTCGGACGATCGTTATTCGATTGCCGTGTCGCGATAAATAAATTAATCAACGGCAATAAATCACGATAAGCGTGACGTATCATACGGTGTGCGAAACTGTGCGATTTTTGCGTATCGAGAGCGGTCGTTTATGCTCATCCCGACGAGACGCGCATAAATGCGGGTTTCGTTTGAAACTCGAATTAATACGGGACGCTCGGTTGGCTCGCAGCTGATTAATATGTGTCTGTTGATTATCGATCGCGCGCGTTTAATCGTCGGTTGTTGCGCGAGTGACGCCTAATATTCCGTAGACTGTATTACACTGACCGATACGTCCGCGTTTAATTGCGGCCGCGATATGCACAATGTCTATTTTATCACCGATGACACCGACTCATGCATCTTTTAGGGAAGCACGATCGACTTGAACGCATGAATGCTGTGAAAGTTTAACCATCAACTGATTGTACACCGACACGGATTTTCAATAAAATCTGCTGATAAATAAGAAACATGGACAGCGCAATTATATGACAATTAAAACACGTCCCGAAATAATAATGCAGAGGAAAAAGAGAAAAAATGCCAAGATCGGCGTACCATTTTGTTTTTAAGCTTTAAAATTCTGTCGAATGGATGCAAAACAGCAATATTTTTCTTCCTTTACTAAGATACATTATAGTTTCTTGCGAATTATTACATATTGTCTTACAAATAACTACTTTTAGAAGGTATAATGACTACTTTTTTCATTTGAGGTAAAAAGTTCCGCTCAGCAACTGCAATTGAGACGGATCACTCGTATCGGGGAACACGCGCCCGCCTCAGATTCGCTGTATTACCTGGCATAATGGATACAGTCTTAAGTGCTCTCAACACCCTGAACGTCCTGAGACCGGCCAGATTCCCGACTTCCATTCCGATGGTGGCGTAGCCGCTAGTAATCACCACGAAGTCCAACCAATTCCAGGGATTTCGAAGATAAGTGTACTTGTTCAGTATAAATCCCTTCGCTATTGATTTTATCACCATTTCCGCCGTGTATATGGCTAGGAAGATATATCTGGAACACGAGAAACATCGGACACGCCGGTGAATTACATTGAACATCGGATCAACGCGCGCTGTCGTCTCGTTATCGAAATCTGACGTCTCTACTGAAAAGCCAGAATGTATATCGGCTGTCCTCGATCGCGTTTCCTTTATCTAACTGGTATAAATCTTTCGACGAATCACTTTAGTAGCAAAAATTCGATCAGAGGTGAGATCGCAGAGAGGACCACCGGTTTTTCTCTTAGCGGGCGGAAATCCCGGTGCAAGCATATTGGGTTGATGCGAAAGTTCGTCCCTTTTTTTAATCAGTCCTTCGCTCGGAAAAATTCTGGAATTTCTACGGTCGTGGAATCATGCTGTTAGAGACAGCGAATCATTGAACAAAACGGTACATATTCAATCGCGTGTGTATTTCGAAATAAACAAATGTTATATAGACTTTTTGATTAAAAAAGAGAACGAACTTTTGTAACGATCCAATCAAAATAAATACGAATTAGTTCGTACCGCTTTCATTACTGCTCTCAAATTACTTCCGGCTATCGTTGATTACTTTGACTAAGTTATCGTCAGGTATCGTTTCGAATAAATACCACCCTTAAATTCGGCCGACCAATCGATGCTTGCGATGTGTCCCGTGTTAAAAGATCTCGATTAAATTCGAACATCCCTAGGGTCGCAGTTACGTAGCAGACTTTTCGCAAGATAACGAGCGGCTACCTCTTTGCCATGTACGTCGTAATGATCGAATTTTGCGGGGACAAAACCTGCGTCGCCTCTGGCGCGTCGTTAAGGAGATCGGATAGCTTCGAGCGACTATTATCCACGCCGAAGATGCACGCTTGTTAGCCAGTTGATTATTCGATTAATTTGGCGCGCGCACACACACGTATAGCGCGACAACTTATCCCTCGTCGGTGTAAATTTGCGAGGGAGTTCCGAAGCGAGATCGAGGTTTAGAAGCAAAAAGGGTCGAGAGATTGCCCATGTTACACGTCTCTCGCAAATATCGACCGAAAATGCGGGGCGAGACTTCCGACGGATCTCAAGTAGCCCCCCGTGCTCGAGACATCTATCGAGCCGTCGTTTTTAAACGTTCGAGCAATCCATTTTTCGGAGCGAACTTTGAGGAGATTACTCGTTCATCACACTGAAAGCTCGCTGGCCCGACGCGCGGGTCGTAAGTTGTAGAAAATTACCGGCAAACGTATTCGCCGGAAGCGCGTTAAACGAATCGCCGTTTGCAGCCGACGAGAACTGTCGCGAGTTACTCGCCGGGGGATACTTAGCTTAAGAGGATTACACTGAACGTACGTGAAATGAACGTCAGTTGTAAACGTGTTTAAAGCCAACCCGTCGCGCGACCGATTCTTCTTCGACGCGCGTCCCGTGAATTTTGATTTGTCCGACTTGTTCGATCTTTCCATTTATTTCAACAAAAACATGGCCAAATGTGACATCTAAAATATCGGATATTCCATGATATTCTGGGTGTTCCTCGATCGTAACAAAATACTGATTAAGGCAATCAAGTGTGCCAAATGGACATCAAGAAGACTTTACGATTTCGCTTTACGATCTGACGTCGGTATAAGAGAATCGGCAGGAGGAG